ACTAGGGCTTGACCATGCTGTGTCTCCTCATAAACAACCAGTCTCCTCTTGGGTGGCCTTCCCTAGAAGGCACTCTAATGAGTCTCATGCTTATTTTTGTGATATACTAGAACATTCCTAATTTCATGCAGTAACTGCAGAGTCTCTGCTATCTGCTAAGGTTGGGTGAACAGACAGGCTAGTGACACAGGCAGAGGCCCAACAGTTCACTACAATATGGCAGGAAAGGGCCAACTGAGGAAGCTCATGCAGAGGATGTAGTGGTGAAGAACAAAGTGATGACCTCTTCTAACCAAGGGGGTCAGAGGAGGGAAGGAGGGCATTCCAGGTGGAGAGGACAGCAGCACCTTCAAAGGCATGGAGTCATAAAATGCCAGGTGAGCTTGGGCAGCTATAAATAGCCTGGGATTCATGAAGTATGAATTTCAAGTCAAGGTGTGGTAAAAGTCAGCTTGGAGAGGAAGGCACAGACCACAAAGGACCTCTAATGTCACACCAAGGAACATAGATAATATGCAAAATAAACTCCCTAGTGTGTGCCATGGAGGGTTTTAACATTTTTCCCCATGTATTATTACTTTCAACAGCTTTATTGAGCTATAACTGAGGGCATATATTTAAAGCAAGTTCTGGTACTTAAATAACTTGTATATACCCATGAAACTGACAACCACCATCAACGTAGCCATCACTCTTAAAAATTCCCTCATGCACCATGGTAATCTCTCCCCCAACCTCCATTCCAACACCAGGCAAACACTGAACTGATTTCTGTCACTGTACCTTAATTTGCATTTTGTAGAATTTTATATCAATGAAATCATACGGCATGTATTTTTTTTCTTTTTGGTCTGACTTCCTTCCATAGCATGCTTATTTTGAGATCCATCCATGCGGCTGCCCACATCAAATTTTAATTTCCTTAATAACTTTTCTCTTTTGAGGTATGCCCTTCACCAGTACTTTCTGTATCTTAACAAATTTGTTCCATGGGGTAACAAGCTCCAAGAGGTCACCACTACCTTTGAAGATAATGGTCTCCCATGAAGCTACAAGACATACCGCTGAGGGGTGAAATGATGGGGCACAGGTCCTAGTTTTGAAAGAATTCTCCAACAAGCAAACAAAGTTCCCAAACATGTATACACCCTAACCCCCGGAACCTATGAATATGTTGCTATCCATGTCAAAAAAGACTTTGAAGATTAAGGCTCTTGAGGTGGGGAGATTATGCTGGGTTATCTGGGTAAACCCAATATTGTAACCGCAAGGATCCTTACACATGAAAATGGGGGGCAGGATGCCCTGGGTCAAAAGGAGATCTGGAGATGCTGGGATGAATGACTTTGAAGATGAAGGAAGGGGCCGCAGGCCAAGGAGCACAGGCAGTCTGTAGAAACTGGAAAAAGCAAGGGAATGACTCTCCCCTAGAGCCTCCAGAAGGAATACAGACCAAGGAAACCCATTTCAGGCTTGTGACTCCAGAACTGAAAGACAATACATTTGTGTTGTTTAAGCCACTTAGCTTGTGATCATTTGTTACAGCAGCAACAGGAAACTAATACCACTACCAATCCTGTATAAAAATAAGGACAGTGAGTCTCACCACTTCTATTTCTTTTCCTACTTTGTAGTCTAATAGAAGTGGAAGCAAGTTGATTTTGGAATCAGATTGACCTTCCTACCTCTGTTCCCTTGAGCAACTTTCTTCCTCTTCAAGGAGGGATGATATATTACTTGCCTTGGGGATGGTGGAGATTGAGGAAATGAAGGGCCCAGCACATAGTGGGCCCCCAATAAAGCTTTCCTTTCTTCACCTCTCACCTAATAATTTTGGCTAAATTGCTTCCTCTCCATCAATCTGTTCCATAAGGGTAAAGGCAGATACTTATTAGGTCTCTGGAAATATTTAATTAAAGTTTGTGATGTGGCTGGATACTCTTGGTTTAAAAGTGTTATTTAGACGCAAAGTGCTATTATCTTTTGAGCAGGTAATTATTTTCTTTCCTAGTTACCTAGCGCTGTACCAAAATTCCATCTCTAAGGTGAGTCTTAATTAATTAATGCTTATTAAGCCTACATAGTCCTCTCATAAAAGGCTAGATGCTGAGTATTATTTACCTTTCATAAGGGTGTCACTTCCAGTATTTTAATATGGCAGCTAAAACTGTACATTTTCATTTGCTATTTCAGCATTGGATTAGGTAGTATTTCGTAGTCACATTGTGGGGGTCTAACCGATTACTGTTGAAAGGACTTGGTAAGTTTTTTTTTTAAGATTTATTTATTTATGCATATAAGAGCTGGGGTGTAGGCCAGAGATGCAGGAGGTGAGAGGATTCACCAGAGACAGAGTGAGGGGCAGAACAGGCAGATGTACTGAAATACACTGCTGAGGGGAGCAGCGGAGTCAGGAGAGGTTTGTTGCTCCATTTGGGTTAGCTCCCTGGCGGGGAATTGAACATTCTGCCACCAAAGTCCCTACTCCGAATCATTTTCTATACTTCCTTTTCATTCTCGGACCTAGCATGGTGCCTTGCACTGAATAATTATGTTCAATAAATATTTATTCAGCAAATGAAGAACTAATTCTAACAAGGAAAAGAAAATGACCTCTAATCCTACCAACAGAGACTTAGGAAATTTATCCTCTAGCTATTTTCCTAATGCAAGCATAGACTTTTTATTGAAGTCATAACTTTTAGAAATCATTCTGAGGAGCACAGATTAAGTATCAATGCATAATATGTTTGACATTTTATTTGTATTTTAAAAAAGGTCTATAATCTCAAGTCAATGTTTTTCCCTTAAGCAAATTGGAGGGCAGGGACAGAAGAAGAAGTTTTTAGATAAAAGACAACAAGATTTCCTAAAATATTTTTGGTCTTTGTCTCCAGGCTGAGGCTGCCAAACTTATGCAAGAAAGTTTAGGGAAACTATAAGGTTTTTTTTTTAAATTATACATCTTTAACTCAGTAGGTCTTGAATTTTATCATTAGTTTTATAAAACCAATTGTTCCCAAAGTATAACAAAGGCCTGTGTTTTATAGGCCAAATAGACAATGCCTGATCATGTCACAGCTATGGCAAGAGGAAAATTGGATAAAAAGGCAGTTTTCATATCCAATGGGCAAGATAAACAAGTGAGAGCTGCTGACTTACTGAGAACAAATTTCTCCAAATACTGGCTTGCTGACATTTTCAAAAGATTTTTTGTTCTGACTTTCAAAATAGTTTCAGAATAATTTGTAACAGCTGGTCATCCATGCCACTCACGCTCATGAAAGGCTGCCTCGCTAAGCCCGATGGTAAATAATATATCCATCTGGCCCTCGAGGGGGGATTGGGTTCACTTGTTGCTCCATTGCCGCGTCTCCCTTCTGCCACTCAGTGATGACAGGCTGGAGTCAGACTGGGTGGTGTATGGTTACAGCTCTAGACTCTGTATTTGTGGGCACCCCACATTTCTAAGATAAGTTAGCTGATAGGATTACCAAAGCGTGATCAAATGCAGTCATTTCAGAAGGAGCCTGTATCACATTACCTTTGAAAATATTTTAATCCAGAAACATCATCCATGGATACAAAATCCATGAATATCTGACCTCTGGGCATGGCTTAGGACAGAGTATTCTGAGGCATCGCCTATTTGCTTCCTGGGATAAAAAATTCTGAGCTAGGAATAGAGGGGGAAATCTGATAATTAAAGGGGTCAAGGTAAGTATTTTTGAATGCTCTGAAAAGATGTGTGTGTGTGTGTGTGTGTGTGTGTGTGTGAGAGAGAGAGAGAGAGAGAGAGAGAGAGAGAGAGAGAGAGAGAGAGAGAGAGAGAGAGAGCGCGAGCTCGGTCACATCAGAAGTTCCCTCTGTAGTCTTCAAAGCTGATTTCTTACAGTTGGAGAAACCCAGAAGAATCAAGTACGCCATGATTTTGAAACTCAGTTTTTGTTCTACTGTTCAATTGCAGCTAGCTTCCTACTACTGAAAAAAAGAAAGGCGAAAGGCGATTTAGAATATAAGGACTGCTCATCGGTATTGCATTGCAAGATCCTTCCACTGGTTCACTCCATGACCCCAAGGTCAGTTTCTGTTGCTCCTGTTTTATCTTTTTGTGTTGACTATGGCAGGTGTGCATGAAGACTTAGGGTAGATGCTCTTTTATCCAGCACAGAATACTGCTGGGTCGTGTACTTATTTCCCATCTGTAACCTAGTCACATTCTAAGTGATGCACACATACATATGTAAAAAGGAGTAAGAAGAATTTGGATGGTTGAATCACTGCTTCCAACAGTCAGCACTCACTTTCATTATAGTCAGTAGGGTTAGCCTTAGAAGGTGGGGTTTAAGATCTGAGAATGTTAAGTGTCTGCACCCACTGGTACATTAATGGAGGAGAGCAGATGAGGGTGGATAGAAAAATGCCTGCTTTCTCCTCTGCCTCTGGGTCACACACATCCTGTCTGCCATCTAGCAGAGGTCCAAACCCAGAACAGAGGGTATTGGGGACGACAGGAGACTGTCAGGGCACATGGCCCCAGCTGATCCCATACACAACATGATGTATAACATTTATGTTACCATTAGCTACTCTAAGTGCACAGAAGAAACATCCCCTACCAGCCAGAAACAATGGTTCTCTCACCATCTTTGACCTCTAATCACTAAGGAGCTTTGGTTTTTCCAGCTATAGACATTCTTCATGTCTTTAATTCCTTATTCCATCAGATTCCCAGTCACCCCAACCATGGTTATCATCTTCTCTTCAACTAGGAAAATTAGGGTGCTTAAGTCAGCACTGCAGCACCAAAGGAAGCTTCACAGTAAAGTAGCTATACAGGGACCAGCCAGAGAGCCAGAATGCTCATCCCCACTGGGACCGACTCCAGTGGTCACAGGCCCAGGGTTCTTCTGTTCAAAGTGTTCACACTCAGGTGATTTGTGAGCTGTTGCTGAGCACATAATGGTCCATGTAGCTGCATCAGCAGTCGGGGCCCCAAATGTGTTCGCCTGGACCCAGTAACTTGAATTGGAGTCTGTAGAAACGTTCTGTTGAGTTCTAACCAGAATCTCTTTGGATACCAAGACTGAGCTGGTTATTGATCTGGGAAGATGTTCCAGTTCCTTCTGGCTACCTGTAAGGACTCTATTATAATGCTAAGGTTGGAGAGTGTCCTTTAAATAAGAGGAAAAAAATTCCTTTTGGTGTTTTGCATGCACAGAAAAAAAAAAAAAAACCTGTTTTCCTGGATGTAATGGGAGAGTTTCTAGCTTCTAATTTATCTTGGTGGTCTCTTTTTTTTTTTCTTTAATTTTTATTTATTATTGAGTAGAAGAACTGGTGTGTAGGCCAGAGGTGTGGGGACAAGAGGATTCACCAGAGACAGAGTGGGGAGCAGTAGGCGAGACAGGAGAGGTCTGCTGCACCATGTGGGTAGCTCCCTGCCCGGGGATCGAACTCAGGCTGCAGTGGCTGGTGATAGATTGATAGCATGAGACTTAACCCCGCTGCCACCAGAGAGGCCCTATAGTAATATTTTTATCTAAGAAATCACAAGTTCACAAATTCATAAAAATTTAGATGGGGCGAAGACCTCAGAGAGAGGCTGGCCCAGCCCTTTCACTGCGTGGTTAGGGAGGCCGGTGGTTTCCGGGGTCACCCAGGGGAGGGAGACCCTGAGTTACTCTTGCTAAAACAGGTGGTAGTTTTACTACTTTTGGAAGTAGTAAAATTCTGGAAAACCCAGAAATCAAGCAATCTAAATGGGTATTCTTAATTCTTTTTTAAAGACCAAATGGCTGAGTTGGCTCTGATCATTTCCAAGAGTATCCCCAGGACATGCTGCTACAGAGACACCTTCATCAGGCCTGCTCGGAAAGGGGGGACAGCCCCTGCCAGCCGCCCGTGCCAAGAGAGAGGCCTAGCGGCAGGCTAGCCTCCAGTGGCTTAGTAGACACTTTATCCCTAGGTTATATCCCTATCGATCCTTCTCTGCCTTTCTCCAAAAGGCAAGAGAGAATGAGGGAAAGGAGTTCAGGATGTCTGGAGGGAGAGATGATAAACACAACAGGGAAGTTTGGCTGTGACGCTTGAGCTGGGCCAGCTTTCAGTGCTCCACAGGTAACCCAGAGGCCCATCAGTGCCGTGTGCGTAAGTGAGAGTCACGTACTTAAAAAAAAAAATCAACCCTTTACTTGCATTCTAAGCTCCTATTTTGGGTGAATGCCAATTTTTTTCCCCAAATTTCCTGAGAGGGTGATACATATTTGGTTATTAATTAGAGACTAATGTCTCCTTCAAAATACAGTGAATGAAATATTTAAATCCTGTCCCTCTGTTTTTTATATTCCTTGTTCATACACCATGGCTTATGTTAACCCAGTGTTCAGTGATGGGTCAGCTCTCAGCTGAGCTTTCTGCTTTCATGTTTATAACTGAATTTTTCTAAAAGAAGAGCATCCATTTTGTTCAGGCATACACACTGGGATAAGCAGGCTTTGCATATTATTCCAATATATTTAACAATGTGGCTCTTCTCATTTTTCACAGAACAGAACACACTATACCGACAACCATTGAAAACCAGAAGATCGATTGTTCCAGTTAAGAACATTGAGACAACGGTGGTCAGGCTGCTCACACATGTACGAAACTGACTTCTCAGAAGACACAACTTCTAAGCAGCAGGACGATCTACTTTATGATGGAGACTTCTCCCAAATGAAGAGATGCTGCAATTATGGTTTTACCTTAAAAACTGATGTTCTTGGTATTTCAAATCAAGTGATTTTAACAGTAGAGGACCCTCAAGAAAAGGCTACACATAGAGAGATTTGCCGCAATGACGATATGACCATGACTGTGGATAAAAGAACTGAAAATTGTATCGACCAAAAACTTGGTAAAGAGAAACAGCTCATCATAAATCTTCATATTCCAATTAACAAAGGAAATCCTTCAAAGTCAAACATTTCTGATATTTCACTCCATCATCTTTCCAAAGAGGAATTCACGAAGGGCAAAGGCATTAGTGGTGAAACCCTCCCAGAGATCTCTAACACTGACAGTTTTGATGATGCTTTTATTAAAAACATTACTTTGCATTACGTCAGGAATGCTTGGCCCAAAGAACAAACTCCAGGACTCACTGATCAACTCAATCCCAAAAAGGGTGAAGAAAGCATTAATAAAACTTGTCACGCAACCATGACAGAAGAAAATATTTGTAAGTTAGAAGAGCCAGTGGCTATTGGTGATAGCAGTCATCAAGAAAATCCAAATTTTCTAACTAAAATCAAAAGTTCAAGTGACAAACAAAAAGGGTGTCAAGAACAGTCACCCCAGAAACAGTATACAGAGAATGCAACTTTGGACAGTGGGTTCAAACATGGCCAAGGCCAAGTTCACTGCCAGTTTTCTGGTTTCTCCAAGGTTGCCCCCAAAATGAATTTCCCTAAACATGATGTAAGTGAGAGACCACTTACACTAGATAAACAAACCAGCTCGTCCCCTAAACTGAGAGATAAGCCGGCTATTCTGCAAGATATGTTAGAAGCTCTGTCTAGGTCAAATTTTGTTGAAAAACAAGAGCAGAAAAGGAAAACTACTCAACTGTTACAACAGACACAGGTAGGTAAAAGTAGTCTCCTGGAAATAAGCATCAGGTCAGGGCTGCGTTCCTGTTCTGAGGTTCTGGGTTCCAGTTCTGGCTCAGCACCTTGACCTCTCTCTCCAAAGCAAAGTGAGGAGAATTAGGTCCTGGACTAACACCACCACAGAAGGGAATGAAATCCAAATTCTTCAACCTGGAATTTGAATTCCCCACCCCTTTGTCTTTTTTCCCCTTCTCTTCTTCTACCCTTCCAGACTTAGAGCTGTTTTCAGTCATCCTCAGTTACCTGGCTGGTCCCCTACTTCTCCTCAGGCCTTGAACTCTCTGACCTCCTTATCTTGACGGGAACATCATTCTCTGCTTCCCAGACACCTGCACATTTTTATGGCCTCCTTTGGTTCCCCAAGGAACATTCCAGAGTCACAATCTTTCCCCTCCTCGTTTGCTTATACTATTGTCAAAGATTTTCTCAGCCTGCTTTGGGTCATAATGATTTGGAAAAAATCTGCTTATTCCACTAGATTTGAAGAGTCTGTGGGCAACAAGCTTATCTCCCTCACCCCACTGACTGACTTCCTCCCAGGGGCCTGGCCTCATATCTGACATGTATTATACTCTGAGCAGCTAATGCTAAATTGAATTAAATTTAGATTTTTTTCCCAAAGATTTATTTATTTATGCATACAAGAGCTGGGGTACAGGCGATAGGCGTGGGGGGTGAGAGGATTCATCAGAGACAGAGTGGGGAACAGAACAGGCAGTTCGACTGAAATACCCGGCTGAGGGGAGCAGCGGGAGAGACAGGAGAGGTCTGCTGCACCATGTGGGTTAGTTCCCTGGCCGGGGAACGAACTCCTGCTGCATCGGCTGCAGGCAGGCCCCTGAATTAAGACATTTAATAATATATAACAAATAAGCTTGTCATATTGGCAACTATTTAGTATAGAATTTTGATGTTTAAATGTATGCATTTCCCCTTTTGCCATCTAACTTCTCAACATGCTGAGGCTCAGGATCACACAGATTATTTGAGGTTCAGTAGTTAGATCAACTCACATTCATGAGCAAAGCAAACATTTTAGGTCATTGGCACTTTCCTATGCCTGTCTATATACCCCTTCATGCTTCAACTCTCTCCTCTTCCAAATGAATGCCCTGGGACCTCCCTCAACCAGCACCACCACAGCCCATCACAGCCCACTCGACCTTGACTGGGACGTATAAGTTTGGAGAACTGTGCATCTCTGTGACACTGGGAAGTTGTAGGGTTCCTCATTCTCCTTGTAGGAGCACCTCCCCCAGGTGCACACAGCTCTATGTCTGTGCTTAAAAAAAAAACAGAACAGACACCAGGCTCACCCCTCTGATAATGGGAACAACGGGAAGACCCTCCAGGGGAATCACTTTGGAATTTAAGCTCCTGTCCAGTTAGCGGGTAGTGAATAGAAATGGGCATGTCCTGTGTAAACAAGGACTATTGTGACATCTTTTGGAAGTTAGCACACACAATTTAAGTTGATTCTCTACAGTGTGGCCACCGTGTACTGGTGACAGGGCACCAGCAGCAGAGATGTCAGCAAGGCCAACCCTCATGGAGCTTATGGTCTCGTTTTTGGAGAAATATTTGAACATTCCACACAGTAGCATCAAACATGACAGCAGTGACTGCTAAGAGGTACTGAAAGCCTGCCACGTGCCAGGTACTGTAGCTATTATGACCATTTAGTCCTCATAACAGCTCTGGGAGGTAGGTTTTGTTACTATCCCTGTTTTACAGCTGAGGGATTTGAGGTTTACAGTAATAAAGGTAATTGCCATGGCTCACCTGGCAGGTAAGTGTCAGAGTGGAATTCATACTCAGCACCAGTGCCCCAGCTCCTGACCAAGCTGGGCACCCCCTGGGAGACCAAAACACAACGGGCTGTCTGAATTGACACTGTCTGATTTATGACATTGCTACCCTCACAGCCTTGTTCACCAGTATTGACAGTGATGATTTCTTATCCTCTAATTATGCAGATGGGGCCGATGACACACATCCATCAAGAACATAATGCAGGTACTAGTGTTTCTAAACTTCTTTGATGTGGATATACCTTGACAACATTTTGAAAAAAAAGCAAATGGCAGTGGTTACCCCAGACTCCTGTATTCAGAAGTTAATAAAACTGCAGTGAGGTTGAGAAGAGCAGCAGTTAAAACTTTTTCTTTCTTATGTAGGAATAGAAGTGGAAACAAGTGTCTTTAAGTTGTCCTCTACCTCTCAGAAAAACCCTTCCCTAAGTTCGTCTTACATCTTACAAAAGCTATCCCGAGGGAACCAAATGTGTCAGATGTTAAGAGAACAGACGGATCAACTGAAGAATAAAGTAATACTTTGAAAACCTTTTATCAACAATAGAAGCAAGCAATTCAAACACGAGACACCATGCCATTAATGAAAATATTGCATTTTTTTCACTGCAGGTACAAGAATTTGCCAAAAGCATAGGACAGGAATCTCCTTATCATTTGCAAGACAGGAGGCTGGTAATAAATTTTATCCAATTTTTACATTTTTTTAAGATTTATTTTTATTTATTTATGCATACAAGAATTGGGGTATAGGCCAGAGGTGTGGAGGGGTGAGAGGAGTCACTAGAGACAAAGTGGGGAGCAGAAAAGGCAGATCTTCTGAAACACACTGCTGAGGGGAGCAGCAGGCGAGACAGGAGAGGTCTGCTGTGCCATGTGGGTCACCTCCCTGGCAGGGGATGGAACTCATACCGTAGTGGCTGGTGATAGCTTGATAGCACTGAGACTTTAACCCCTGCGCCACCATGAAGACCCCCCCATTTTTAAAAATCTTTATTGGGGAATGTGATGTGGTTAAATACCGATTACTTATAGCACCATGTTTCTCTACATTGGTGGCAGAGAAAATGATCTGGTAGAAATGTTCTGCTGGAGATGTAACTATTTTTTGGATGATAGGGATTAAAAGCATTTGGAATTCTATTTCTCTATGTATTTAACCCTTTTTCTTTCTCAGATCTATTGCTTAATGGATATTAAGATTCCCCATGATAAATTTCAGATCACAGGAGGCTCAAGAGAAGAACATGTCAGTCCTACCCATATCTGGCAACTCAACCTATAAAACTTTGAAAACTCTTTTAACATGATCTTGAAGCTATGCTTTTAACTTTCTTATCCTTTCTAGTTGTTGCATTTAATCAAATTGCAATTTATGTTGCTACCCTCACAGCCTTATTCATCAGTGTCAGGGTTGTGGGAAGTGGGAGTAGAGCCTGGTGATGGGGTTAAAAAAAAAAAAACCTGAGGGCCTCCCTGGTGGCGCAGCGGTTGAGCGCTGGGTTGAGAAGCTGCCCGCAGCCTCTGTGGCGCCGGTTTGATCCCCCGCTGCTCCTCGGCCACCAGAGGAGGGTCCCACATGGCGCGCAGACCTCTCCTGCCGCCCTCTGCTCCCCTCAGCAGTGTACTTCGGTCCTTCTGCCTGCTCTGCTCCCCGCTCTGGCTCTGGTGAATTCTCTCACCCTCCTGCGCTTCTGACTGTACCCAGTGCTTGTGTAAATAAATAAATAAAAATAAATAAACACAGAACTTAAAAAAAAAAAAAGCTGAGATGGTAGCCCCAGAAATGTGGGAAGTTTAAGACATAGTTGAGGCCACTGGTCAGTGACAGGAAGGTGGTAAGATGTCCTGCTCTAAAGGACACAAGCTCCAGGGCAGGCTGTGCTTCTAAAACTAGACAGCATAGCCAAAACTAGGGAGACCCAAATGCTGAGTCAGGGTCACCATTTCATTCCTTCCTCACATTAAGTAAATAACTCGTTCATTCTGGCATTCTAGTAGTGGCTCATCCTTGCCAGATAGAGTAAGGCACCCTGGAAGGCTTCCTGGATGTGATTTCTAAGTTGGGCATTGTAGGAAGAATAAAAGTGAGCTTGCTGAAGTAGGGGCCAAAGGTGTTCTAGGAAAAGCAATTGGCAGGTGCAATTACCCACAGCAACAAAGTTCATTACAGTATAATGAACTGTAAGGCACTGTAATTGACCAGATGGCGCTTGGTACTTGTGGAAGGGGGGAGTTTAGAGGAGCAGATGAGGACCATATCATGAAATGGTAAGGAACTTAGATTTCATCCTGATGTTGAGCGGTAGAGCAACATGAAAGGATTTCAAGCTGAGAAACAGTGAGTGCCAGGGGCCAGACTATAGAGACAGAGATTGGCTAGGAAAGCATTGTCCATGTAACAAGTTACGAAGGGCCTGAACCAAGGCCAACTAAATAGATGGAGAAGGACACACCCAAGGGTTTAAGGAAGTGCCAGTAGATTGAAAGAAGTAAAGCAAAGGAGGAAGCTTGGCTGATTTCCAAATTTCTAGTTTGGGCAACCAAGGAAGATCCAGTTCAGATTGGGTGTGGCAGGTAGGCAGGAGGCAAGGTGTCAAGTTCAATTCGGGACATTTTGAGATCCCTACAGACACCCATTTGGAGAGGCCCACTAGACAAGAGCAGTGACTCTGCACCTCAGGGGAGTTGTTTGGGGCAGAAATGGAGATTTGGCTATGGTTGTATTTGAAGCTATGAGGTGGATGAGATTGTCCAGGTAAAACATGCAGAATAAGCAGTGAAGAGACATCCAAGAGGCAGGTGAATGAGGAGTCCATAAAGAAAACCCAAAAAGTCAAGGTAGACCTGGAAGCGATTGAGTTTTAGAAGTTAAGAAAAAACAAGATTTGAAGAGGGGGAAATGGGTCACACCAGCAAGTGTTCCATTAAGGAAGGAACACAAGATGTGCTAACTGAGAGGTTATCAGGGACTCCTGCAAGCCTGATTGCAATGAAGTGGTGGATCTTTGGAAGCTAGAGTGCGGAGATTAAGGATGAAGTAGATGAAGGTGACCTCTGTGCTCTGGAACTGGGAGCACAGACTGTGTCAGGACAGAGCAGAGAGAAAAGATTCAAGGCACCAGCCTTATGAGACCTTGGTTCAGGAAGTTTCTACGTGATGTCAGAGGGCATTTAGGCTCCTGGCATTGCCAGCTTTGGGCTGAGACTTCCAGATCTACTCGGTGTGTGCTGGAGGGTCATACAAGCCAAAACTAATCTCAGCTTGAGCAACACAACATAATAGGAAGCGTCTGGATTTTGGGGCAGACATCCCAGCTCTACTTAATGGCCATAGAGTCTGAGACATGTAGTGTGACTTTTCATCTCAAAGTTGTTATGAGAATAAATTAAGGTACATTTATGGCTAGAAAACTGACTTCTCTCTTCTGAGATAGAATCCAACTTAAATTCCAAGATCCTAAATTATAACTCATAATTGACTTCCTTCTCTTTCTTCATCCTCTCCTTGAACACACAATTCCTGCTCATGACCATGTTCATGCTACTAGTTCCTAAATCACTAGCCCTAACTCATCGATCATAACAAGTATTTGTGTGACTCCACCTGCCGGGCCACTTCGTCTACCTTTGACATTTTCACTTAAACTTCCAATTTTCTCATTTTAATCAGCTATTTCACAATATTCCCACCTTCCAACCTCAAAAACTGATTGTTTCTTGCCAGATTTACAGAATCAACCAGGGTCCTGGCAGGAACTAGATAAGCTAATCAACTGGGGTAATTAAGGCGAGTTCAATAAAGCCATTATTTTACAACAGGTGGACAAGGTCAAAGGGAACCAACAAGGGACAGCAAGCATCTCATGGAAGGATACTGTGTCAGAATGGCAGAGAAAGCAGATCCTGGAGCCAAGGAGATTAGCCATGGCTATAGGAGTGGCTGACAAATTGGCTTTTGACTCACAGCCAGTCCATGACAACAAAAGTAGAATCAGGGAATTAAAGATTCCTACCTCATTCTTCTCTGATTCCTCTCCCCTGCTGTTTTCTTCCATTGACTGTACCCAACCAAAGCCAGGGGACAAGGGAGTCTGTTGGTGCAGTCCACTGAAGGTCTGTCTCCTGCCTGGGGCACAAAGACAGAGGATGGGTCTGGGAGGAAAACAAAATCAAAGCTACCTTTTTTATATACCCTCTAACGAATATGTATCTAGAAATTTTATTTTTTAATTTTTTTAATTTTTTTTTTATTTTTTAAATAAATTTTATTTTTATATTCCCCCATACAATTGCAAACGCCCCATTCTGACCCCAATCCTTCCCCTCCTGCCCCCCACCCCCCAAAAAGTGTCTCTGGTTCATAGTTTTTTGTTGATTTTGATTTTCACTTTCTTATATTCATTTTCCTGGTCCCTTATTTAAGTTTTCTAGATTCCTGCTATGAGTGAGACCATCCGGTATAGAAATTTTATTTTTTTTAAATAAGAATTTCCATCTATTTAATATGATCGTGCTTCTGGCACTATACATTATCTCAGTTATTTGCAAATATGAGTTGGAGGTTATTATCTCTGATGAGAATACTGAAGTTTCAAGCTCAAGTTAACTGAAATCTTATAATTAGTAGGTGATGGAGTCTGAACTTGAACCCTGGTGTGTCTGATCCTATAACCCTACTATGTTATCTTCCTGCTTTTGCCACTCACTCGCCAATTCTTTGTTTCTTCTGCATTTTTGTGGATACTGGCTGGTACTGGCCCTCCTAGGCATTCTTTATTCCTGGCATCAGTCTCACTTCTGCTGAGCCATGGCAAAGGACTGCAATCCATGGTCTCTTTTCCCGACTGCAATAAAAATATCTACAGCCAGGACTGCGCCATATAAATTTGCATCCCAAAATATGGGATTATTACTGTTCCCATCCAGGAAGTTCAGAGGCCTCTGAGCGGGAGCTGGTGGGGAAGTCAGAAATAACTGTGCCTCCCAGCTTTGTGCTCTGGGAGTGTTGTGAATGTTGTGAGTCTTGTGTTGTCTGTATTGTGGTTGTCAGACTAGAACAAAACAATGGTGGTAGCTCCTCCTGACCTTACTATAAGGTGCACCCAATTGTGTTCCTGGGAAAAACTACTGCACCTACAGGCATATGTGTGAATGATTCCAGCAATTTCACTGCTGCAGGTCCTGGAGAAACTTCAGGGACATCTGGAATTTCTGGAACAGGAGTTTCTGGCCACAAAGGAGAAGCACCTGACTTCACAACAGCAAGTCTACAAGCATGACGCCCCAGCTTTCAGTGACTTTGATCCAGAAAGGTTGGGCTTAAACTGTGTCAAGTGCAGGGGTCAGAGGTGACCTCCATCGGGTGGGATTCAGATGTAGCTGCTGGCTTAATGCTGGAGCACCACAGGGCGAGGGTCAACAAAAACTGTCTCACAAAGGAACTAGTGTTACCCTCTACAGCAAGTAGCATGAAATTCATGCTCCGTATAAGGTCCTGTGCTTCAGGACCCAGATGAAAGCCTGGAGGTCACATACTGGTCACCATCTTGCATTTTGTTGGGTGTCATTATAACTGGTTCTGAGACTCAGAAGAGCACAAGAAAACCCTAGAAAGGCTAGCCCCAAAGGACCTGCTCCTCTTCACTCTCTCCTGTCCTCTCCCTACTCTGCTAGGTTTTCTCTGGCCCCTTTTCTTCCCCCTTCCTCTCTCATCACAGATAAGATTTAAGGGGCAACAGGCAGGAGAGGATCATGGTTAATTGGTTAATGTTGAGCTGAGAGACCCACACATTCTGACAAAGTGGGAAGTTTAAACTTAAACTCAAATCAAATGATTCCCAAGCTACATCACGAGACTTGGATACACACACTTTCAACTGGCCATTTTCATGGCGCCATGTTCCTCTCTCTCTAAATAGTTTGATGACTCATTCCAGGACTCAAGGCTAGGATTGTTTCCATATAATTTCCTGGTATGAATTAAAAGGATCCATTTAGTAGGCCTGATATTTTTCTAACTTTCTATTCATAGCATTTTAACATGGAATCATTTTTGATGCCAAAATATTTCAATGGTTTATATTCTGGCAGTAGTGCATTGAGGTACTAGTCCCAAAGCATAATTTTTCTTTTTCAAAAATGAATAAAACCACTGACTTCTGTTATTTCAATGCTGAGCAATTAGACAGCAAGGATGGGCTTTTAATACTGATTTTTTCCCAAAGTCTTATATTTTTCTGGGAAAAAAGATTTTCACTTGCTTTTACTGCTTGTGAAAATGAGTAAGTGTATTTCTTTTCCAAGGAATCCCACTTGTTTTGACTTCTTTTAAGACAGCCTCTGTGCACGTTAAGAGCAAAGTTATTCAATGCCTTATTTATAGCCTACTTATACCCACCGTGTGTGGGTCACCCGGGTAAATAAGAGTCATATCCATATACAGGAGAAACTTTCAACACTAGGGTTAGGGAAAGACTCAGTCTCTCCCATAATTCAGTTCATACTCCTTAAGAGTAAGCAAAAGTTGACCTGAAAATCTTGCCAAACTACCACCACATACAGAAGGCTATGAAAGGAAGTTCAACTCCAGTTAAGAACTAAGAACGATATGGGCCTCCCATATTGTTAAAGATGTTAAAGACAGAGCTATCAAACTATTGCCAGCCACTACAGCATGAGTTCAATCCCCCAGCTGACCAGGGAGCTGCCCACATGGCACAGCAGACCTCTCCTGCCTCGCCTGCTACTCCCCTCAGCAGTGTATTTCAGTAGATCTGCCTGTTCTGCTCCCCACTTTCTCTGGTGAATCCTCTTACCACCCCTCCCCCCGCACCTCTGGCTTGCACCCCAGTTCTTGTATGCATAAATAGATCTTTAAAAAAAGAACTAAGGACAATATGTGAAAGGATTACACTGTCTTTGATCACTATCTTTTGAAAAGGTTACAGCTGTTGATGCATTTTGGACTATTTTGTAAACTGAGTTTGAGAGGAAAGTAATAGATTTTCATTGCAACTGTCCTCTTTATATGAAATATATTATTTTCCTTTATCCTTGGTCCTTTTCTGATAATTTATAAATTTGTTTGTTACATAAAATGTTGGCCACAAATTTTACTTATATAAAAGACTCTCCACAATGAAGGGCATATTGTGTGTAAAGCACAAGAGACAATCATCTGGAGCCTGGTCCTCCCATTCTCCCTTGGGTAGTGGGTGGTGATAAGCAGGACTCCTAGAGGTCTGGGTACCCCGAGAGCCTTCCGAGGGTTGAGTCCAAACGCCATTGCATTTGACTTTTTAAAAAGATTTATTTTATTTATTTGTGTATACAAGAGCTGGGGTGCAGGCCAGAGGTGCGGGGGGTAAGAGGATTTACCAGAGACAGAGTGGGGAGCAGAATAGGTGGATCTACTGAAATACACTGCCGAGAGGAACAGCCGGTGAAACAGAAGATGTCTGCTGAGCCATGTGGGTTAGCTCCCTGGCTAGGGCTCAAACTCAGGCCTTCACAGTGGTAGTACTGAGACTTAAACCCTAGGCCTCCCTGGAGGCTCTCTAATTTGTATAATTTTTTTCTTCCCTCCAATTTTTATCACATTTCGATTTATTGCTTTATTTCATGTGCTAAGTTTTTATAACAATATTGAATGATATATTCATATGTCATTTATCTAATTTAACCCATTAATGTAGTGAAATATATTAATACTCTAATATTTAACTATAGAATTGGGAAATTTAGAGATTTTTCCCTTTTCTTTTTCTGTTCCTCAAAAGTTAGTCTTTACAGAACTTATCAGTATGCCTACTTGGACTGTGCCCTTATGGGGATACAATTTTAACAATATTAGATTTCCTACCTCCTTTTAAGTAGGTTTTGATAATTATATTTTCCCTAGACACATGTCCATTTCATCTAGATTTTAAATTGTATCGATACGAAGTTGTTCAATCGCATTTGATTTAAACTTTTGTTTTTTCTTCCTCATATTTCCCTATATCTTCCTCATTTTTGTTGTTTCAAGTCAGACTTCCCAGTGGTTTATTTTACATATTTAAAAAAAATTACCCATTACCCAGTTTATTTAACAAATATGTAATGGGTGTATATGTGTACTGGGGAATGTTCTGTATTTTACAGATATTTCCAAGGAAAATATTTTACTGATCAAATTCTTTCAAAGTTCATTTGCTTATTTTTATGAATATCTCCTTATTCCTGGGTTTTAAAATTATCCTTTTATTGCCTTCTTGTTCTGGATACTTGATTGATTCCTATCTATTTGTTTATGCCTTTACCAAGCCCACGTTACCTTGACTACCATCACTCTATGATAAACATTGATGTTGGGTACTGTCGTCTTCCTATGCTGTTTGACCACCCTCAGTGTTTTGTCTTTCCATATAAACTTTACAATTTTACAATATTCACAAAATAATTTGCTGAGATTTTGACTGGGATTACACTGTGCCAAAAGATCAAGTTGGGAAGAACTGACATCTTGACAATACTGAGTGATCTAATCATGGATGTAGAATGTCTCCATTTGTTTAGTTGTTTTTTACGTCATTTATCAGTTTTGCAGTTTTCCTCATTCAGATCTTGTACATATTTTGCTTGATTTGTACCTAAGCATTTCATATTGGGATCCTAATGTAAACGGTATGGTGTTTTTAATTTCAAATTCCACATGTTCATTTTGATATGTACATGTGTACTGGGTAATGTTCTGTATAGAAAAGAGGTAGACTTTTACACAAAAACCTTGTAACCTTCTATCTTTATAACATTGTAGCTTACAGCCTTGCTACAATTGTTTATTATTTCCAGGATTTGGGTTTTTTTGGTCAATTCTTTCAGATTTTCTACACAGATGATCATTTTATCTGTGAACAAAGACAGTTTTGATTTCTTCCCTTCCAATCTGCATACCTTTCCTTTCCTTTCTTGTACCTGTGTCTTACTGTATTAACTAGAACATTCAGTGCAAAGTTGAAAAGGAAATGCAAGTCTTTTCCCTGATCTTAGTGGGAAAGCAAGGGTATACTTTTTAACATTTTAGAATTTGTTGACTTTTCTTTAAGTTTTTTTTTTTTTGTGGATTAATACAAGGTAAATGTAATGAATTTAAAGACAATATACATATATACATATACATATAGATAAAGCTTGTTAGTTAAATTATTTAGTTATTTCAGGTCCTTTCTCCTTTCCAGCTTATTTCCACAGAATCATAGCTCTTAGAATTGTCAGGGACTTCAAAATAATGAGATCCAGATGAGCAAAGTACTATTTTCCCATGTTATAGCTTAGACGTTGGTGGCATAGAAAGATGAAGTAATTTACCCAAGGGTACAAGGCTAATGAATAACAAAATAAGGACTAGAGTCGAGGCCTGCAGTGAGACTCGAAACAGGAAGTGCCCGTCATCACTGGTGTACACCATCCTTCCTGCCGGAGGACAGTCACGTTATTAATACAGATCAATGCTACACTCAAGAACTCTGGTTACTAATTAGAATGTTGACTGCATGCCCAATAAGAAGCTTATTTGTTTATGTTTACTTAGACAAGTGGAAGGTGAAATCTTCAAGTTGGAGATGCTACTTGGAGATGTTAAGGAGAAAATGGAGAGAGGCAAATATACATCAGCTCTCTCCCTTCCCATGAGTTCTCCCAACAACCCGGATGACTTGGCATCCTCTCCACCCTCAAATGAGGTAATGCAGCAACCTACAACCCAACTTCATGCCAGGAAAATGGTTTTTATGCATTTCACTGAATCACCAGTTCTGTTTCAGTATTTCACGAACACTTAACTTTTCCGTAAGTCATATTTCAAATGGAACCAGCTTAAAAAAATTAGAAACTATTTCAAGTGTTGGATTTTGAAATATTGTATTAATTTAGGATGAAATCTTGCAGTTAAACTGATGAGCTGATACAGAACTATTTCTTCTGGATGAACAGTGTTTTTGTGTGGCTCTTGCCTGGCAGAAATAATTTTTCTTCTTGCTGGTTTTGTTCTCCTTCTTTTGAATAAAGAATGACACACACAGTGAAAGAACTCTTCCCCATGAATCCACTGCTGCATTTTCTTTGTCTCAGTTAAGCTCTTCTGGGTTGTCTACATAGTCATGATTAGGAATTTAAATCAATCACCACTGTCTTTCCACACGTTTTGTTCTTGTAGCCTCAACTATTAGAACATTTCAGACTAAATTACAATTCTGGGAACTGAATCATCTGGGTAATTGTCTTAAAGGGACTCTTGTTTTGCACAGTGTTTGAAGACACTGTCTATGGCTGGTATTAAAAACTTGATAAGTTTTTGTTAGAGCTAAATACAAGATGATGATTATATAAACTTTAGACCTTCAAAAGCAGTGTTTGTCTCCTCAAAAACACCTTGCAAAATCTCATTCATTCAAGGCCCAGCTTCAGAGTGCAGCCAACTATGTAAGCTTAGCCACCAGCTCCCCCACCTCAGCCAAAACCTTTGCTCAGGCCTCTGTGTCCCTACAGCACTGTGTCTCACTAAACCTGGTGCTTTTGTACCCATCTTTGTATCCCAAACATCTGACTGAATGCAGGATGAGAGTGAGTGGACCCACCTGGACTTTAATGATTTTGATGCTTCACAAGCAGCCTCCAAGGTTAACAGCCCATTATACCTCTGGTCCTGAACCTGAATTAGCTTCAAGGTGCTGTGAGGGAGACTTGTGAGTCACCCTGGCTTTCTGGCCCTCAGGCCTGGCTTTGTTCTTTACTTGGTCCTACCTGAGTTTATTGCAACTATTGGAAAATGATGAGAATTTATAACTTTGTGGTAAACAGCCCTGAAAAAAGAAACTATCTTTTTTTTATCAGCAAAGATTTGCTGAATGTTCTATTTGCTAAATGCTAGGCACTTTTTTAGGTAATGTGGATACAACATAAACACGACTGACATCATCTGCCTTCAAGATGCTTACATTTCTGTGAGAGACACATACATTGAACAAATAAAATGAGCACATAATTACAGAATATTAAAAGTGCTGTGCAGGAAGTAATAATACCTTCCTTGTGACTGAAGTTAGACCCTCTGTGTCCAAATACTAACTTTGTCATTTATCAGCTTTGTGGCCCTAGGAAAATTCCACAAGCTCTCTGTGCCTGCATTTTCCCCTCTGTAAAATGGGGGATAATAATATCTGCCTCACAGAATTGTTGAAGGCATTTAAATATGGGAAGTGCTTACGACAGGGCCTGGCTTATAATAAGCACATTACTCGGGCGTCAGCCAGCGTGACTACTAAGCAGTGGGCTATGACCAAAAGTAACTCAGTGGGAGGGTAAGTTCTTCAGAAGAGATGAATTTGAACTGAGTCCTAGTTGATGAGAAGGAGGCAGCTAGGTGCGGAGTCTTGAAAAAAGGACTCCAGGCAGGAAGTGATGGTAGGTTGGGGTGGGGATGTGGAATTGAAAGCTGAGGGGCAGCAATCCTAACGGCAAGTCCTCAGTGCAGCTGCTCAGACTCCCAAAGAGCACCAGATGCCCTTGGTGGTCCCGGGGCTCATGTGGGCATAAAAAGGACAGGGATACCCCCCCCTACACACACAAAGTGGGCAGCCCCTTTTACACAGTCCCTCCCAAGGGTCTAAGCGGCACAAGGGCAGACTGAGGACTACATAACTGGGGAGACTGTCCTTCCTCTCCCAACCTGCACCCTTGGGGTGCCTGGGAAACCGGGGGAAGGGGGTCAGCCTGACTTCTTCAGCCCTGTTGCTGCACAAGGGAGGGCCGGGAAAAGAGGAGAAAAGGCGAGGTGATACATGGTGTCTCCGCCACATTCTACTTCAGATTACTCCTTCCACTGCCCCCGGGTGTTGAATTAAATTCCCAGTAATTAAAGTAAAAATAATCCCTGAAATTGGGACTCCCAGAAAGCTAAACAAAATCATTATAAATTCAAACTTCCTTTAAAAACCAAAACAACACACTGCAACACACAACCAGGGGGATGTAACTGCCCAGGACCAACCTGATAAGTGGCCATGAGGTTGTCTGGCAATTCCAGGGAAAAGCCCAGCAGCCTGGTCCTCGCTGTGTTCAGCTCATTTCACAGCTCCTGTAACCAGCAATGCTGAATGAGACTCTGAAATTTGCAGGATTGTGCTCACCTGGCCCTCATGCATTGGTACCTGGGTACTGGTGCTGGGGAGAGCAGCTAACGATGCTAACATTTCCTACCCTTTCAGCACACAGGAGAAACCTACCTCGGTCACCTGGTCTGCCAGGGCTTCTCCGGCTGCATCTGTGGACCTTTAATCCAGCAGGTCTGGGTGAGCCTGTGTCTCTGCGTTTCCAACAAGGCCCCAGGTGATGCCAGTGTTGGTCTAGGGACCACAATGGAGACGATTTCATTTCGAATGATTTGGAAATACTGGGATTAAAAAACCTGAGCGTCTAAAATGGTGACAAAACCGTAAGGAAAAAAGTTAATTGTGTTCCTTCAGAGTTTAACAGTTTGCAAAACTTTTTGCAGAAGAGGTGGAAGCTTAGAAAGATGAGATTTGCTAAGGGCAAGTGACAGACATTGAACCCCAGGCCTCCCAGCTGAGGTGAGGGCATCTCCTAGGTTCTGCTAATGAAATCTATCTTCAGAGTGCATGACAAGGGTCACCTGCAGCCCTAGAAGTGATAAAAGGAAACACAAGAGGAAGTGGAGGGAAAAACCATTATTTTTTTAATTATAAAAGCAAACTATGCTTATTGCAAAAATAACCAGCAAGCACAGAAAAATATAAAGAAATTTCAGGGCATAAAATCATTCCTAATATTTTAGTGTACATCCCAACTTTTCTGTGCATTCACATTCATTTTTGTAAAAATGGGATCCTGCTATATGTATTGTTTTACGATCTGCTCTTTTCATTTAACATTATACTGTGGGCATCTCATCATTTAGACTCAACTACTCTTTCATACTTAAGGACTGCTCTGTATTTCATTATATAGATGTACCCTGATTTATTTAAGCTATTCCTTGTGAATAGAGTGTTTTTTTCATTTCTTTGATATTATTGTAAGGGGCAGGAATGGGCACAGGGCAGGTTTTCTATGATCCCAGCAGACGGGGTAAGGGAGGAGTCAGAGTCCTGGAGCCCTCGGTGGCTTTTGTAGGCTTTTATTGGGATTTACCAGGTATACAGCAGGCAGGGGTGCTGGGAAGCCAAGAGGCTGGCAGGCCTCCCAGCCCCCAGCAAGTCTTCACCCTAGGCTCTAAGGCCTTCTCTCATGTTCTCTCTGCTCTTCCCATGGCTCTGCTTCTCTCTGGTGTCCCCGTGATGCCGCCCTTAAAAGTGCAGTATGAGCCCAGGTGAATCTAATCTACATATGCCCACACCCTACTCCAGGTGCCCACCATCAGGCATGCAATCCGAATGGTGGGAGGGCAGAAAAGCCTGATACCTTTTACCTTACCCTATAATTATAAACACCGCTGTAAGTAACATCATTTTACATGCAAATGTAAGGTCAGGAAGGACACTGAGCAGGTTTTCTAAGATCCAGCAGACCGGGTAAAGGAGGAGTCAGAGTCCTCAGTGGTTTTTTGCAGGTCTTTTATTGGGATTCACCAGGCATATGGCAGGCAGGGATGCTGGGGGGCCGGGAGGCTGGCAGGCCTCCCAGGCCCCAGCAGGTCTTCACTCTGTGGGCTCTCTGGCCTTCTCTCGGCTTCTGCTTCTCTTGCTTCTCGCTCGGCTTCTGCTCGGCTTCTTCTGGCGTCCCCATGGCGCTGCCCTTAAAAGCCCAGTCTTAGCCCAGGTGAATCCTATCTACATCTGCCCACACCCTATTCCAGGTGTTCACCATTAGGCATGCATGTATTCAGGACCGCAAGGATCCATCATGTATCCTGATGACGGGAGGGCAGAAAAGCCTGACATTTTTCCTTACCCTACAGCAAACTTTTGACCATAGTTGATCAAAATAATCAACTTAGAATAAAATCCTAGGAGTGCAGTTCAGGGTTCAAAGGGTACACATTGAAAATTTGGATAAATGGACCTTTAGCCAGGTAATGCCAGTTCATACCCCACAGCAGGGTGTGGAAATGCCAGTGTCTCCAATATGAAACCATACTGGGTATTTTTTTTCTTTTCCTTTTCAATCTTTACTAAAGCGATGTGTTTTAATCTGTATTACTTTAAAAAAAAAAGATTTATTTATATATACAAGCACTGGGTACAGTCAGAAGCACGGGAGGGTGAAAGAGTTCACCAGAGCCAGAGTGGGGAGCAGAGCAGGCAGAAGGACCGAAGTACACTGCTGAGGGGAGCAGTGGGGGGCAGGAGAGGTCTGCGTGCCATGTGGGACCCTCACCCGGTGGCCAGGGATCGAACCGGCGCTGCAGAGGCTGCGGGCAGCTTCGCAACCCAGCACTCAACCACTGTGTCACCAGGGAGGCCCTAATCTGTATTACTTTTAATCATTGCTTTAATCGATATTACTTTGCCTATATGTGAAATTTAACCATGTGCATGTTTCTTGGCCATTTGCACCGCCTCTTTGACATCAACATTTTATGTTAGCAAAACTGAAAACTTAAAAAACTGCCTTTTTAAAAAGGCAGACAACTGAGAAAATAATAGAAGTAAAGTTTGGCAGTGAGGTTTCATCAAAGTTCTCACACAATTGCACAAAGGAGAATTGTGATTAAAAACACAACTATTAGGGTAAAAATTGAGGTACTGGCTCCATCACCTATTCTGAGTCGACCTCAACAAGTTGTTTACCTTCTCTGACTTCATATTTTTCATGGTTAAAATGGGAGCACGTGGTGGAGGGAAGGAATAAAGGAGGGTATGTAAGAAGCACCTGCACAATGAGCAACAAACCAATAGCTGCTTTTGCTAATAAGTGAACACTGAAACCCTCCAAAATATTCATGGACAAAGGCTATGAACTTAAAAACCACAAGTAGGAAATACAACCAATAAATAAGCATATGGGAAAATGTTTATGCTCATTTTTTTTAGCAAAGGGACATTTTAATAAGAGGAAATGCAAATGAACACAAGGTGCCACCCACTCCCCTTCTTAAATTAAGAAAACATTTTCAGGTGGTAATTCCTGATGCAGAGGAAGGTGTGGTCAAGCAGCCGCCCACATTGTTGGTGGCTGTGTAATTCATACAACTTTTGTGAAAAGCAATTTAGCATTCCTGTCATCACACAAACATGCTGGCGATTTGGGACCCAGACATTTCCTAAGGAAGTAATTCAAATTATGGAAAAAACTATCTGTACAAGGATGCTGATGCCAGCGTGGTGTTTTAATGGTGGGAAACACGTTTACTTTCTATTGACATAAAGAGGAAAACCATAGTAAATAATACACAGAGGGCGGGATCGGCCCTCTGTTCAGTAGTGAAAGATTTTTGTGTTAAGGAAGGACATATATGCAATAACTCAGGTCTCTAGAGAGTCCCTCAACCTTATTTTAATTAGCAGTAGAATACATTTCTTTGGAAAAGCTTAGGGCTCTACCTCCAATCAGACTGATAGATTTAAAAAATCATCTTTTTTTAAAAATTTATTTATGCATACAAGAGCTGGGGTGTAGGGCAGAGGAGCATAGGGTGAGAGGACTCACCAGAGACTGAGTGGAGTGCAGAAGAGGCAGATTGACTGAAATACACTGCTGAGGGGAGCAGCAGGCCAGACAGGAAAGGTCTGCTGTGTCATGTGGGTCAGCTCCCAGGCTGGCTGGGGAAACTAACTTGTGCTTCAGTTGCTGGTGACAGCTTGACAGCATTCTTTAACCCCTATACTACCTTGGAGGCCCTAAAAATCATCATAAATCTTTCCCTCCTTTGGCGGAGCTTGCAGTAATTTGAAACTAAAGGGGAAAAAAGTTTGTAGTGGGGAGTAGTCTTTCATCTGTAAGCCAGATTTTATGATCTGTTTGGAGAAGGAAAGACCTGAAGCCAGTGTGGAATCTTTTTCTGAGCCCAAGGCCATTGCAGGAGTACAGGCCCTGAGAGAGCTCAGGAGGAGGCTCCAGCAGGCAGCGGGGAGCTCAGCTGCAGGCTGGGCTGTGTGTGAGCAGCTCTGGTGTGAGTCACTTCCTGTCACATCCACATCTGCCTGTGTTTGTGGTGCAGGAGGACCCCAACGCCCCCCAAAGGCAGGACCGTGCAGAGACAACCAGTCCTCGCTATGCCTTCTGCCATTGGGTACTTGAATGGTGAGGTCTTGTACAAGTTCCAGGTTGGGAGGGAGCCAGGCCTGGGGTGAGGACTGCAGTGAGAGTGGGCGTCCACTAAGTGAATGGGGGTGGGGGCATCAGAAGTTACTGACCAAATTGTAACAGAATCACAGGTCTCCAGGCTGGGCAACTAGCCTGGCCTCCCTCCCAACTTACAAATCCTTCCAGCAGTCACTCTCCACTGAGGAAGTATTTTAATAAACCACATGCCTCAGCCCCGCCAGGGGTGGCGCCCCGGTAGGGCCAGGCCTGTTAAAATCTCCCAGGTGATTCTGATCAGCCCTGACAGTTAAGAATCAGGTGACAGCACTCAAAGGGTGGTTTCTTCTGTAGGTTTTGTTTGAAGGGAAATTACTATATGCCATTATATGCCACCTTCCTCGCAGGAAGAGAGAAAATCACCTATTGGGTTGCCCCCCCCCCCATCCTCCTTTGCAGTCCCGCTGAATTAGGCCTAATCCCATGTCTCAGGGTTTATTTCTCCCCATTCCTACCAATAAATCTTCCTGAAGTAACAATTGGCAAATTATGTCAAAGTTGTAGATCCTAAGGAGAAATTAATATTTTCGAAATTCTCACTGGATCAACTGTTAGCTCGTGTGAATTCAGAATCTTTTTTTTAAAGATTTATTTTTATTTATTTATACATAAATAAATAAATACCCCTGCACCTCTGGGGTACAGGCCAGAGGTGTGGGGGGTGAGAGGATTCACCAGAGACAGAGTGGGGAGCAGAACAGGCAGATGTACTAAAATACACTGCTGAGGGGAGCAGTGGGTGAGAGGAGAAGTCGGCTGTACTATGTGGATCAGCTCCCTGGCTGGGAATTAAACTCATGTCACAGTGGCTGGCGATAGCTTGATAGGGCTGAGACTTTAACCCCTGAGCCACCAGGGAAGCCCTGAATTCAGAATCTTTTATTTGAAGCGCCTCCAAGCTCGGGAGGCATGTGGATTGGGGCCAAGGTTTGGCTAATTTACTTTTGAAAGGTCAAGAGTCAAGGAAGGAGTTTCTGTTTAGCAGCCACTATTACATGCACGTAATGAACGCTAATGGAAGCAGATGACACGGCCTTTAAGACTGAAATTTCCTGCAGGAATGGGCGCTTGTCATCGTGTTCTATTGCATTTCCGTCTCTTCACAAAGAAACAGGTGTTTGTGCTAAAAATGACTGTGTCATCTGGGGTGGAACATGGCTTTACACAACATGCCCGTCGATCAGCTCCTTTAAACATAAGGGACACTAATGATGCCTCCTTCCCAAGTCGCCCCAGACCTAGTATGTTTACTTGGTGAATTAAAAATCTAGATTTTGAATATTTAAGGTTTTATTAAGTATAATTTAAAAATTTGACAAAGAAAATTTTGATTTAAACATTAAAGGTTTAAATGGTTCTCTTCCAGATTCCTAGTCTAGACCTTATAGAACCACTTAAGTACCAAGATGAGGACTGTGATGTTTCAGTCTAAATATACTCTTTTATGATGAAGAAGATGGAAGAACCAAGCATAAAATGAGATCTAACAGTAAATCTACTACTGAGGAGTGATGAGGAACTTTCCACGAGTTATAAATTAAAATCTTAGTAAAATACATAACCCCTAAGGAACTAATTGAATGGAGGGCTATATACTCTCTACTGTTAGATTAGGTATCTCTCAGGGTGTGTTCTTTATGAAGCTTGCTTAAGTACATACTGTTCCAGGATATTGGCAAAGTATTATATACATGCAGATAATATGTATCCCGCATATAAAATACTTACCCCTTTGTGTTATTTCTGATGGAAAACTTTGGACTGAAGAATATACTTTAGCTCCATTGTCTTGTTAAAATATAGCAGATAGCCATTATGTTTGGCAAGAAGACTTTGGCACTCCAAGAAGTTTAAAAGAGGCAGAAAAAGAAAGTTATGTGTTGGACTGAAATCACTTGAGACAGATCCAAGTTTTCCACTTTGGAGAGCAGATGTTCAAATGCCCTGGAGGAGGAGGGTGGAGACGGAAAATGAGGTGTGGGAAAATATGTGACTCAGGCGGAGAGCGTGTTTTTCCAGAGGAGGGAAAGCGCCTCACTTCTCAAACCCCGACCCCACAAACCCTGCTGGCAGCTGGCTGGGCACAGTGGGATGTGCCTGCAATGTGCCAGGCACACGCTCAGGCTCATCCCCATGGGAGGAATCATTTTGTTCCTGCAGACTCAGTCCAGGATGACACGGGCACAGCGCCTTCCACACTGAGAATGAGCAACTTTCCCTAGGGCTGCGATGGCCTCCAAGGGTCTGTGTGAGAGCTTTGCTAAAAACTGTTATTGATTATAATTTCTTTGGCAGCGTTAGAATTTCTGTAAAGGAGTAAGGCTGAAATTACAGACTGGTAAATGGAAGCATCTTGGTAAATGACAATTCTAGTAGTTTCTTTCTGATGCCCCCTGGTGGCCTTACACAGCTAAAATGAACCCTCCATGCTTCCAAAGACATACATAAGACAGGACATAATCCACTCTGGGCTTTTTGGATACTTTTGCTTTGTACTTACAGAGCCATAGCCACATATGACCCAGTTGGCAGGTGGGGGAGGGGGACAGGGAGGGGGGAGAGAGAGAGAGAGAGAGATTCTTTCCGTAATAAGAACTGATTTTGAGACATGAAAAAACTCCCAAGTTTCATAATTCCATACTTCAAATGTCTATATTATGTATGTGTGCATGATAATTAGATAGTACCCCTGGTAACAAAACAGATTTACTCTTAGAGTATAAAAATTCTTACCAGGTCAAATGATGCTGGTGCAGTTCCCTCAGGGAAGCTCTCAGCCAGGCAGGTGGAGGATCCCTATGTTGAGGCTGATATGCGGCTGCCTTGCTCCAGGGGCTGTAAAAGACATTAAATTTCAGCTTTACTGACTTTCAAGAGCTCTGTTAGAATAAGCACACTAAAAGTTTATGGGGTCTTATGTGCCTCTTTTTAGGCAGCAAAGCATGGAGGAAAAAGGCCACAGAAGCAGCAACTGTGGAAGGTCTCTCATTGCCATGCAAGAGAGGGCACTGCACCCGGCTTCCGTTCTCAGTAAGTGGAGGGGCCCGAGGGTCTCAGTGCCCACTCTTCTGTGTCCCTCTCCACAGGGTCTGCTCACAGAGGCCAGCTTGCCATCTGCCACTCCCAACAACACTGCCTCGACTAGGCTGTTGCATGTTATGTTTTTGCGTGTGTGCAAAATATAAAGAAATTAATGAATGACTAGATTTAAACAAGATGTGGTCAAGTAGGGGGAAAGTGCTGGCATATTTCTGGCTGGATCACAGGGCTCCATGGGCCGGGTCATTGGGTGGTCTCATTTCTATGTCATCAGCTTCCCACATGACCCACAACCTGCACCTGCTAAACTTATCGGCCACGGGTAAGTTGTATGGACTTGTCTACACACATTTCATAGAAGCAAAGAAAGAGCTGGGAGGAGACTTAGAGAGCACCATGTATGGAATGCAGTGACTTTTGGTTATAGCAGCCTTTGTCTGAAGATAAACAGAAAAAAAATCCCCTGGCAGAACTGCCCTGGATGAGGAAGAGGTGGGGCTGAGGCCTGACTGCTCAGGCAGCTCCTGAGCATGAAATTCACCAGTGGTTGGGCCACTTGGGTGACTGAGCCTAAGTTCACACAGGGGAAACTGGGGCCAGAGAGGTAACAAGGCTCATGTCACCCAGCTGGTTAGCCAAGAGCTTTCCCTTCAACTGGCTATGCTATGTCACATTTAGTTCTATTTCTTCTCCATAGATGACACTTTCCCAATAATCATAATCAGACTTATTGATTGAACACTTACCATAGTGAGTGTTCCTCTGTTACTGTTGCAGTAACAGATCCAAGGTTTGCAAAGTAGACTCAAGAGGGCCCCATAGGGGGTCTGAGACCCTTTCCTGGGGTCATGATATCCTGTTTTCCAGTAATATATCTTTGCAAGGCCAATACTGCAATTGAATGAATGGAGAAGCAGTTATGAAATCCAGCTTCTGCCTAATTAAATTAGCCAGATATTCAAGATGCATGCCAAAATATAAAATACCCTATGTATTAATAATATAAGATGGATTTATTTTTGTTGTTTTTAAATGACTTATTTGTTTTTATTGCCTCAGTTTAAAATTCTACAAAACAAGTCGCAGGACTGCTTGTTCAGTTTTAGGAAAATCCAAATGATTCCAAACAGGCAAATATAACTTGAAATGTACCTACCCGCCAATCCATCTTCAGCTGCCTGGAAGGTGAACCATAGCTCTTCTATAATGCAGGGGGAGGTTTTTCACCTGAGGTATATAATATGGCACATTTTACAACATATGGTAGGTATAAACTGTAAACACAAGCTCTTTAGGGCCTCCGATTTTAGGATTGTAAAAGTGGTCTGAAATAAAAAATTTGAGAGCTGTTAAAATAGCGTATATATGTAAGATGGGAATTATCTTTATTTTATAGCTAAGGAAATGGAGGCCTCTGGTGGTAAGGCTGCAATCAAGATCAATCATGTGAAAGCCCGACTGGACTGGACAATCTCCTTCCAAGGTGGTTCCCTCACATGAGCACTGTTAAGTTTCTGTTCCTTGACAAGTGGATCTGTCCAATAAGCCAGCTTCCCCAGAGCAAGTGATCCAAGAAGGAAGCTTCAATGTCCTTTGGAACCTAGCTTTAGAAGGTGTACACCACGACCGTCACTTAATTGTTTGTTAGAAGTCACCAAATCTAGCCCATTCTTCCTCAGGGAAAGAGGAATTAAACTTTACCTTTGGAAGAATAGGTCAAAGAATTTGTAAATATACTTCCAATTATCACATCCCATGTACAATGGAACATGCCCTTTCCATCGTACAGCACAACCTTCCCAGGAGATATCCTCTGTAATGTGCCCAGATTCAGGATCGAAAAGGCATTCAATGATCATCAACACAGTGAGGTTTGGGAAAGAAGGAAAACCTTCCTAGAGTTTTTTCCATTTGTGATTTGCATCTTGAAAAATGTTAAAAATGAGTGTGATTATGAGCCGGTAGCACTGGCAGCAGCTTTGTCCCCTAGTCTCATCTCACCTGAAACCAAAATATTGGACACCCACACCCACACCTGATGCACTCCCCGAGCAGGCTGGGCCCCCATGCGCTGGCCTTACCTGAGAGCGCCGCTACCCACAGCCTGCTACCAAGCTCTGGGTCCACACCAGGCCCGGGTGCTCTCAATTGTCAGCCTCTTCGTGGCTGATGAGGACACAGCTATATTCAGATTCTCAAGTGGGCTTATGAATTTGATATAGAGAAAAAAAATTTCCAATTGCTTTGTCAACATAAGACAAGCTCCTGGCCACAACAGTGTCTGAGAAAATAACATGAATGTATCAGAACAAACCTGGAAAAAGATAACTACAGATGCAAGCTTGTCTGATAATTCATGGGCTAATCCTTACAGATCAATTCATTCAGCAGCCTTGTGCTAAGCACCTCTATGCTAGAGGTATGCCAGAAAATTCTTGAGACTTTATCAGAACTGTTACTTATCACATCTCTTACTTGTCAGGAGGAAGTCCCAAATGTCACCCGTATGCTAGCAACCCCGCCTTGTTACTCAGCTTGATGGCACAGCTGGGCAAGCTGAGCATTTAGGTGGCTAATGCAAACCTTGTCCAGTTCAGGCTCTCTTGTTCACACTACATCGCGTGACTATAATGATCATACTTCTTTTTCATAACTTGGGCTTTTCCAGGTTCTGATATGGGACACAGCTGCCATTCTGCTTCTGGCCCTGGACTGCAGAGCAACACACATGAGGACTGTGGCATGAAGGTTCCTTGTGCCGGGAAAGTCTGCGACAGAGAACCATCTCATGGTGAGAGTCACTGGGAGAGCTGGGAAAGAGGGGACAGCTGTTGCTCCCAGGCAATGAGTTGTGATTTTACTCTTTTCTTGTTAGAATTTGTTTATAGATACAACACCCCAGAACACAATTATTCAAATCACAGTGAAAGATGTGCCTTTGTCCAGCTCTGCTTTTTAAATGAAAATAAAAACTCTTCACGGTGTAAGTACCTCTCCGGCATGCTTCCACTTTTGTAAACAATGTAGTCTTTCAGGTGTGGGAGACCCACACACAATGGCCACTGCTTCCTTTTGGGGAGCCCCCGACCTATCCAGTGTGCTCCCCAGGCGCCCAGCACCCACCTGATGCTTCTGCAGCCAGACCTCTATGTGGACAGGTGAGGCCGAGCTGGTGCATATAAAATCCCAACAACGAAGCACTCTGAAGGTGGACCTCCCTGGTGATGTAGGGGTTAAGCCTCAGCATGACCACCGTTAAGGCCCTCTGCCTGCAGCAGCTAGAGTCCAAACCCTGGCCAGGGACCTCACATGGTACAGCAGACCTCTCCTGTCTCGCCCGCCGCTCCCCTCAGCAGTGTATTTCAGTAGATCTGCTGTTCTGCTCCCCACTATGTCTCTGGTGAATCCTTTCAACCCCTGCACCTCTGGCCTACACCTCAATTCTTTTTTTTTTTTTAAGATTTATTTATTTATTTATACAAGAGTCAGGGTACAGGCCAGATGTGTGCGAGGGTGAGAGGACTCACCAGAGACAGAGCGGGGAACAGAACAGGCAGACTGACGAAATACACTGCTGAGGGGAGCAGCGGGTGCGACAGGAGAGGTCTGCCGCGCCATGTGGAATCCTTGCTGACCAGCCAGGATCGAACCCGTGCTGCAGAGGCTGTGGACAGCTTCACAGAGTGGCAGTCAACTGCCTGCGCCACCAGGGGAGGCCCTATACCCCAATTCTTCTACATAAAAGTAAAATCTTAAAAACAACCAAAGTGATTTTAAAAAATAAATAAAGCACCCTGAAGGTTATGAAGTGCTATATAGTGCAATCTGGTAACAATTCATAATTATTTGCTGAACAAATGATGGGTTGAACAATTGCCACTATTATGGCTTTAACTATATCCCTCCTAAATATCGGCATGTAAAGAAATAGACTGTTTTTATACTATTTAATCATCATAGCAGTCTCTTCAATGCAAAATTTTGCTGTCTGGAAAAGCTATAAATCCCACAAACATCTATAAAGATGAATAAGACATGACTCCTCCCTCCCAAGGAATTTACGGTCTATTGAGAGAAAGGAACTCATCCCCAAATCAGTTATGGCAAAATGTGATAAATGCTGAAAGCAAAGTGAGAGTGTACTAAGGGGTGAGCAGAAGGAAGGAAATGTCCATTGTTTTTGCCTCTGAACAACAGTCATACCTGGTTCTCTGTGGGAGAATTCATACCTTCAGAGTTCATTCTCTCCCTCTTTGGGGACAGGGCACCAGGAGAAATGTTTCATTCACAGTTGCCAATATCCAAGAATAAAGAATGGCTAGGACAATGCAGAAGCAACCAGGCAGATTTATTTACTGTCTCCTTGGTCTTTGGGTCGATAGCTGTGACACCTGTTATTCCAATGAATGAATGAGGAATGCGACTGAGTCATCTGCAATGTTCATCTGCAATGTGATTCTGAACTTCATTAGTAAACATATAGTGGCCACGAGGGTAGAAGTGACAGGGAGGCATCTTTTGCTCAATGTTAAAAAAAAAATTACCAGCAACTAGGACAGAAAGGGAAGAGCTCTGTGGCGGGTGGCCAGGAGCCCCACCTGCAGGCTGGGAGGGACTGCTTTGCCAGGGTGTAGACTGCGCGAGAACTAGACTCAAGGGCCTTAAGAGTCCTTTCCAACTCTGAGTTTCTGTGGTTCAAATTAAATCCAAACTTGCATTTGGAGTCTAGCAAAGGACTGAGACAGCACTCACCCGCGCCTCTGTTCACAGCTCAGGCCTGTGTGCTCAGCAGGACCAAATTCCAACTATCTGGCGGCTGCTCTTCCATGTCTGAGGGACAGCCCGTCCATTCCTCTCATGAAATGGGAGTGAAGTCTGGCTATTAAAACCCTGTGAATAAGACAGGAGACCTGGAAGGAGACAAAGGGGAAGGCAGAGGAAAAGACAGGAGAAAGAGGGGAAAGGAGATAAGAGGGGAAGGGAGCCTCAGCCACAGAGAAGGCGGATTTGTTGGCCACTGACTTCTGTTTCCTCCCTTCCAGGCCTTTCTCTTTGTCTTCCATGGTGACTTTGCTACATGGTCTTCTCTGTCTAGTTTCTATTTTCTGGATTGTCTTATTAACATCACTTAGTTTCTAACGCCTTAGGATCCTTGCTCCTACAGCTGGAGAGGACTTTAGGAATCCACCTGGGGTCCATGTAATATCTTGGAAGATATTACCCTTCCATTTGCAGATGAAGTAGCGAAGCCTGGACAAGACAAGCAGGCCAGGTTACACAGCAAGCACCAGGTCTCTTGACTGCTAATAAAGCTCCTTTAAAAAATTGAATTTTTCCCCCCTGAATTTAGAATACTTGACAGGAAGTTGTTTTCTATATTAGAGGCCTAATTTTCTTATTTTTTAAAAAAAGTTGGTTTATTTGATTTTTTAAAAAGATTTATTTATTTATACACACAAGAGCTGGGGTATAGGGCAGAGATACGGGGGTGAGAGGATTCACCAGAGACAGAGTGGGGAACAGAACAGGCAGATTGACCGAAGTACACTGCTGAGAGGAGCAGCAGGCAAGCCATGAGAGGTCTGCTGCGCCATGTGGGTTGCTCTCTGGCAGGCCGGGGATCGAACTCGTGCTGCAGAGACTCCGAATTGCTTCATAGTGCGGTGCTTAACCCCTTGCACCACCAGGGAGGCCCCTAATTTTCTTATTAATATTAATCATAGCTAACCTTTTTCAGCTTATTCAAAACCAAAGTGCATCTGTTCCTGGAGAGTCAATTCAAAATCCTCTCAAGATGAGTATCCCATACCAGGAAAGTAAGTATTATTTTATTATTATTATTAGTGGTTAACAAAAATGGCTACCCATTGGCTGGAGGCCTGCAGTGTGCTTTGTGCATTTAATGATTTGCCCAAGATCACCTAGATGATTAGTAGCAGAGCCAAAATTCAAACTTAAGTCTGGTTAACACTTCATTTAACAAATATTTGAGTGTCAAGGCGTGGTGTTATACTAGGTGCTGAGGACATGGTGACAATGTTAAATACAGTTCTGGGCTTCATGGTTGTCATTGTTTTGGTAGAGAAGCCAGTCAGTCCTTGTCAGTGCCAAGAAGAGGGTATATAGAGTACTATTTCCTAACCTGAGAGTTCAGGGAAACTGAGCTCCAAAGGGTAAGTATGAAGACACTCTAGCAAGGAGATGTGGGCTAAGAGTGAAGACCATTCCAGTCCGAGAGTTTCCTGGGGTGTGCAGGAAGGTGTTTAGACTTTTAGAAACATTTGGAAGCCAACAGTTTTAAATCAAGGCATTGAAATTTTTTTTAGTGTTCAGTGTTTTAAAATATCACTCTAGCTAGTAAGGGAGGGGGAATGGAGTCAAAAGTTGGAGTACAGATGCCAAATATGAGGTTAGAGCCATAAACCAAGTGAGATGATGGTAGCTTCGTAAAGTGTGATGGAGTGACAGTTACGGTCTGGTAGTCTAGGGGGGGCCTTTCTGCTTGAAGAGGTACTGCACTTGTTTTTCTGTTGCTGCCTCCTTGCTGTGTAAGCTCGCTGGTGTTCACATGAACTCAAGGTGCCTGCAGTGTGCAGATTTGTGTGTATTTGTTTCATAAATAAGCAGAATAGGTGGTTTGCCCCCAAAAGAGTGAAAACTAAATAAAAACCTCTTTGGAGTCTTATCTCTTTCTGTGTCAATGGGAAAGGAGGAAAAAGCCCGCCCTCTGTGGTCATGGCAACAATAGGACAATGAGAGCTATAAAAGACAGAACATACAAAAGACAGAACGTGCAAGCATCTCCCCCAATCCCCCCGCCCCACTCCCCACAGCCGTTACTGAACCACAGAGCTGAGGATGGTGCTTTACATAAATATCAATGTGCTTTTGCCTTCCAGAAAAAATCTTAAGGCTTTCATGGCCTACAGTTCAGATCTTGCTGCATCTTCACCCCATTTCCATTCTGGCAGGATTTCTGGAGGCAAATCCTTATGCAGCGTTAGCAGTACTGAAGAAATGGAATCTGAGGTGAGGACTTAGAACACTCTTGAATCCTTGTAGCTCATGTTTAGTCTTGACCATAGAAAGCTGATGTCAGCTCACACAGCCTGAGCACATGTTTATTATTTCTAAATTGGTTCCAAGGGAATTTCCTGCAGAAAGTGTTTGGTGGGTGGTGCCTCGGTTACAGGATTCCTGGGCCAGGTTTGAAGGCACTGGAGACTGTTTCCATATGCTCCCTGGTCTAACCCAGTGACACTGGTGTTAGAGCTACCAATGTTTATTTTCAAACCAGTTACTCTAATTCCGGGCTATTTTAAAATTTTATCTTTTTTTTTCTTTTTTAAATCTCTGTGTGCCCTTTCCATGGCTATGGCTCTCAATTCCCTTCAGTAACCACCCCCTCATTCCCCTCATGAGCTATTCTTTCTCACAGCTCTTTCTCTCTGCAACAGGGAACGGCCCAGCAAGCTGCTGACCTCACCCTCTGATTCATGCTCATCAGTCACGTGTTTGTCTTTTTTTCTGTTCCTTTCTCTAAAAAATATATTCCAACTAGACTGGTCTCCTAGGAAACCAACCCTCACAAACAGAAATAGACTGAATGGAAAACAGAATACTCCAAAAATTCCACCTGGCAGTGTTTGACAATGAACAAACTGAATTAACAGAAACAATAGTAAATTCATGTAGCTAAAATGTGTGGACTTTTCCTCTGTAGATTTTAAACACATCTTTGGATCATGCCCTCAGGACTGCAACCACTTTGAAAGAAACTACTGATCAAATGATTAAAACTATTGCAGAAGATCTTGCCAAAGTGAAGAGATGGAGGAATCGACTAAATACCAGATTGACATAAGGCAACCAAGAATAAAAAAAAGAAAAACAACTTAATCTTACCCCAAAGGTATTTTACTTATTATACTATTTAGAAAGACAACTTCCTAGGGAAAACACCAAAACTGTAAGAAATAGGGGACAAACTGCTTAAATGTAAAACAAGTGGGCCTCTAATTCTTAAAATCAAAATCAACCTAAGTGTTTAATTTGAAATAAATCGATGGTGTTTACAACTCTTAATAAAAGAAATCAAAACAATATACTAACTCGTGTGGTAAAAACTAAAGCCTGAAGGCCCTGTGTTGATGGTGGTGGGGCAGGCACTTTTATGTACTGTTAGAGGAAGGAGAAATTGATGCGACCTTGTTGGTATCTATCCAGTTCTCCAAATTCTAGAAAGACTGACCCTCTGACCAGCAATTCCACTACTAGGGACTTACTTTTAACTCACACACTAAGGAAATCAGTACAGTGCAGGAGATGACCACAGGGGCACTGATGGGAAGAGCCCCTAAGTGGAACTAATATAAGGGCCCGATGTGATGATTCAGAAATAACAACAGACAATACTCTGCAGCCACTGAAAAGAATGGGGTGGTTTATCTGCAACACAGTGACTAAAAACAAGATGCTTAACTGTATACAACATAACCTCATTTGTGTTTTTCAAAGGGTATATGTATTTTCTGGAAAGATAAACTAAAATATTAAGTGAACCTCTAGGAATGGAACTGGGAGTTTGGGGAAGAAGGGAGGATTATCTCTTTCATTTATTCTCTGTACTGTATGAAAACTTTATGATATGTTTCTCTTTTAAATTATTTCTTTAAAGAATGTGAAGTTAGAAATATAGTGCTAGAGGGGCCTCCCTGGTGGCGCAAGGGTTAAGATGCAACCTATGAAGCTATCTGCAGCCACTGCAGCACGAGTTTGATCCCGGGCCAGAGAGCTACACACATGGCACAGCGGACCTCTCCTATCTCGCCCACTGCTCCCCTCAGCAGTGTATCTCAGTCAATCTGCCTGTTTTGCTCCCCACTCTGTCTCTGGTGAATCCTCCCACCCCCCACACCTATCGCCCAGTTCTTCTATGCATAAATAAATAAACCTTTAAAAAAAAAAAGAAATATAGTGCCAGATTAATGAAATTTGGGACAAAAGTGAAGACATTGATTACAACTGCCTATCAGGGATTAAATAAATTGGTAGATTTCATGTAGAATGCCAGAACAAAATTCTGAGTTGCTTAAGACTGATTTATAAGCTCCTAATGACAAAGCAGTGGGTTACTGCTTCTTGCCCTCCTCACTGCGGTCTCCTAGTGCCTTTCAACAAATGACGAGATAGTTCCCTCCTACCTTCCCCCACCCTCCAGCGTTGCTAATTGTCAAGAAGGGAGGGAAACCCATTTTAACTTTGAAAATTTCCTGATGTCCACAACAACAATGAATACTACTGTTTGTCTAGCTAACTGGAGAATGGGCTGTTTTTAACTTTGGGTCTCAGAAATAGGTTTAGGGTACTTTGGGAGAGATTAAACAGAGACCAGCTTTGAAGATATCCTAGACTCTGTGGCTACTTTATTCTGAGGTACTATACGTAATATAGTGAAGCCCTGAGGTAGTAATGTTAAGGGGGAAAAAAAAAGCCTTAACTGTATGTGCAAAGAGGCTATAGAGTCATCCCATATCTAAATTTAATCACAACCTGATTTGTATGCCAAGAATCACTATCCTGTCCCCAAGTTTAAAATTACACACTTCTCTGACTTGACGTGTTCTTCAACAAAGATATATGAACCATTAATTCTTAATCTTTCTTGAGTGCAACCATCTGGAAATCTGATCAAAGTAATGGCGACTCCTTCCCCCATGTTCCACTCTCCCATGGAAAAGGGATATACAAACACACATGATTTTCACACAACTTTTAAAATTTCATGGAAATCTGAGCAAATCCATGGAATCCAGGTTAAAGGCATCTACTGCAAATGAATGCTTCTGATTGTTCAAATTAACCTTTATAGAGACTTACGATTATAATTAAAAAATATGGCCTATCTCTGCTTTAGTAAACCATCTCCTAAATGTAATTTTACATTTCCGTGATGACTGAGGATCATTATGAAGAATCACTGCAACATACCTAATCCAAGAAAAAAAAAAAATAGGGTAATGTCCTCAAGGAATTCTGGAAAAGTACTAGGCTCTGGTTCATAAGGAAAATTTTCTACCTACTGATTTTGTAGTATTTAGCTGTCTCCTCTCATGCAACTTCATGTCAATTCTGATATACTTCTCTTCTATTTCTGCTGCAATAATAAACCAGAAAAACAAGTTTGTTAAGTAAAAGTAATTGTATCCCTAGTGCTGAGTCAAGGGGTTGCTTTCGCTGAGGGTAGTGGTGCTGTAAATAAACCCTGGGCAGTTTCCACAGCACAGGGGCCTCTTTGTATTTACTTTCAATGAGTGGCTAAGCTCTGGCTGCCTGAGGTTGCCAGAAGCATAACAGCAGGATGAGGTGGGACTGTTTGGAGAGCACTTTTACCTCTTTAAGAGAAAGTTCTAGCTATCTACTTTTGTTAGCCATTAGATTATAGCAAATAAAACTCAATTTTTGTCATTTTCTATTGGTAATCTTGTTAATAATTTAAAATAGACCTAACTCATATTAAACACAAACATATTTATTTACATTTAATATCCAGAATGTTCTGGTAGTAGAAATTTTACTGTGGGAGGAAGACATTTCTAGTTCCTTTGATTTTATTTGTCTATTTTTTTCTAAAGGTTTTTTTTTTTTTTTTAAAGATTTATTTATTTATGCATATAAGAGCTGGGGTACAGGCCAGGGGTACACGGTGGGGATGAGAGGATTCACCAGGGACAGAGTGGGAAACAGAGAAGGTGGATTGACTGAAATACACCTGCTGAAGGGAGCAGCAGGGCAAGACAGGAGAGATCTGCTGTGCCATGTGGGTTAGTTTCCTGGCCATGCTGCAGTGGCTGCTTCATAGTGCTGCGATTTAACCCCTTCCGCCACCAGGGAGGTCCCCTTCAAGATTTATTTTTACTTATGCATACAAGAACTGGGGTGTAGGCCAGAGGTGCGGGGGGTGGGGTGTGTGTGAGAGGATTCACCAGAGACAGAGTGGGGAGCAGAACAGGTGGATCTACTGAAATACACTAGCAGAGGGCAAGAAAAAAGAGGGCAGCTCCCTGGCTGGGGATCAAACTTATGTGGCTGCTTGATAGCACTGACCTTAACCCCTGCGCCACCAGGGAGGCCCTCTAGTGCCTTTGATTTTAAAAGAACTATGTCTGAATCCTGATGGGATTCACAAAGGGTATAAAACCTATGGCAGAACTGAGTTATGCAGCGATATTATCTTACAAAATAAAGTGTTAAATCCTCTAGAAATTTCAAGCAGAAAAGGATTTAATATAGAGATTTAGATCCTTAAAAATCATGGAAAAGGCAGAGTTGGGGAGCCACTGTGCTCTTAGACTGAAGGTCATCATCATCATCTGTGACCCATCACTGTGCTCACCATCCAACACTGCCTCAGACCCAGGAAGCAGGTGACAGACACTAAGTGTGGAGTCTGGTTGTTACAAGTAATTTTTGAGGGCAGACGTCTGCTTGTCCACCAGCACAGACACCACAGATGACAACGGCCTCCTTTCTACCTTCCAAATCTTGACTAGATGGAAATCGCTAGCAGAGTGCAAACTGTTTAGAATTCTACTTACCTTTGAATCTGAAAAACCTCACTTTTAGTCTTTCAACTTCTATGGTATGGGGTAGAAAGGCATAGGAAATAATACTAAGAACTAAGAAACATATCTAGCATATATTTTCATACTAAAACCAATTTCAGATGGATGAAAGAATTACCTGCAAAAAATTAAATGAACTTATGAAAATGTTTGGGAAGAAAGAGTGGCTGAATTTATAAACTTAGGTGCAAAAAAGAATTTCTAAGTACAATATGAAAGTCAGAAGCAATAAAGGAAAAGTAATGGATTTATTTACATAGAAATTTAAAATGGCAATATCTACCAGTATTTTAAATGCACAAAAACTTTGATCAGCTTTGTCACTGCTGAACATTTGCATATTAGTTTATTCAAATTATAGAAATATTTGTTTAAGTTTGCAGACATACAGCCAAACAATGCAGAATTATTTGTAAAAGCAAAGCTCCAAAGATGAGTGATATATAAAATTATCTGACACATGACAGACCCCATGAGGCCAAGTAAAAGGAGAAATTAGAAATGAAGATGTTCCCTTTGTATAACAGACACATAGGTAGACCTATCCTTAGCCAACCTTCTACAAATATTATTTTTTAAAGTCAATCGGGCAGAATGTGATGATATTACTGGCACATCTTTTTTCTTCTTTGTAACTCACTGATTCAGCACTTTTAAACATCCCACTGTTTCACCAAAATATAAAGATAATTTTTTAACTATATGTTTTATCTTAGAATGTTCACAATTACGTTTGGTTTTCTAATATAAACTTACATGATTTTAAAACTATATAAAACTGTATTCTTTAGAAGTATTTAGGTAAGGCACTTCTATCAAGCACTGTGAAATCATTCTATTTCTATAAATGACTGAGTTATTTTATACAAAATCAATTTCAGTTAAAAAAATTGTACTTATAGGAAATCATTCTATCATACATAGACATTTACAGTTTTTACTTTTATAATCTTTTCATTTAAAGTCACTCTCCCCCCCCCACCAGAGAAAGAAAACCATACTTCAGCAAAAGATGGATAGGTTTTGTTAGATAGTATCTAACAAGTAATTAGTATGTACATAGGTGACAATAAAAAATTACCCATGTCTCTAATATATTCTGTTCAAAGATGAAAAAATTTTCTTTTATAAAGCATTTTAACATTTCTTATCAACTACAAAGCAGCAATATTTAAATTATTAAACATGGCAAATGAAATGATATGCAATCATAAAGCAGCCCATTAAGAAGTATATTTGAAAAAGTCATTCTATAAAATATTTACATCATTTATATTACATGATAGCAACACTGACTTGATCTATTTGAGTTGAAAGTATTAATAAAAAAATACTATTCATCCTTAATAAAAGACACTTTATCCTTGGGTTTATTCAGCATCTTTATATCATCCAACAGCTTTTTGGGTGTTAAAATATGTGTAGAACCTGGTAAGGGAGAAAAAGAAATTTTCAGAGGCTAGTAGTTAAATAGATTTTCTTTGGCTAATACATTGTTCTACTCTTCAAATATGTAAAGCTTGGGGTAATTTAGTAAAATTTCTATAGGGCAACTTCCTGAAATCTGCCTGTGTTACAGTACCTCAATTCTTCCTCTTTGCGGCTCATACTCCTTAACCCTTCAGAAACACTGCCCACTCCTAGTGCTTCATCTACTCTGTGATATATATTGACATACTGAGAGCAATACTGGAGGTTACTCTGTCTTCATGACAGAACAAGTCACCATTGAGTCACAGGGAAGCATGAAGCAGTGCTGTACATCAATGCTTGATATACAAATGCTGCATCCCCATGGATCAGGTGAGTTTGTCACTGGTTTTGGCTAAAATTCTTAAAACTAAATTCCACAGATGTCGTGCCAATGTTAGGTCCTCAATCACAAGAAATTAAAAATATTTTGCAGTAGAAATATATTTGTCTCAAAAATTAATGATGAGAGCAAGAAAAGCATAGAGAATATTCAATAATATTTAGAAAACATAATAATTTGAAGCTCATCCCTTTAAAATCAGAATATTTAAAAATAAAATTATCAATAAGGTTAACCATGAAAAATCTCCTGTATATCAGATAAAAGACACCATGATTAAAAGTGTTCTGCATTCAAAAATTTACTACTAAATGTAAACTACAATATAAAGTTTTATATATTTTTCCATTTAGAGTTTGTTTTAAAAAGGAAAACAAAAGTCTTACCAATAATAACTTCACAGGATTTATGGGCCTGAGAAACTTCGTAAGCAGAACGCATTTCAGAGTATGTAATTCCTCCGATTACAAAAATAATCAGCTTGGATCCATTTTTTCGGTCCTCTAAGTAATTAGCTCTGGGTTTCTGGCGAGCACTGCAAAATAAAAAAATCACCAACACACTAAGTAAGTACATTTCCATAGCCAAATGCATGTGGACTTTTAAAATAACGTAACTCAAACAAACTCAAATTTGACACTAATTACACTGATTCTAAGGAAATGATTTAACTGGGGTATGACTGCAGCACCAAGAGTGAGGTGGGACAATCCCAATTCAGTTTTGATTTAATAGAGAGTATGGAAAAAAATCACTCATAATTGGCTCAGCATTTTTACCTATAAACACTCATTTTTTTCACATGAAGAAATAAAATTTTGAACTTCTTGAAGTTAAAAAAAAAAAAAAAGATGGGGTGAGGTGCTCAAACAACAAGATTATAAAGACATGGAGGCAGGATGGGGAGGGCACATAGGTAATGATTTGATATTAGAATGTCCCTGGCTGGAACTCAGTAAAGTATGGTGGCAGGAGATACTGAAGGTTCTGCATTTCACAATGCATGTGTCAAAACATTAAATATACAATACATTTATACAAAACTTTAAATATACACAGTGTAAGTAAACTACACTTCAATAAAGGTGTTTTATGAAAATAGTTGAACCTGGTTTTCAATTTTGCTTCTAATTTTGCTAATTCAATATGACTTTCAGCAAGTTACTGAACCTCTTTCTAAACCTCAAGAGGTGTTTTCAGGAATAAACAAAATAATATACAGAACATGCACCAGGAATGGAATCTGGGCCAGAAAAGCATTATTTTTACCACTTACTCTCCCAGTTAACTCTAGATCTGTATGTACCATTCAACAGCTGTCATTAGCCATATGAGGCTATTTACACTTAAATCAATTTAAATTAAATTTAAAATTTCATTTCCTAGTCACACTATCTACCTAGCAAGAGCTCATAACACGTGGCTAGTGGCTATCATTCTGGACAGGGCCAATACAGGACATTTCTATCTCTGCAAGAAAGTTCTATCATATAGCACTGCTTAAGATCATAGAAATCACATTTTTTTTTTTTTAAGATTTGTTTATTTATTTATACAAGCACTGGGTACAGTCAGAAGCACGGGAGGGTGAGAGAATTCACTAGAGCCAGAGCAGGGAACATAACAGGTAGACTGACGAAACACACTGCTGAGGGGAGCAGCAGGCGCGGCAGGAAAAGTCTGTCAAGCCATGTGGGACCCTCCCCGGCGGCCGGGGATTGAACCGGCCTGCAGAGGCTGCGGGCAGCTTTGCAGCCCAGTGCTCAACTGCTGCGCCACCAGGGGAGGCCTGAAATCACTTTTTTTTGTTTTGTTTCTATAACCACTGGTAAAAATTTTAAGCTTTGATTTGAAAAGTAAATGTTTCAAAATAAACATTAATGTATATCTAGCTATTATAAATTATATATATGCACTAGTATATATTAATAAAGCTTAATTAAACCTCAGATTCAAAAGCACAATGAATCCCAAGGAAAGAAATAAAAATAAATGCTCAGGAAGATATAACATAGGGTATGAATAGAATTCCAATGACAAAAAGCAACCAGAGAGAAAAGGCAAATCACCTACAAAGGTAGGTATGGTAAAACTGACAAGAGAAGACACACTCTCTCATCCACACCTTTCCAAGAGCTAAAACAGAAATGAAGAAACAGCAAATAACATCTCCAAGTGTTGAGCGAAAATAACTGTGAACTTTGAAAGTCATAGTTATCAGGTGAGAACAAGAACAAAATGAAGATACTTCTAGACAGACAAAATTCATAGTCCACCACCAATCGGCTCACACTGAAGGAACTTTTAAAAGATATACATCAAAAAAGAAGGCAACTGAGCCCCCAAAAGGAGATGCAAGGAGTGATAAGCAGTGTACTTGGTTAACATATACATGCAACTCAAAAAAGAACAATGCTGATTATTAATTTGAGCAATAAGAATGACATAAGGTGAGCAAAAATAAAATATTAAGATAATATTTAAGGGTATGTGGTCTGATCAGGAGGAGGGAAAAAGATACTAATTAACCTCAGACTTTGTTGAGTTGAAGAAACATACTAAAATTCTAAGGATAACTGCTATAAAAATACAAACAGGTTACATAATTTCCCAACCAGTAGAAAAGAAAAAAAAAAAACAACAAAACCCTAAAAAGTCTTCAGTCCAGGAAAAGCATCACAGAGAAACACTCAAGCACAGGTAAATGTACAAGAACTGCTTATTGCTTATTGTTTCTGATGATTCCAGTTTTGACACAGCCTAAAATTCCCATCATGTGGAAAATAAAATAAATGAATTAAACTGTGATAGTCATATAACAATAAACCAGCCAGCAGTGAAAATTTATTTATCATTCTGGTATGAATGTCACAAACATAATGCTGAGGAGGAAAAAGGCGAGTTGTAGAAAGATACATTTGCAATATCATACCATTCACATTAAATGTGAAAACACAACTCTAGGGAGGACTTGTCATGGTGGAATGAGGTAAGTCAGGAGAATGCCCTCTAAGAAAATGAGTATAAACATGTATGAAATTGTGGGGGAAAAAGCATTTCTGGCCAACTGGAAATCAACTACAGGCAGACAACAAGCTGAGAAGCATTTTCTCTGAAATATATACTACCACATCAGGTAAGAAAGGTGGTGGTGACTGTGTGACCTTATAACTAGGGCTGCATATAAACCCCACTCTTCCCTCAGTGCAGTCAGCAAAAATTATAGCTTTATTGACTTAACACTGATTGTGAAAACCAGCAGCTTTACTGCCAGGGGTGGGACTGATTTGAGGTGGGGCTTTACAGGGAGTGCAAAATCCTGCACTGCAAAATAGCTTTACTGGTTAAAAGTGGCAGAACTAGTTTGGAGCAAGAAGACCTGTAGCTGTGGTAGTCCAAAGTCTTGTTTCCAGTTTGGGGAGGGTGGCAAATCAGCCAGAAATTTAATGAGGAAATATTAGAATATCAAAGAAGGCAAGGACAAGCTCTCCACACATCCTTTGATGACTGCCAAACACAAACAGGGAAAGCCCAAGAAAGCCCAAGGAAAATATTAGGGAGTTAAAAAAAAGGGAGACTCAAGAACTTTCTTTTGGAATGTATTTGTAACCTCAGCTTGATCAGCAGAAGATGAAAGCTTTATAGAATTGAGGTATCTAAACACAACCTCTCTAAACTACACTGACACAATCAGTGAGGGCCAAGTTAAAAAATTAATATTAAAAATCCCAACAATGACACACAGTCAATAGAAACTGATCCTGAGTGGACACAGATGTTGAATTTAGTCATCTTCAAAGCATCTTTTACAAAAACAATCGAAGAAAAACATGCCAACCTTGTTAATCAACAAGGAATCTCAAAAGAAAAATGGAAACTAAAAACCAAATGGAAATTCTAAATGTGAAAAGCACAATAATTGAAATGAAAACTTCACTAGAAAGGCTCAACAGCAGATCTAAGCTGTCAAAGTAAAGAATCAGAAAATCTGAAGATGAATCAACAGATATGATATCTCAAGAACAAAGAGAAAAAAGATGAGAGAAAAGCAAACAAAACCTCCATGATACATGCTATGTCAAGCTTGCCAACGTATGTAACAGGAGGTATAGCAGGAGAGGAGGGAGGGAGAAAGAGGCAGGAAAAAAATGCAAAGAAATAATCCCAAATTTGATGAAAGTATTAACTTGTAGATTCAAGAAATTCTGCAGACCCTAGTAAAATAAATACAAAGAGAATCACACTCATGCACATCAAAGTAAACCAATGAAAGCCAAAGACCAAGAGAAAATCCTGCAAGATACATTCCATGTTTTTTGGAATACAAATATATGTAGAAAATGTATAAAGACATGAATGGTAAATGACAAATACCAAATTAATGATAGGGAAGAAAGGGAGAACAATAAAACTGGAGTACTATACAGGAGGTTTGGATTTATTTATAATGATTTCTTTGATAAGCTGGACACTGGGTATAAGGATATTGCATGAAAATATTCTCTCTAGCTTGCTGAATGTTTCATTTATTTCACCACAAAAAAAAAAAAAAAAAAAAAAAACCAAAAATGATTATATCTTCTGCTGTGTGAAGAAAAAAGATTTTTGGGGAAAAATCCTTTTATAGTTTCATAAAAGTATTTTTTATAATAAGGTACATTTCACATTGCTTACTTGGAATCATTCAAAACAGGTTACATATAAATTGCCTCTTAAGTAACTATATGTTTCAAAGAGAGTTGCCAATATAAGAGAACCAGTGTATCATTTAAATTTCTAGCCTGCAATATCACTCTGAAAATTTCATTCATTTATAGGTTTTACCTTACAGCTCCTGAGCCATTCCACACTGCTGGACACTGGGAACAATAAGGCCATTCTTTCAAATCTAATCTATTCTCAATAGCATCCTGGGAAAGAAAAGAGTTAATATAATTTTTGGGGGTTTGTTTTTCATAGAACTCAAAGTTTAATTTATAATTAAGATATACATTTAATAAAATAAGGCCTTTCTTGGAAACTCACAAAACTTATTTGCTTCAAAATTAATTTAGTCATTTTCTTATAAAAACAATATTTATTGTATGCCTACATTTCTTCCTTTGGAGGATTGCCATATGGATTTGAGAATTTCAGGCACCTTATCAGGACCTTTATCTCTGGAGTATTAAGGAGCTTCTAAATACTGTCCTAGTTCTGACATACCTGTTAGGTTACGACAGCACATGCACTTGCCCTTTATAGCATGGCTCTAAAAAAAATAGAATGTGCACTCCTGACTTAGGCATACTCAAGACAATCTACTGGGATGAGGGAAGTTTTCCTTTTCATTTCATTAAAAAAATTTTCCTTCTCTTTAGTGGTACATTTGATGACAGACATATGTACAGATAGACTGTATACAGAGATGATACTTTATTAGTACATACTACAGTTTATAAGTAAACATATTGCAGATTCATATTCATGAGGAATCAGTTATTTTATTGAGCTCCTAACACAATTTTTATTACCTCATTTTCTAATTTCCTATAATGGAAAATTATTTTCTAAGAGCAAACAGTACTAAAGGCATCTAATAGTTGGCTCTAATAGCAAACTTTAATAAAGTTTCTGTTTTAATCACAGATACAATTCAAGAATATTGGAGTACAACACTTTCGAATAGTGACCTTATACAAATGCAATTTCGTTTAACTTTATTCAAGTAAATTTCTTGTGTTTCTGCTACGTGGTTATTTAAAGTAATAGCAGTTTTTTCCCAAAGAATATGGGAATAAAATATGCTTATTTGTATTTATTTATTTTGAGGCAGTGTCGGTGGTGTAAGTTTGCTTGAGATCTTTAAGGAAAGAATTTTCAAGCGTTTCCTCCCCTTCTTTGACTCTTGCCAGATACGACCTTTTTTTCTTGCACCTTCCCAGTACTATAGAAAATTCCTGACTAACAGATCAGTAGTCACTCAGACTGATAGATAAATATATAAAGAGTAAATAATGAGTACTCTACAGAAAGGGATTTAGGGGGGTAAACAGAATTTATGAATTTTACCTCCAAAATATCTTTGATAAAAGGTGTCCATCGAGAGAGTTGGAAAGTTTCTTCTGCAGACCGATCTTTTCTTAATGGTTTGCTTTGTTGAGACTAATAAAATTGTGGGAAAAAAATTTAAAACCAATAATTTTACTTAAGATATTATCTTAAGTTTTCAAACAAAGACAACTTACAGCAAATACTATGTTGTATTTGACTTAAAACTAAGAGTGAAAATGTCCACTCATAAAATCTGAATGGGTGTGGTCACGTAATTTTGCTGAATACTATTTTGTGCTTTAATGATAAAATGTATAATAGTATCATAGAATATATTAACTCAAAAGTGCTATAATTTTATGGGAAAGAGTGAGAGTCTAAATAGAGTTCTTCCAAAGTCTGCTTTGTAAAGAAATGAATGTGAAGAGGATAAATGTCAAATTACAAGAGAAGCTATGAGATATTAATTTACTAGAAGAATGTATTTGATCAAATTACATACTCACTTTTTATATCTATAGAATAAAATTAAGAAGACTATTTCTAAATGAATTCCCATGTTAGAAAACATACCACATATGCATATAGGTAACTTCATACAGAATGTAGTATTGCTTACTGGGGGGACTATGGGGACACCAAGGTAACTCCAGTTCCGTATCATGTCACTCTCATTTTCTATCTTTATATTCTGGATTAACTTTTCCAAATTTTCTTCAGTAGTTCCTTTAAGAAGTAAAGGTAGGAGTGCACAGTCATATTATTGCTACCATAATCATTTCTAGGTTTAGACAGTACCCATGAATAAAGGTTTTCAAGTAAGTAAAAAGCAAACATTTAAATTATATGCCTTTCAGTCTTTTTCCAATTTCACATTTCTCCTTTTATATGCCATAATCAACTCAGCTACATTTTATTTTTCTACAATTATATTAATAGTAAGCCAATAATTATAAAGTGATTTTAGAACTGGATATTTTAATATATGCTTGAAAATAAAACAAAATCTCCATTACCATTAATATTGAAGATATAAAGTAGGATTGCTCTTATTTTATCATAATTATCATGATTTTTGCTGAGCAGAACTGGAAGGAGTACTCGCATAGAATCTTTCACCTTCTGTCCTTCTGCATCAGTTCCAAGTGCCAGGTCCTTAGTGAAAATAAAATATTGTCAGTGGTCTATAATCCAAATTCATTTTTCAGTTTAAAAAATCTATTATTAAATCTTCCCAAATTCTAATGGAACACTGATGACATTTCATAAGAAAATGTGATCACTTGAAAACTACTGATTGTATAAAATGTAAAAAATAATTCAAAGAAGAGAATCACTGATCTTTTTAAAAATTTTTTAAAATTATTTATGCATACAAGAGCTGGGGTGTGGGTCAGAGGTGCAGGGTGTGTTTGTATTCACCAGAGACAGAGTAGGGAGCAGACCAGGTGGATGGAGCAGAGGGTGAGGCAGCAGATGTCTGTTGAGCCCATGTGGGTCAGCTCCCTGGCCTGGGATCGAATTCATTCTGCGGTGGCTGACAATATTGCCTGCACGACCAGGGAGGCCCTGAGAATCACTGATCTTAACCTGTACTATCTAATATGGTAGTTACTGAGTGCTTGAAATGTGACTTGCCTGAATGAAAACGTGCTATAGTTAAAATACCGGATTATGAATACTTGATGTGAAAAAAAAAAAAGTAAAATATTTCACTAGCAATTGTTTATATTGATTTTATGTGGAAATGAAGTTTCTGATGTATTGGTTTAAGTCAAATATATTATTAAAATTAACTACACTTGTTTATTTTTGCTCTTTTTAACATGACTACTAGAATAAATTATATAGTAATTTATTTTATTTCTATTAGACAGACTGATCTAAACAGTTTTGACATTATATAAGAAATCTTGTACGTTAAATGTGCCTGTGCAGTACTCTCCAGGATACTACATTAAAAGCTGCAAACACTGAGAAAGTCCTACCAGTGATGTGACCCTGAAAGTAATGCTCCGAACACTTAATCATCCCGCTCAACCAAAAAGTCATAATCACAGATTAGGAGAGATGTTTACTATTACACTGTATAGCTACTTATTGATGATGGTGGGGAGTGACGTGTTAAATGCTGCCTCAGTGAGGCCTCTCTATGAGGGATTCAGTGATTCAGAGCACTGCATTGAGCATAAAGTTAGGTGCTGCCTTGAAAAGTTTTATTAGATCACGAACAAAAGTATTTCTGATTCTGCACATACCTGTTCAGTTTTGCAGAGCTTTTCTATGTTAGACTTGAACTTACTCATGCAGTCTTCTGCTAAGTTAAGATGGACAACTTGCTGAAAAAGAGAAGTCAGTCTCTTAAAGCATTTCAATTTCTTTTTTTTTTTTTTAAGATTTATTTATTCATACAAGAACCGGGGTACTGTGGGAGGGCTAGAGGATTCACCAGAGACAGACCAGGGAGCAGAACAAGCAGATGACAGAAATACACTGCTGAGGGGAGCAGCGGGCACGACAGGAGAGGTCTGCCGTGCCATGTGGGACCCTTGCCGGCTGGCTGGGATGGAACCGGCGCTGCAGAGGCTGCAGACAGCTTCACAGTGTGGCGCTCAACCACCTGCGCCACCAGGGGAGGCCCAAAGCATTTTAATTTCTGTGCAACTGATAACATCAAACTTTGGGCCGCAAACTATGGGATGGAAGGAAAGAATGGGCTTAAGTCTAAAGGAGGTAACATGTGAAAAAAGGGAAACAGCTCAAAAAAAAAAAATTTAAAAAAAAGGAAAAACATGAGAATTATCATGGCTCCAGGGGAAATCAACAAACAGCAAAATTAGAATGGAAGGGCTCACTTTGATGAGTTTGCAGGTAATAAAAAATAAAGTGAGGGAAAAAATAGTTAAATCCTTAAAGACCAGCAGAAAAAGTTTACATTTACATTACTGGCTTTTGACTAGGGTGCAATATAACAAAAAACTGTGAAGATTATTTTGATAATGACTCACAAGAACAACTGGAACAGCAAGACAATAGTTTACCTGCCTACATGTTTGTTTTTTTAAAAGATTTATTTATGTATGCATACAAGAACTGGGGTGTAAGCTACAGGTGCAGAGGGTTAGAAGATTTACCAGAGTGGGGAGCAGAACAAGCAGATCCACTGAAATACACTGCTGAAGGGAGCAGAGGGCAAGACAGGAGAGGTCTGCTGTGCCATGTGGGTCTGCTCCCTGGGTGGAGATAGAACTCATGCTGCAGTGGCTGCTGACAGTTTGATAGTGCTTTCTTTAACCCCTGCGCCACCAGGGAGGCCCCTACTTGCCCACATGTTTTAACTGTACTTAAATCTAGTATTTTACTCAATTTAAAGAACCAAGAAGAGAATAACAATCAGTGCAATGCTGATTCTTACTAGGTTGATAAATACTAAAATTTCTCTCTCTAGCTATTCAAGACAAAGATATAAAAAGTGTATGCTGGATTTGGATAAACCTAGATTATATACAGAGAAAATTATTGGGAAACTTAAATACCTGGCATATAATTCAGAGCTACAGTAATGTTTTAGAGGATAATTAACACCAACAATGTGCACATGTATAGGACACCAATTGCTAAATCTGACTACAGAACTGGAGGGACATAACAAGGCATCTCATATACAATACTGCTTACCTTAGTTATCTGTTTACGAAAATGGGGCATCTTTTTCATCAGTTGGGTAAGAGCACTAAGTGATGTCTAGGAAAAAGCAAGCATTTTTATTTTATTTATTTTATTTTTTATTTTTTAAAGATTTATTTATTTATACAAGCACTGGGTACAGTCAGAAGTGCAGGAGGGTGAGAGAATTCACCAGAGCCAGAGCAGGGAACAGAACAAACAGACTGAGGAAATACACTGCTGAGGGGAGCAGCGGGTGTGGCAGGAGAGGTCTGTGTGCCATGTGGGACCCTCGCCGGTGGCCGGGGATCAAACTGGCGCTGCAGAGGCCGTGGGCAGCTTCGCAGCCCAGCGCTCAACTGCTGCGCCACCAGGGGAGGCCCAAGCAAGCATTTTTAAAGCAAACTTATGATTCAGTTATTCTATATAACAATGAAAATCCTGCATATTTATTAATTTACTAAATATTTGGTGAATTTTTTAAAGGAAGCAAAGGTTGGGAATGAGACAAGGATATCCTCTATCACTATTCTACGATATACTAGAGTAAGCATTAGCAAGAGAGCTAGGAGGTAAGTAACTACGAAGAATAGTATATTTATTTTTATTTTATTTTTACCGCTGACATAACTTTTGTACTACGGTATATGATTTATAGGAATTCAGGTTCACAACTCTTAAAGTGTACGTTATCTTACCACTCTCATCACCAAAGTACAAATAATCCTCTACCACAGTCCACTGGACCACTAACATTCTTTGCTCATACCCCCACCTCAAGAAAAGTAATTTAAAATGCATAAAGACTGGAAAGGATCAGACTGAGTTTTCTTTATTTACAGATATTATCTTCCAGAATGATGAAAATATTCTATACATTGATTGAGGTGGTAATTCCACAGGTATATATGTAAGCAAAAAGTCACCCAGCAAATATATCATGTGTATACTTTACTTGGGTAAATTATACCTCAATGTAAAAAAACCTAACAACAAAGCATTGATGAAGTCAAATTAAAAAGCTTCTACATGGTAAAAGAAATCATCATTAAAATGAAAAGGCATCCTACCAAATAAAATATCTGCACATCAATCATCTGACATGAGGTTAATATCCAAGATCTACAAAGAACTTATACATAACAGTTCAACAAAAAGCAAACAATCCAATTAAAAAATGGACTGAAGAGCTGACACACTTCTCCAAAGAAGACACTTCTCCAAATGGCCAACAGGCACCAATCATCAAGGAAATGCAAATCAAAACCACTACGAGGTACCACCTCATACCCAGGAGAATGGCCATATTTAAAAAAACCAGAAACAAGAAGTGCTGGCAAGGTGTGTAGAAAAAAGGATCCCCCCTACACTACTGGTGGGAATGTAGACTGGTCCAGTCCCTATGGAAAAGAGTATTGAGGCAGCTAAATGGCCCTTTTATTTTTTTATTTTTATATTTTTAAAGATTTATTTATTTATACAAGCACTGGGTACAGTCAGAAGCGCGGGAGGGTGAGAGAATTCACCAGAGCCACAGCAGGGAGCAGAGCAGGCAGAAGGACCAAAGTACACTGCTGAGGGGAGCAGCGAGTAGCAGGAGAGGTCTGTTCACCAGGTGGGAGCCTCCTCTGGTGGCCGGGGAGCAGCCGGGGATCGAACCAGCGCTGCAGAGGCTGCGGGCAGCTTCGCAACCCAGCGATCAACCGCTGTGCCACCGGGGAGGCCCTAAATGGCCCTTTTAAAAATAACTATCAATGAAGCAGACAAATGTTGCTTAGCTAGGTAATGGGTACGTGGATTTCATTTTCTCTACTTTTGTGTATGTCAGAGATTTTCCAACATCTAAAGTCAAACAAAATAAAAATTTTAAACAAACTTTAAACAAAATTCATCATTTTGAAACTTAAGTAAGACTCTTACCTTTCCTTCTGTTGCTTTCTTTGTTGATGAAATTTCCTTCATAAGCTTGGGAATTTCCCTGTGAAATGGGGAGAGTATTCTTTAAATTTTAAAGGGTAATTTTATAACAGAAATATTTTTGAGATTACAAAATATACTGTAACATATTTAGTGCCTTAAAAATAAGGAGTAAAAATTAAAATGGGCTCACATACTCTAACACAACTGCAATATGCATATGTCGAATTCTGACCCAGAGGTCATCATCTTCTTCAAGGACTGCTTCCTTTTCTTTTCCATCTGCTTTATATCTATAAGTAGACACGAGTATAAAAGTTTTGGATTTTTTTCATCAAAAAAGTCAAAGAAATAATAATTACAAACAATAATTTTAGGATGCAGTTCAAGAAACTGAAGAGTACATGCAGTCATTACATTATTTTCGGGGGATAATGAATACTTACTCAAATCTAAGGAATATTAATATCCTTATACTAAAAACCCTACTGATATACTTACCAAAACATTTTGACTTTTAAACATTAGGCTTAGTTGTCATTATAACAGAGTATAAGTGCAACAAAATGATATTTTATGAAAAAAAGGGGTCAACATTTAGAATAAAATTGAATGTACTGACAATTTGTTCTAATTGCTTAAAACAGTTTGACAGACTTATAACAATCAGCACAGCTATCAAACATCCATAAAGAACAAATATGTCAACCCCCCAAAAAAGGCTATTAAAATATTGAAGGTATTTCAGAGTTGGTATGAAACTAGCATATATTATCTGTTTCTATATTCTTCCCCAAACCTATGCACACATCTTTAAAAAGTGGGAAAGGAAATCAGAAAAAAGGTAAATAGTCCCCCAAAATATTATGATGGCTTTAATGAGTTCTACTCAAATGAACAGCAATTAAAGAGGTTCTTGAAACTACTCCAAATCGGCTACCTGACTGCTTCTCCAAGTAATTTCTCCTACTCTTTTTATGCAGATAGCCTCCTTCCATTTGTGGGGGTAGAGAGATTCAATCATCTCTGGGACTGCCAATTTCCTAAACCAAAATTAACAGTACAACAATGAGACTTCCCAGCTCTGCACTGCAGACAATCAATGATACCTATTGTATGATCACAATTATTTCCACAGTTCCTAAGACACTACAGGTTCCATGTATAAAACCATGTAGCTGTGTGGTCTTAATTACAGACGCTCAAAGGTACTATGACTGTGCTTTATCACATGACTGCACTAAGGAAGAAACCTTTTAAGTAAATTAATTAAAACATAAAATTTCAGAAAATTGACTTCATTTTTACTACTATATCTCAGCAGTATGTCTTAGTTGAAAGTACGTATTTGGATTTAGAGATATCAAAAAACATGTAATATAGGTGTAATATATATCTATGCACATGTACATACACAAAGATACAGTATAATTGTTCCATAATATTATAGAAAAACTATTTCATTTTTCATTTATTTTTCTATTTGACATTACTTCCCCACATCCCAGTCTTACTGAGATATACCTGACATACATTACTGTGTAACTTTAAGATATATGATTGCTATTAAAGTAAATATGCTTGTATTAAGGTAAAGTAATGAACAGGTGCCAAAATGGAAACACTGTCTATTCTTAATAGCCATCCTAATTAGTTTTCCAGTCTTCTAATCTTTTAAAATACACTATATTGTCAAGACACTCGCATACTTTTGTATCTGTGATTCAGTACCAATGTGAACCTGGTTTCCACTTCAATAAATATAGTAGTGGACCTTCAATAAAATATGCTTAACAGAAGTGAAAAGTCCAAATTCCACTTGTTCACATGTAGCTTTGTTGTAGACATAGTTAAGGAAGCAAATACACCAGAAAAACTTTAGAGCAATCAATTACCCACTGAAATACATGGTTGAGATAGATCATGATTACAGGAGTAAGAGAAGGAAGAAATCCTAATAAAAAAGGCCTACATTGTCTTCAGATTTCTGTTGTCTACATAAATCAATAAATGCTCATATCCTATATTATTTGTATATGCCCTTTAAATTATACTTGCTTGTAGGTATCATTCTCAATCGGCAGTAGATCATATGCCATTGCCTGAAAGGTCAGTTCATGCAGGACAGTGGACACAGGATCAAAACCACGATCAATTATTATGAGCTGAGAATGAGTTTTACCCTATAAAAACAAGATAAAATTATTTTAAGAAACTCCAGTGTCTTTTGTGTGAACATGTTTTTAATATTTAGAGAAACAAAAGCAGACTTTTCCTAAGCTATATCCTTTTTCCAACCAAAACATACACACACGTGCACACATACTCTCTGTCTCTCAAATGTTTAATGAACTTAAGAATACGAAGATAAATCCTATGTTAAAAATCTGAGGTGAGTGGAGCAAGATGACTACAAAACTCCAAGCTGTCATAACTACATTAATAGACTATACTCAATCCTAAAATATTCTGAAAATTCCTTTAAAAAAAATAACATTTAGCTTGCACTATTATCTTAGGAATTCACTTCCATCCACACTAAAACTGATATAAATCAGAACAGCAGCTACTACTTGAGATCTTTGCGCTACACATTGTGCTAAGCAACAACTATACATAAATACAGCAACCTTGAGACAGGTATTTTTATCTCCTTTTGACAATGAGAGCATTATGGTTTGAAAGTAAGTAACTTGTCTAAATCACATAGTGAGAGAATGGAGATTCAAACCCAAGTTGCTTTAATCCTGGCCTATACTCTCAACCATTATGCTATTTTAAAAATTACATTAATGCCAGCTAAGATGATAAATCACAATGAAAGTCTTATTATCATTAATGCACAAATAGTACTAATGAATAAATAGTGGATAACAGAGCTGAAAAAAATTAGTTAATATCAGTATATTTCATACTTTATTTAAAGTACAAATTCTTTGGATAATTATTTTAAATTATTATTCAAAGTAGTAAGAGACAACTACAACTCACGAGACAAACATTTTCCATTTATTTATACAGAACAGAGGTAAATTACATAGGCTAGATTTAAAAAAAAATTTCAAAGTAACCACTTAGTCATTTAAATAAATTGTGAAAAAGCATGGTATAGTGGTTAAGAGGAAAATCTCTAGAATCAAATAGATCTGGGTTTGAGTTTAGCTTTGACTACTTTCTTGCATATGACTTTTTTGCTATATCTTAACTTGTTAATATCTCAGTATTCTCATTTGTAAAACAAAAGATAATCAGACGGGCCTCCCCGGTGGCGCAGCGGTTGAGCGCTGGGTTGCGAAGCTGCCTCTGCGGCGCCGGTTCGATCCCCGGCTGCTACCGGAGGAGGGTCCCACATGGCGTGCAGACTTCTCCTGCCGCCCGCTGCTCCCCTCAGCAGTGTACTTCGGTCCTTCTGCCTGCTCTGCTCCCCGCTCTGGCTCTGGTGAATTCTCTTACCCTCCCGCGCTTCTGACTGTACCCAGTGCATGTATAAACAAACAAACCAGCAAACAAATAAATAAAGCATGCCTCTATAAAAAAAAAAAAAAAAAAAAAAAAAAAAAAAAACTGTTAAAAAAAAAAAAAAGATAATCAGAATTTCTAACTTAAAGATTATGACAAATTAAATATAATAATACCATAGATACTTAGTATAGTGCTTGGCACTTATATAAGCCCTCAATAAGTTTAAATCTTCAAAAGTTATTTTATCAGATCTTGGGATTATGACAGTGTGTGGGAGGAAGTATCACTTGGCCTGAAGACACAAGAAAAGCTTCAAAAAGGAGGTGACACTTTATCTCACTTTATTTCTTGTCAGTCTCCTCAGGCTCTACATTCTCCAACCCAAGCCTAAATGCTGGTATCCCCCAGGTTCCAAACTTAGCTTATGACTACTTATACTACCTTAAGATAACAAGAGGGGCCATTTATTAAACTCTTGTGTGTGCCAAACATATGTTAACTGACTGGCTTACTCTTCATACCAACCAAGCTAGGTATTTATGATCTCATCTATTTTATAGATCTGCCCAAGGTCACAGTGCTAGGAATAACAGGAATAATTATATTTATTAAATGTTCATTTAATAGCAAACATTATTCTAAGAACTTTACATGTCTTAATTTATCCTCTCACTTACTTTATGAAATAGGTAATCTCTTATTATCCCCATTTTATAGATAAGAAGACTTACACGTAGAAAAATTACATGATTTGCCCAAACTGACATAACTATGAATTAATGGCAGAATCAGGAGTTGAACACAGTGCATACTTCAAAATCCATATCTTCTCCACTAAAACAATCTATTACTGTTTCCACTACCATCTATATTAACAATTCTTAATCAATATTGGGGTCCTATGCTAATGATTCCCAAATCAATACTGGAAAATGAATAAACAACAGTTTCTTTGGTCTATAAAAATATAAGCAAGCTTTATGCATAATCACTTTTTGCCATTTATACATTACCTTTATTAGGTTCCTTTCATCAATCTTGTAGAAGTTTTCAAGCTTTTTATCAACTAGCTGGGCAAGTTTACTGGCGTTATCTAGAGGTTTACTAGAAAGAAAAATGTTTGAAAAATTGGTTCCTTCAAGATACATCACAATATCATAAAGTAGAATTCTAAAGCTAAGCCACGCAATTTATTAATTTTAAAGATTTTATAAAATGGAAAAGTTCAGATAAAATTTATCAAAAATAATGTTGTAACAATATATATGGATTTTATAAATATAAAAAATATGTGTTTCAGTTTCTTTTAATATTAAGGAACTATACACTTGAAACATGTTATTCAAGAACAACAACAAAAAGAAAATATTACAAAAAAGATGGCAGTTCTCTTTATTCCCCTCCCAACACCTCCCCCACCACCAAGACAACCCTAACACGAATTTGAATTTGATGTGCATTCTTCTAATATGTCTGTTATTCTCTCTCTCTCTCTCACACACACACACACGCACATTTATTTATACACATACCTGAGATCTAAATTTATTTTAGTTCCTATACACTATCTCACCATGTAATTTTATTGGATTCTACGTATTCATCCCTCTAAATATAGACATTTAAGTCATTCTAAATTTCATGTTCTTACAAACTATGCTGAAAACATGTATCTCTGTACATTTATTTTTGTGTATGTTTCTCTAGGTCTATTACATCTAAAAGTATGATTTCTGGGGCCTCCCTGGTGGAGCAGGTGGTTGAGTGCAGCACTGTGTAGCTGTCCGCAGCCTCTGCAGCGCGGGTTTGATCCCGGCTGGCTGGCGAGAATCCCACATGGCGAAGCAGACCTCTCCTGTCTTGCCCGCTGTTCCCCTCAGAGTGTATTTCGTCAGTCTGTTCTGTTCCCTGCTCTGTTTCCAGTGAATCCTCTCACCCTCCTGCACATCTGGCCTGTACTCCGGTTCTTGTATAAAAATAAAAAAAAAAAAAAATTAAAATAAAAGTATGATTTCTGGGTCATGGATTAGGTACATTTCCAAATTTTTGAGATAATATTCTGTTGTTAATTATCCCTCCTACTAGCAGTGTGTGATTTCCCCATGTTCTCTAATATTTGGTTAACTTTCCAATAAAAACTTTTGCATAAAATCTTACATTGTCTTCTAAAATGCTAGAATCTACCTAAATTGTAACTTAATGACCAATGGCATTAGTGTAACTTGAGTCTGCAAGAAAAATATTGAAAAAGGCTCTTCAACTAGCATGCTTTAAAAAATGGAAGGTCTCATTCTGAGGGCTTCAAAGTATTAAAGAATCTTTAGATTTCATATTTTAGAAATAAAGTAGCAACTATAAAGAATAACTTCTTATGGGCCTCCCCGGTGGCGCAGCGGTTGAGCGCTGGGTTGCGAAGCTGCCCGCAGCCTCTGCAGTGTCGGTTTGATCCCCAGCTGCTCCCTGGCCACTGGCAAGGGTCCCACATAGTGCGCAGACCTCTCCTGCCGCCCGCTGCTCCCCTCAGCAGTGTACTTTGGTACTTTGGTCCGTCTGCCTGCTCTGCTCCCTGCTCTGGCGAATTCTCTCACACTCCCCGCGCTTCTGACTGTACCCAGTGCTTGTATAAATAAATAAATAAATCTTTAAAAAAAAACTTATACTTTTAAATAGTTTAAAAAAATTCATGTTAGAATTACACCTTAAAAATCCATAAGGCTTATATAAAGGAATACTCTGGCAGAGCAGGTAGACTTTTGAAAGCCTCGATTATTATTTAATCATTACAGTAATTGAAAACAAGTCCAAAGGTAAGCTATTAAATTATAAATTGGTTATGTTTACTCATTTCCTGGAATACATTCAATCACTCAGAGCAAAGGCTTGAATGGATAATAGATACTGAACTCTAGAAGAATATATAGCACGTAGCTCAGCTCCAGTGAGTCCAGAATGTAATTAGCAGATCTCTTATAAGTAAAACAATGTTTCTAATACCCGAGGTATAAGCTTATTTGGTAACATACTAGGAAACTTACCATATTTTTTCTAATTGATAGATATTTAAGTGGCTAAGAGTAATACAACTTAAATATGAAGTGCTATTTGAATTTTATATTAACCAATTTAGTTAACTAGCTTAAAAAATGCCGATGTTCAAGTTAAAAAACCTTTTAAAAGGGAAAGGAGTAATAATCTTAGTAGTAGTGGTGGTATATTTGGTATTATCATTTTATTAATGTCATGCACTGTTCTGAGTGCTTTATAGTAATTAGCTATTTAACTCTAATAATCTTTTGAGGCAGGTACTATTATTATTGTTGTTTCCTAGACAAGGAGACTGAAGGCAGAAGGGTTATGCAACTAGTAAGTAGCAGAGATTAGAATCCAAGCTACCTGGCACACACAGCAACCTGGATGAATTTCAGCATTCATCCACACTGAAGCCGGAAACAGAAAATATCAATACTTCATTTTTACCAAATTAAAAAATATCAGGCAAATCTAAAATATGTGTTAGAAGTTGACTGTTAGTTACCTTTGGGGAGGAGAGAGAGGGTAATGACTGGAAGGGATCATGAAGGGGGCCTCTGAGATGCTATTAAAGTCCTATTTCTTGACCTTGGTGGGATTAGATGGGTATGTTCACTTTGAAATGACTTATCAAGACATACATATAAATTTATGTACTTTATGGTAAACTTTTTAAAAAGAGGCAAATAGACAAAGGCATGCAATATTAAAGTCAAACTCACCTTAAAAAAATCTATTGGGACTCTTGGACACTGTAACCAGGTATTCAGAGTATAACCACTTAAATTTGGTGGAAATTCAGTAATACTAAAACTTAAGGCTATATTCCCTATATGACAAAAAAAGACATTTTCTCTAGGCATTCCTTAAAGTCATGAAAAAAATGTCTGTAAATCACCCCAATTGTAAGCTCTGTAACTCCATAATGGAAATTGTTAATTTGAAATTTAAGTCTTAAATACCCTATGTGTAGACATAATTTGACAAGAAAAATAAATTCTGCAAGCTAAAGTGCAGAAGCACAGAGATGTTACTTACCTTTACACTGGAGAGCAAGTAGAACTATATACACACACAAAACTACTGAGTGTCTTACCTCTTGTATCTAACTCCAGGGTTTTCGTCCAGCGTAGCACATACTGTAACTATCTGTTCAGCCATTGCTTCCATAATGGCATCTTTTCCATTTGCGTTACTAGCGTCTGGACTGTAACAGTAATAGAATGCATCTGGTACATCAAGAGTATACACCTAAGTTAGGCCAAAAAAAAAAAAAAGTCACATTATCAATTAGGAGATTTGATTAAAAAAAAAAAAAAACTTCAAGAAAAATGCAGCTATTTATTTGGGACATTAAAAAATGTAACAAAACCTTGCACTAACCATGCTGTTTCCTGAAACAACTGTGTCTTTACCTTAATCAAATCATTTCTCTTTTATCTTGATCTCATCTTCTATTTCTTTTCTTACTCTCCTTTCCTGCTTAGTCTACCTCTCTCCTTCAATCCTTGTTTCATATACATAGTTTCATATACATATTGTATTGTCTTCATTACCTGTGCAACAGATGAAGGAATCCAAGGTAGTCAAAATAAAATAAAAATTTAATACCTTGTAAATAACCCAACTTTAACCAATCTCTCCCCAGTGATCCCTGACTTCTACTTCCTTAAAGACTTTAGAACTGGACCCACAGTTTTCGGCACCAGCCCAACATCATTTTGGGGAGATCTGGAATCTCCAACAACGTAGCACTAGCACACCTATAAAGAAAACCTTACCTATCACACAACCAGTCTTTATAATCCATATTCTTGCTGTCCCCCTGCACTTTTCTGCTTCTGTATCTCTGCATCTCATCTCCTAGAATATTCTTTCACTCTTCATTACTACCTTATGAAATTCTATCCATTCTTTTAAATGTTTTCCTAATCAACAAGTCAGAATTAAACTTTCTCTTGTGGCAGCCTGAAAACTGCCTCCCCAACAACCATTCTGCCCTACTTTTAGTAACCATACCAATTCTTTAGGGGAAGCAGTCTAATGCCCAGCTGTTCTAGCTAAATGGTTATAAATGAAATTTTCTTTTTCTCCATCCTGCATCCTCAACAGAGGATGTAATAATTCTGTCATCTTGGATCATGAGGCCTATGTCTAAGTGATTAGGTGCCTGAAAATTTTGTAAAACCTGCTTTACGGTCCATTTCCTGACTACTTTTATATTACCAAGAAATAAATTTTCATCCTGTTTAAACCACTGAAAGCTTGGATTTTTCTGTTATGTACAGTTGAACATAATCTTACTTAATACTGTTTTGAAGATGTGTAATACTTCATATCTCTTTTACACTATTCAGAGGAGGGAAAGGCATATAGATCTATCTGTCTGTCTGTCTATCTATCTATCTGACTATATCTTTTCATAGCAGGCTGCTTTGCATCTAGCAGACAAAGCCCACTGAGTGTGACCTTGATTAAGTTTTCATACAGGTTTCTGATGATAGCTCAAAGTACTGAGCAATATTTCATTTATATTTTCACTTGTAAACAAAAATTCAAAATATTTCCAGTGTAATTTTTCCATAACAATTAATTTTTTTAAGTAAACCTCCTTAAGATATTTATAAGGAAGTAAATTGGAAGAAAAAACTTCTTAGGGGAAAAACATAACAGACAGATATGAACTTAAATAATTAAACATAATGCAAGATGGCAAAAAAAAGCTCATTATGAGATTTCCCTAAACTCTAATCAGCCATCAAATTGGTCAGATACTTATGCGGACCTCCCCTTCAAATACAGCAAGTAAGAATTTTAATGAATTTTTTAAATTAAAACTGTATCACCTCTATGGAAAGATGCTCTGGAAACGTCTGTAGTGTTTATTACACTACTGCATATATTCCATATCATTTTAGGGAGCCCATTTTAACATTACACTAAACTTACAAACCATATTAAAAGGAATAGTTATAAAAGTAACGTGGAAAACAGTTTAATATTCAGCAAATATCTTAACACTTTGCAATCTGGATTATAATCTTTGTCAAAAACAGCTGCAGTTTGAATAGAAAGCCCCTATCTAGGATTTTTCTATCTCTTAAAATATTGTCCTTACAGTTCCAAGCAGCAATAAACTATTTAAATTCTATGAAATGCTATAATCCAAACACAGAGAACAGAGGACAACAAAGCTGAACAATGTACTAGCTGTATGATTTGGGGCAACCTTTCAGATTTTCCCATCTTTAAAATAAAGAATTACCATTGCTTACAAGACTTTATGAAAATTAAATGAATGAATTCATGTAAAACATTTAGGAGTGTCTGACACACAGAGTGTATTACGTGTTTGCTATTATCATTATTATTAACTGAAGGCTCACTCTTAAGGTAAAAACAAATCACCAAAAAGCCTTCATTTTTAAAATTGAAATAACATGTTATATACAATGTTTATTAAAGAAACACCTGCTTTAATATCACAACAGAAAAAAATGAGATTTATTTCTTTTGCATTATCTGAGAAAGATAGTACTCAAAACCTTTCGATTTCATAATAGTGCTAAAAAATTTGACATACTGGGACTTGGTAGAAAATAGGAAATTTAAGCTCCACTTTTCATTATTAATGTTATATTCCAATTTAGTGCTCATATTCTTCCTTCATCATCAGAAATGTTCATTTGTTGACTGTTCAAAATTCACCAAATATATCTTCAGAATATACTTTATTACCAAATAAGCTCATAAAAATAAAATTTTAAAATACATTATGAATTAAAATTAAAAATACATAGAGTACCTGAGATTCATGTGGAATGAAGGAGATATTTATTTCTTTACATCTTCTTATTGACTTGGAGCAAGAAGCCTTAATTTTGTTAAAGAGACTATCAGGGCAAACTGAGAGGGAAAAAAAAAATCAAAGCATGTAACTTCGTATAAATTTTTACTCTTCCAAATAAATCATTCTAACATCCAAGAATAGTTATTTTTTATCTATAACTGCTGACTTTCAAAAAGTACTCCACTAAGAGGACAGAGGTAAAATGTAAATAATGTTCACTTTACAGAACAAAAGCATTCTAGTCGAGAGGACTATAACAGAATACCATTTTCCTCATTCACAGTCACATAACCTAAGGTAGATATCATTAAAGAGTTGCTAATAAAGCAAACCAAAATTGTTAGGAAGGAATAATCACGTCCAAACTCATGACTTAATAAACTTTTATAGGACTTTTAAAACTTTTTAGGAAGTTTTCCAAATCTACCATTAAGTGATCGATATTACAACCATATCACACAAATTGATTTTTCCTTGAATTACAAAAACTTCTCTAAAGTCAGACTATTCTAAAACACTATGCTAATAAGCTATAGACCGTAGAGTCCATTTTTTCCTTATAGTTCTATTAACTGTAAGTGCTTATAGTTCTATTAACTGCTTATAGTTCTATTAATGAGGTTGGAATATCACTGGCTCCTAGAGTTTTTGAATTTGATGTTCTTTATTTAGTTTTTCGATTACTTTAAAAAGGCTTCACATTCAATAAGCTTTATCAATTCTGTAAACATGAGTGTGGGATAAGTTTATTTAATTGACAAGTTGTGGTATTTGACTTACGGTATGACATATTAAACTACAAACTACTACTAGGTGTGAGGTAAATTATAAGTTACAGAAAAAAACTACATATCATTTAAACTGAGAAATACTAATAGAAGAGACCTAGACTTAGATAAATATCATTTTTATTTCAAAGTATAACATATATTACAACATCAAACAGAATTTATGTCTCTGGATTCCCCTGTGATTCTTTAGTTTAACTGTTTTCTACCTAACTATATAAATTAGTAGATAAATTTGATAGATTTTTCTCCTGCAATATTTGCCAAACAGATGGCAGTTTCTTCAGTGCCCTCCCAAATGGCATTGTTTTTTATTATATAATCAAATCCCCAAATCAAACTTTAATTTAAAAAAGAATTCTTCCTGCCATCAGCACAGAATTTGAGGGTTAGCTCTTCCCACCTACTCCCAACAGTTGTATACTAATAGTGAAAAGAAATTGTCTTTGGAAACTATTTAGTTAGAAATAATTTAATTTTCTATCACCTTAACATGACTCAGGAGATATAATCTTATATATCTAGATTCTGTCTGACCCAATTAAAACAAACAAATAGAAAGTCACAGTATTGGAAAGATATCATTAAAAAGATATTTCATAATTAATAGAATTTTAAAAATGAAATTTTTAAAAAGGTACTTACAGTCAGTGAAGTATAGATATGCTGCTTTGTATTTGTTCTCTGATTTACTTGCAAAATCACGTAAAAAACAGTCTACAGACTTAAACAAAAAGGGAGAGATATTAATTTATCGAAAGTGGGAGAACAACAAGGTTTCTCCCCCCAAGGGCTATAGGTGTAAACACAAACAAACCACCAGGCTTTTTCTGAGATACCTAATTGACTTTTCTCCTAGGGTTCACAGATCTCTTATGGCCAAATACTCTTGCTGAAACCTGCCACTTAAAAAAAAGATTTAATAACATATTTATGCACAGAAGAACTGGGGCGTAGGCCAGAAGTGCAGGGGTATGTGTGTGTATGTGTGAGAGGACTCACTAGAGACAAAGTGGGGAGCAGAACAGGCAGACTTACTGAAATACACTGCTAAGGGGAGCAGCGGACAAGATAGAAGAGGTCTGCTGCGCCATGTGTGGGTTAGCTCCCTAGCCCAGGCTCGAACTCAGGCCTAGTGTTGAGGTGATAGTGCTGAGACTAACCCCTCTGCCACCAGGCCCCACTGAAACCTGTCACTTTATGATCCCTGCCTGGGAACTCTCTAAGGTTGATCTCCAGGTGTCTGCACAGACTCTGAGGAAGGAAATCTCACACAAGGTCACTCTATCAGTGCTCCCCACAGAAAATAAGGCTTCAATTGCATACAGAGGCCTAGAGAACTCAGCGGGCAGTTTATTCAGGGCAGGAAGAAAAACTGGAGTTGGTTGTGGTAGATTAAGGAGTCACATTTAGGTAATAACTTCTCTGAATCTTTTGCTCCTTTATTGAATAGAAATTTTATATACTGTTTTTCTCACTTAATATGAAAAATTAATAATTAGATCATTAAAATTTCCTACAAACCTCATTTTCAATGGCCACATGCTCTTTCATATCATTATTTGTTAAAGGTAAGTACTATTGTTAGGAATTGAATTTGACCATTTGATTATTTCTTTACAATAAATTTCAAGATATAGGACATTTTTTAGGTTTATGATAAAGAATGTCAAATTATTTTTGTATCATCTTTTTTTCCACCAGCAGTTTATAGTGGTTTCTGTGAGCTGAAATACACACACACACACACACCTACACACTTAAAAAAATACCTCTGTCATTTACTTAATGAAAAGTAATACATTTAACTTGTATTTTTTTAATCATAAATTTTATGCTATATAATTATATTATAGGTACGATACAAAATGTCACTAAAACCCACCAGTGGACAGTAGTCTAAATAATGAATACTTGTCTTTTTTCCTATTGTCTACTGTAGTTAAAAGTGAAATGTAACTAGTATTGTCAAAATAACATTCTATTCTAGGTGGAAATATGCCAAAGGAGGTGTTGGAAAATGTATTTTCAGGTATTTTACAGAATAAAGGAAGCTGATACATCTTACTGGTTCTAAAAGGTTGGCTTTATGTATGAATTAATCACAGATTATAAACTGTATTTTACTACATATGTATACACACATACATGCATATATGTGCATACACACACATATATGTGTGCTATAGGGCAATCATTAAGATAAAGGATTAACCCAAGGCTCCTTCTTTTACATAAATTTCCATCTTCTCCCAATTATAATTTAATAAGTAACAAGTTACTGAAAGAAACTACCATACACAATGAAATTCTGCTTTCATATATGTGGGAGAAAGGAATTCACTTACATAGTCTCACTGAGAAGAGTGCAAGTGAAACAATATTCTAACAGAAAATTTTTACTAAGCAAACTAGTTTATATCACTACTTTCCAATAAAAGATATTTTATTACTTTGACTTTTCTATGAGAAAGTCATGTCAATGGTAAAAATACTGTAGAATGTATTTTTATTTTCATTGAAGTAATACTGGTTTGCAACATTGTATAGGTAGGTTCCAGGAGTACATTTTCTCTCCCCAGAAACTGCATTTATCTCATCACATCCATCACCAAATGTCCAGTCATCATCCACCACTAACCACTTGGCCAGAACGCACTTTTTAAAGACTCAAAATACTCACCTTTGATGTTGGAGAGATAAAATAAAGAGCTTTCATTTGTCTGACAGGCTCTCGATTCTTATAAATATTCTCCACAACTACAACAAAGAAGTCATTTTATATAATCAAATATTTATACATTTAAAAAATTTTAAATAAACTTTACTGTTCTTATAGTAATAGGGAAAAAATTACATAGCATAGGTTTAACATTTTCTTTCTCTTCATTTGATAATTTTGAAATCTTGAAAATAGATCTTCCCTAAGTTTAAACATTAGGTTAAGATGACTTTTCATCTTGAGAAAAAAAGATAAAGCAGTTATTTCATAGTTAGGTCTACCACTATAAATACTATAATATTCCATTGAGAAATGAAGAAAATGCATTAAAAACTAAAATCTTTTTAAAAACATACCACTATAATGATAGCAAATATGACTGTATAAATTATCTGTTAAAGTTAATCATAACCCTCTATGTTATTTTACAATTGAAGAAACGGAGGTTTGAACAATTAAGTAATTTGTCCAAATTACACAGCTAGATAGTAGGAAAGGCAGGATTCCAACCTAGATCTCTGGGACCCCAAAGTCCAAGTATTTTACTACTATAACATTATTTAAATAGATCACCAGTTAATTCTTATTCTTTTAAAACCATTTATAGGGGCCTCCCTGGTGGCACAAGGGGTTAAGTACTGCATTATGAAGCAATCTGCAAAGCAACCTCTGCAGCACGAGTTTGATCCCCGGCCGGCCAGGGAGCAACCCACATGGCAAAGCAGACCTCTCCTCTCTCCCGCTGCTCCCCTCAGCAGTGGGTTTCAGTCTGCCTGTTATGTTCCTCACTCTGTCTCTGATGAATCCTCTCACCTGCCCCCACCTCTGGCCTGTACCTCAGCTCTTGTATGCATAAATAATCTTTAAAAAAAAAAAATTTATAATATTTCCTTAACTGTGAAATGTCACCATAATTTACACAATTATATTTTTATTATTAAAATTAAAAAGTCTACAAAATTACCTAATATAAAACAAAGTGAATTTAAAACTAGTATACCCTAAATTATCAAATTAACTATTAAAGCTACATTTAAAAAAAAATTAATTTAAAGTGTCATTCTACAAATCAAGAGACCATCTTTTAAGACTCGGGTGGCAAAGGGCCCAGAAAGAATTACTATTGATCTGACATGCAAGGGAAGTTACTGTTGAACTTCTTTTTTAATATTTACTCATTTCTCATTGCTAAAATTATATTAGTAATATACAATTTTATCATAGCTGCTATTAGATAGGGTATCAAATAAGATTTCCAAGGAAATGAATTTTATTTTTATCTCCATTCCCAACAATTGTAATTTCACCTTTCAAAGACTTATTAAGTCTGTTTACTTTTATTTATTTATTTTTTTGTGGGACCCTTGCAGGTGGCCGGGGAATGAACAGGTGCTGCAGAGGCTGCGGGCAGCCTTGCAGCCCAGCACTCAACCGCTGCGCCACCAGGGGAGGCCCGAGTCTGTTTACTTTTATTGCTTAATATTCAAAATGAAATATCTTACAGCCATCTTGTGTTACGCATACTATTATGTTTAGTAAATAATATACAAGCTAAAAATTGTGTAAAATTGTGATATGATTTAGAACACACGCGAAATATCTGGTTATCAAGAGCAAAAAAAAGTGCCTTCAATTCAAAGTGGGTATATAAATTAGATGATTTTTTTAAAAAGGAGCTTATGATTATTTCTGTAATAGTGACAAAAGAATAATATAATTCTTAGTCTATTTTTTAAAGGTTTTTATTTGTATTTGTTCTCCACTGAAGTTGCATCATAGGTGCATTTTTCCCCTCACATTTTTTTTTAAGATTTATTTATTCATGCATACAAGAACTGGGGTGCAGGCCAGATGCGCGGGAAGGTAAGAGGATTCACCAAAGACAGTGGGGAACAGAACAGGCAGAATGACCAAAAACACTGCTGCTGGTAGCAGCAGGTAAGGCTGGAGAGGTCTGCCGCGCCATGTGGGTAGCTCCCTGGCCAGCCAGGTTCAAGCCCGCACTGCAGAGGCTGCAGACAGCCACACAGCACTGTGCTCAACTGCCTGCGCCACCAGGGTAGGCCCCTCCCCTCACATATTTTAAAAAAGTTCTTAGACATTATTGAGTATTTTCACAAACAACCCGAGTGACAGAAAATCTGACCAATACTAAATGTAATAAAGTTTTCTTCAGAAGAACTCCTAACTCAGAAGGAGTGTGACAAGTTCAAGTCCCTAGATAAGACTATGATTAAACCAGAGCAAACAGAAGTAACTCTACAGGATATTGAGAACAATGTGCTCCATTATATAGTCTGTAAAATATACTCATGATATATTAAAAAAATGTGCTCTATGGTTACAGTCTCCTAAAATGCTTTTCAATAAAAGCTTTCTAATAGTCAAGTAAGTTTAGAAAACAATATTGTACATGTACCCAGGAAATCCAATATATATGACACATAAAAGGCTCTGAAAAGTCCTAAACTTTGTTTAATGCTATTTCCCAAACTTACTTGGCCACAGAATCCTTTCCTTGAAAAAATCTATCAATATTGAATATACAGTATAAAACTGTGGTCTATAAAAACACAGTAAAACTTCCTTTCAGTACATAATGGTTCTGTAGCCTCACAAGTAATCCTCCCAGTGTTTATATTGCTGAGGCTTTTTGGAAAGTACCTGGTGTACTTTAGAACCTCACAAGTTAAGAAGGAGAGAGGGCAAATACACTATATTAGGATCTAAAATATAAAGGAGTTATATTTGACTCACTATAAACAGGGGTATTTAATATCTCTCTTTATATAGGGTTGTGGTTTTTCTTTTAAATAGATATATATCTATTTCTTTTAAATAGATATAACATGTTCGATGTTGAAGATCAAATTTAAATAATGAATGAAAGGATGATGAGCTAAGGATGTACCATGTTCATCTGAAATGTCTGGTTATGACATTTAAGACATCGGTATTTTCCCCAAAGGGAAAAATCGGTATTGCTCCCAAAGGGAACAGAAAAAAAAAATCTCATTAATACACTCCTGCCCAGGAGTTTTTTAAATAATCCATACTAAAGTAGATTCATACTAAGTAATTAGAATAATTGCTTCATTTCTAGGTAATAAATAAATAGAAACTTACAAAGTCAGTATTAAATATTTATAAATATACACAAAAGTAGATTTTATAACATAAATCTTATTATCTGTTTAAAAGCATATGTGAAAATCACAGATATTAATCAAAACAGACATAAACCTTGTGCATCAATATATAAAACCATAACAATCACGTAAGAATAAAACATTTAAAGAACACACTCAACAAGGCAATTAATTGACTTAGTCTTGGTTAGTCTAGGTTAAGGGGCACTTAATTATACATCTGAGCTGAGAGAAAAAAATCAAACCTGAACAGAAAGTTCATTATTATTATTATTATTGTAACAGGGTGGTCCCCAGGAAAGGGGGAGGTTCCCTGCCCCACCCAAGGGAGGGTGGAGCTGAGCAGGAAGAAGAGAAGCTGCAGAAGAGACTGAGGTAGGAAGCAGGATGGAGCCAGGAGACCTGGAGGAGGCACATGGAGCCTAGAGACAGGTGAAGAAACTGCGCTTGTCTTTTGGTCGTAGACTGGGTGACACAGATGTGGGTGAGACCCATGGGGAGGTGACAATGGCAGCTTTTATCTTGATGTTGATTTTGCTCTTTTCCTTCCGGGCTTGTCCGGTTGTTTGTGACCCTTTTCTGTGGGTCCCCACTGAAAGATGCTTTAGACTTGTGGCAGGCCTTGGGGCCTTGCTCTGGGCCAATCCCATTTGGATGGACTTTTACCCACGAGGGGATGGGTAACTTTGGGTGCTTGATTTAGAAACTAGATTCTTTGCCTTACCTGTATTGTTTCCTAGTTTTATTAAAGTTCCTTTTCATTAAAGTCTCCTATGTTTTGTGTTGATGCGGCGGATGGCAGAACCCATTTAGAATAGGCAGGTTTGCGGGGTTTTGGGCTGCCCCTCTCCCTGTCCTATAACATTATGACTAGCGTTATAAAAATATATATATAACATAACCCTCCTAGAAACAAAATTACTAAATAAAATTTCTTAATACTTCAAACCTTCCCAATCACAATTTAAAAAAAAGTTTTCAAGGTAAGTACTAGTAACACTTACCAGTTATGCCTTCAGTTAGAAGATCTGTCATTTTGCAACATGATGCCAAAAGCTTTGTGGTAAATTCATCTAAAATCATTATCTTAAAATGAACAAAAATTAAGAAATAGTATAAGCTCCTGATTGCCAAGGATCACAAAAGACACAATTCTATTCATTAAACCTACTCAAACTATTATTAGCCCTTTGTAGTAGGCAAAATTATCTTAACTCACAAATTCATCTTGTAACTTGCATGACTTACAGAACTATTTTCTTAATGTACATATAGTTTTATACATAAGTAAGCAAATGGAAATATTTCTATTTTGAAGCAGACAAGTTGTTCATTTTAAATGTTTCTTACATTTAACATCAATTTTTCATAAAATTTTAAATTTGTAGAATAATAATTATTTCAGAAACTTTTCCTAAGCACTTCACATAGATTAATTCATTTAACACACGTATTCTATCAAGCAGCACCATTCCCATTTTAGAGATGATCCCACAAAGGCACAGAGGGGTCAAGCAATTTGTCCAAGAAACCCAGCTATTTTTTGGTGAAACTAGGGTATGAATGTTAACAGTACAGTTCCAGAGATACAATAAAGGTGTATGTTAAAGCCCTCATTATGAGGGCAAAATATGCAAATCTTACCTTCCATTCACCTTCTTTCTTGCAGTCATCAAACACTGTTGTTTTTATCTCTGCAAAAAAAAAAAGGAAAAGAAAATTATTTAGAAATCTTAATAGAAAATGATGTGGAATAATTAAAAGATGCAAGATGGCTGGAGAACTACATAAGTTGAAAAGGTATTAAGATATGTAAAGAGCATATATATTTGTTAAGCTTCAAATAAAAATCTAATCTCTGCCTCTAATTCTCTTTCTTTAATGCAGTTACTAGGAATTTTAAATTATTTATGTATTATATTTTTTTTCCTTTTTTATTATTTTATTTATTTATTTATTTATTTATTTTATTTATACAAGCATTGGGTACAGTCAGAAGCGCGGGAGGGTGAGAGAATTAACCAGAGCCAGAGCGGGGAGCAGAACAGGCAGAAGGACCGAAGTACACTGCCGAGTGGAGCAGCGGGCGGCAGGAGAGGTCTGTGCGCCATGTGGGACCCTCACCCGGCCGGAGACCGAACCAGTGCTGCAAAGGCTGCGGGCAGCTTCGCAACCCAGCACTCCAACCACCACGCCACCAGGGAGACCCTGTGTATTATATTTCTACTGGAAAGTGCAGCTTATAATCTGAAGATACCAAGACAGTCATATTAGCATTTTTAAAAAAATAGACGGAGATTATCAGCATATATGAAATAAGGTCACAGGTAAGTTGTTTGGAAATGAATCAAAGGAAATTACAACAACTAATATTACAGGACTAAAAAAAGAATTTTCTCTAAATACTAATGAACATTATTTGCCCTTATATCCATTCTTCTGCCACCCTAAACCATGGATATATCTGGAGATTCAATTTCCTTTCGTTTGCTGTGCTTACTCTATACTTTCCTCAGAGACCATATTCATCATCAAAGCTTCATCTATCAGATCAGTCCTTCAATTTCCCCAACTTTACTAAGCTATAACCAACACATTAACATTGCTATACAACATGTTGATATGATTCACTTAGATACTTCACTATTAATCCTGCCAGCTAGCTAACATCTTATCACATAATTATTTCTTTTTTTGACATGAGAACAATTAAGATTTACTCTCCTAGCAACTTTAAAGTGTAAACAGTACAGTATTATCATCTTATAATCACAATGCTATGCATTAGTGCCCCAGAATTTATTCGCTGTCTAACTGGAAATCTACACTCCTGGACCCACCATTTCCCCAACCCTCCAGTAGTCCTTCAATTTTTTACAAATCTTATATCCCATCTCTTTGGACTTCACTCAATTATACATTTATAGGTTTATGCACGTACATGTCTTAAAGTGATATTATAGATTCTTAAAACTGCTCTAGATTTCTCCATTTCTGTGAGTTTTATTATCATTTTATAGTCATAATCTTTGGTAATTTCCTCCTTTCCCCATATCCAATCACTAGGCAGTACTGATTGTTCTTTTTGTTGATTGCCACTGTTTCCCAACTCCGCCTTGATTCTCAACATCTCTCACTAAACTTCTGTAACAGTCTACCATCTGAATTTCCTGCTTTCCATCTCCAACTCCTTTGCCTTTTCAATCCATTTTTTTTTTTTATAGAGGCATGTTTGTTTGTTTATTTATTTATTTGTTTGTTTGTTTGTTTTTGTTTATACATGCACTGGGTACAGTCAGAAGCGCGGGAGGGTGAGAGAATTCACCAGAGCCAGAGTGGGGAGCAGAGCAGGCAGAAGGACCGAAGTACACTGCTGAGGGGAGCAGCGGGCGGCAGGAGAGGTCTGCGCGCCATGTGGGACCCTCCTCTGGTGGCCGGGGAGCAGCCGGGGATCGAACCGGCGCCTCAGAGGCTGTGGGCAGCTTCGCAACCCAGCGCTCAACCGCTGCGCCACCGGGGAGGCCCTTCAATCCATTTTTAAATCCACTGTTAATTTCCTGAAGCACATTCCTTGTTTACATCAAGACCCACCTAAAAATTCCCCAAATGGTCAGAAGTCTTTCCTATAGAAAAAAAATCTAGACTCTACTATTCAACATGCTCTACCAACCGCCTCTACCTAATCTCTAAAGTGATCTTCCACCAGTCAAAATGTTACCTAAATAATGACCTATTAAAAACAACTACCTATCTTTGTTCATTCTGTTTCTAAGCGCGAAAGGAAATGTATTTAAAACTGTAATGCCAAAGAGGAAGTGAAAACTTGGAAGGGAAAAATTAGAATAGAACAAAGTAGACTGCACCATCAGCAATGCTGAAGGTATACTTGCACAATCATCTCAAATCACAGAAAAAATATTAATAAACCTGATAATAACAAAGCAATAGAAACTTATTTGCCTGGAAAACAGAAAATAATGTATAAGTAACAGAGTTCTTGAGGAAACAACATTAGAAAAGGCCTAGCAATATGGAAATAATAATGGGGGGGGGGAGAGAGTACCAGTAGTAAAAGATAATATCAATATAGACCTAGAAAACATACCGTCTTTCTCATCTATTTGCTCTGTCTCATCTAAGTCCATGGCTTAGAGAAGGCATTTGGTGTGTCTGAATGCATTGTGGGCCTCAGAAAAGACCAAAGCAAAAAAATAAAAATCCAGTAACATCTTGGGGGAAAAAAAAATAAATCATGGCTTCCATGACTACCTAAATGCTCTACCTTAAATCCAGATGCCCTAATTCAACCCTCTGAGTCTTAATACCAACTGCCTATTTATATCTTTTGCTCATTTTTCTATTGAGTTTTATATTTTTTCTTATCAATTTATAGGTATTCTCTACATATTAATTCTTCTCTACGACTGTAATCATTATTTTCAAGTCTGCAGTTTTGTTTTGTTTTTTTTAAAGATTTATTTATTTATGCACATAAGAACTGAGGTCTAGGCCAGACGTGAGGTGGTGGGAGGTAAGGATTCACCAAAGATAGAGTGGGGAGCAGAAGAGGCAGATCCACTGAAATACAGGGGAGCAGCAGGGGAGGGGAGCAGCAGGGGAGGCCAACAGAGCAGCGGGGCAGGACAGGAGATGTCTGTTGTGCCATGTGGGTCAGGTCCCTGGCTGGGGGGATTGAATTCATTCCTCAGTGGCTAGCAATTGTTTAACAGCACTGAGACTTTAACCCCTGCACCACCAGGGAGGCCCCTCAAGTCTGCAGTTAACTCTTGATTTTGTTCCTGGTGTCTTCCACCACATAGTAACTGACAATTTTTATATAATAAAATCTTTTATGGCATGTGGTTACCAATTTTTTCTTGAAGTCTAACTCACATTATCCCCTATTTTCTCCACATCATTTCACTTTTCACATTTTGGATCTTTAATACATATTGAATCAATTTTTAATTTGCTAAAGATGGACTAGGATCATGCCTAAGAAAATAAAAGAGGAATAAAGACTTATGATAAGCAGATGTGAGAGCAAAAAGTCCTGAGAAAGTACTACCTTCATCAATCTCACTAAGCAATGAAAACTTAATATAGTAAATACTTCCGACATAAGCAAAACAACATAAAAGAAAACTATGGCATAAGAGTAAAATGTCAGAAATGAATGCAACAGAATCTGCCTAGCTTTGGCCTAAATTACTTGGTGAACAAATAAGAATCTTCAGAAAGGCAAACGCATGGGCTTCAGGCAGCAGCAAAAGCCACACTCATTATTAAGGCAGTTAAATAGAAACAAAACTTGAACTGAACATGGGAAAGTGCACTAGGGCTGCCAGGACACACTGTTCAAAAATAGTATGAAAGTATAACATGAAAACAGAGGACTACTGTTAAGATCAACTAAACATATACAAAGGTAAACATTAAAGAGTTATTCATAGATAGAAGTTTAGTAAATTCTGTATTTATTCTTAAGGAAAATACTTTACAACAGCATCCGGAGGGTTTTTCAAATATAGAATGTGAAAGTTAAAAGACCATCATTAAAATTATTTGATGGTGACATTAAATCACAACAGTAGTTACAATGGGGGAGAAGGTGGGACTTGGACTGGAAAGGGTTATGAGGTGTTTGGAAACATTCTCTATCTAATCTGGGTGGTACTTAGATGGATAAAATACCCATCCAGCTAAACACTTAGCATTTTACACTTTACACTGCCATTATACTTAATGAAATCTTAGAGCCTATTTCCTTCCAAATAGGAACAAGAAAATCACTTCCTCTTGGCATTATTTTAAACTGTGTCTCCAAAATGCTGTTGACTGTTATTTGAGAAGGAGTGGGGAAAATCTTTTCTCTGTAATGGCTCCCACTGCCTAGAGAATGTATTAACTGTTTAGCTAAAACCCACCATTTAGTCTTTGTCTTAACACTTCTCTTCCATAAACTACCAAATACTTTGTTACCTTTGGGCCTTGGTTCAGATTTCCCTCTGCAAAATCCTACTACTTTTCAATATCACCTCCTCTTTGGAGTTTTCTTGATCCTCTTCCAGGGATTAAATAATTCTTTTTTCTTCTCTTCTGCCATGAAACTTTTTCATACTGCTAGCTCAGCACTTAGTACTGTGTACCTGTCTTCTCTCATTGAACTGTGCATTCTAGGTGGTTGAGGATACAAACCTAGAATAGTTTGTAGCACAAGGCAGATAATAAGTATTAATTTAAATGAATGTATGCCTACGCAAATATCCAAAAACTAAAAGAATATTTTGCTCAACAAAATAAACCTAAAGAAGTGACCAAACTGAAAAAGGTATAAGTGAATGCTAAGTGAATACTGCGTGTTTAATAAAGGAAGTCCCAGAAAAACAAATGGTAGGAAAAAATATCTGTATCTATATAAAGAATAGATGGAAAATGTGAAAAGGGAAAAAGTTTATAACAATATGTAAGCTGGCTCAAAGAAATACATACTTATTATTTTTATTTAAAGCATTTGAAATTTCCCTAGGTTCATTTTCTCTAATGTTTCCTCTAAAATATTCTACGTGAATTACAGCTATTAGATGAGACTACTGTTTAGACAAGAAAGAAATAGGCTATACTCAGTAGCCAAAGAAGGGGAGGGGGGAAGACACACATGGTTTGAACTTTGTTATTGATTTAATTATTGCTATTTTGCTGTATATTTATTTTTTAAATAAACATATAATTTTTATTGAAAACCTTTTATGAGCCCAGCACTTTTCCACTGTGCCACTCTGCTAGCCTTATTTAGAACCTTTTGTCAGTAATACTTTTGCTACTCCTTCCTTGTAAGCAAAAAGTAAGAAACACCAAGTACTAGAAACTTTTTTAAGTATGGGAATTAGTTGTAGAAGTACAAATGAATGTAGCCTTTAGCACTCACATACTGATGTCTTTTTCAAAGGGTTAAGGTAGTCCCTAAAGGCTGACTGCTCATGTTTTAGATCTCAGCTCTAATGTCACCTACTCAGAGAAACCTCTCCTGATCCACTTACCTAAAGCAGCCTCTTTCTCCACATAAATAACACAAACTGAAATGAGCGTGTTTAGTCTTTGTTTTTATCTTTTTTATTATTCCCACTTGAATACAAACTTTGAGAATGCTAGGAACTTATCTGTTTTCTATGCTACGTTTCCATAGGAATTCAGTAATATTTACTAGAAAAATGGGGGACTTTGTAAAGCAAAAATTGGGAAAAATTATAAAACTGACCTACTATTTACTTTTAACATTTGGCATTGTTATCTATTGCACTGTTTGTAATTTAAAACTTTGTAAGAGACAACAGACCTATCTTCAGTAAGCTGATCAAGAGACTCACATCAGGCAATAGTAAGAAGTGCCATTCAAGAAAGGTAAACTAAATGCTACAGAACTATATGAGGCTGGGTTGAACTAAGAAGCCACTGTGGTGGCAGTAGGCTCATTCGGGCTAAAATATAGACAGATGAGGAACAGGAATAGAGAGAGCACTCTAGACAGAGGAACTGACATTAAGATGTGCAGGCAGGAGACTAAGAGCAATAAATAGTATAAACAAGCTGAACATCAAGATTATACAAGGAAAAAGTAGATAATAAGGTAAGCTGGGGTGCAGGTTATAAATTTTCAAATGCAGACTAAGTGTGTGAAATGATCTTTAGGCAACTGGCAGTCTCTGCATGTCATCAGCAGGAGAATAGCACAAGCATAACAGCACAGATCTTCCTTGACTTACCTCACCCCATAATCTCCATATCCACCCCCAGATGGAGGCAACCACTGATGTACTTTCTGACGCTATAGCTTGCCTGTGCTGGACATTTAATTTAAATGAAGTCATACAATATGTACTTCTTTGTGAGTGGCTTCTTTTATTTGGCATAATGGTTTCAAGGTTCATCCATGTTATAGCATGAACTTCCTTTCTTTTTATTGCCCAATATCTCATTCTATGGACATACCAACTGTCATTTATCCATTTATCCATTCATCAATCCATGCACATTGGGGTAGTTTAGACTTTTTTGCTATTGTGAACAGCACAGCTCTGAGAGTAGCTGTATGAATTTTAACATCGGTGAATAGAGATATTACTGCTCATATTGTTTTAAGTAGATAAAAAATAGGGCCTGGCACAGAATTTACCTGAGTTACTTTCCATGTAGCAAAACCTTTTCCAAGTCAAAAGGACAACTCTCCTACCCTTTATGATATTCCACCATTTGTTTCAGAATCTATCATCAAAACTCAGAAGCTCCCACACTTCTCTCTTACCTCCTTGATGTTCAATGAATCTTTTCTTTTGTTGTTTCTGTTTATACAAAGGTTTGAAGAACAATTTTTAACCCTTATTATCTCTTCACTATATGCCTTTCAGTCTCTCACCTTTATCTTATACTCATCTACACATCCCAATGCCACCTCAAGTTAACAGCATAAGTTAGAAATTTTATCTTTAAACTCTCTCTTGCCTAGTCTCCATGATTTCAAGACTGACATAACTATCATTAATTTTTTATGATAAATGCTGAGATTAAAAACCAAATATATCTTGGAAATTGTGTATACAAACACAATTTGTTGCCCATTTTTATATGAATATATTTAAATGTCACTGTCATTTTAAAACATTAGCAAATCTCAAGTTGCCCTTGTAAATCTTGAAAAACAAAATGCCTATCTACTAATTCTTCAGTTTTTAAGAGGATGTTTCCATAACTTTTTTCCTCCCAAGTTACATACTTGTCTTTAGCGTGTGGTATGTTAAGCACTATACCAGTTAATGACTTGAAGTTTTAATTTTACAAAGGTACTCTCTAACTCCCAGAATTTTGTTAACTCAGTCATTTCTGTTCTTTGCTCAGCACGTCAGAGTCTTAAGTACTACTCAGATGTTATTCCCTTTCCACTATAAACCATAATTACTTTGAACTCAGCAATGCCAAACAACGATGGTTCTTCCTGTTTGGTCTTTTCATTCCTTCTCTTAACTTTAGACTTCGACTTGGGGCCGTTTTTGTGAAAGTCGTCCATGAAACAGCAGAACATCAGTCACCAAATAGGCATTACCGTCCAAACAGCAAGAAGTGTCCCTGGGAGTGTAAAGGGAGGTGCAGTTTTGCCCAACTATGCAGATAGCTGTCACAGAGATTTAATCATTCCACGGGTCTCTTCTCAAGAACTCTTTAGAAAGTGGGATCTTCTAGGAATAGGAGAAGAAGGATCTTTTTAACAGTGTTTTGTTCTTAGGGCAGCTATTGCAAAGTATGGCTGTAAACCCTCCCTGATCCTAACATAAACCCTAACATAAGAGACAATAAACACTCTCCAGAAACTCCAGCGTGGGGAGAGAGGCGGGGGTGGGGTGGGGACAGGACAGAGAAACACAGAGGACAGAGGAACACAGTGCCCAGACTGTCTCGGGTGGGGAGACATCCCCGGCTGGCGAGGCCCGCGCTGCAGCCGAGGAGCGCAGGGAGCTCGGCAGAGGGGCCGCGGGAGGAGCCGGGCCGGGGCGGCTCACCCCGGGCAGGCGGCCGGGAGCCCAAAGCAAGAACCGGTCCTCCCGCACCCCGCCCATCCTGGCGCTGGCCAGGGCAGAGCTGGAGGGAAGCAGGAAGACGTCCCAACAGGGACGCGGGTCCCCAGCAACAAGTGGCCGCAGGGCGTCCCCAAGAGACTGCAGGGCTGGGACAGGAGAGCAAGGCCCGGCGCGGGACCTCCCGGCCTTCCCTGGGCCGGCCCCCGCCCCACCGCACTCACTCTGCCACACGACGCTCTTCAGCCCCCGTTCCATCACCGGCGGCGCCATCTTCCCAACACCGCGGAGCTGCAGCCACCGCCTCCCACAGGCAACCTACTTCGGCCGGGAGACGGGCACGCCAGGAGCCCCGCCCCTCGCTCTGGGAAGGCCCCGCCCCCAGACCCGGCCCGCGCCCTCCGATGACGTCATCCCGCGCGTCGGCGCGCGGATTGCTGCCCACCCCCGGAAGGAGGCTGCGCAGTGCGGGGTGGAATTTCAGCGGGCGGTCGCGCGCCCCCTAGCGGGAGACGGTGTTACCAGGCGTTCGCAGTCCTGTGACGTCAGAAAGCGGCGTAGTGTTGGGTTATGCGCTAACCCCACTGAAGGGGCTCCGCGTTCACGCCTACACACGCGAAGGAGGGAGGAATCTTTCGCTTTCCAGAAGAATTCTGCACTTTAGGAAGCAAGTCATAACCAGCTTAACTATGGAATGGAAACTTTACTCCCCACAAACGTTATTTTATTCATTTTTCGAGGACATAGTTGTATAGACTATGAGGTTCCCAGCAATGTACCCAGAATCGTGCAAGACTTTCCTGAAACTCAAGAATTCAGAGATGCACTTGAGAAGAATTTATAATCTAAATTGAGCGCATAATTCCTGGCACGTTGAAAGTAATCAAAAGTTTGTTTAAAAATTGAATACATTAAGTAGGACTATAGACATAAATGAACCAATAAAACAATTTTTATTCAATAAAGTCATGTGCAAAATTTCATGGGAAGGGTTTATCAATACTTTAGGATCCAACAGAAGGGGATTTTTGTTGAAAGCTAATTCACAGACTTAGCCCAGACTTAAAAAGTTTATGTAGAGATCTCTTTCCTGAAATGGTTCCTTTGGGGATTGAAATCAAAGTAGTAATGAATTATATCACTTTAGTTGCAGAAAGTACCAACTGTGACATAACCAGTCACAGTTTTTTGTCTTCATTCTCCTTTACTCTCCTAAGGAGGAATAATTGCAGGCTATTCCACAGACTGCTCTATTGCTTTTTGTATAACTCAAGACTTTCACAAGGATTTGCAAGGAACCCATGGTTTAATTCTTGTTGGTTACATTAGGAAAGTGGAAACAGTTACTACTAGCAATAATAATAGGTAATATTTACTGGTTGCATACTATATGCCAGGCACCATGCAAAATGGATCATCTCATTGATCCTCTAAAGAAGACTTACAGACGTGGAAACTAATCCTTTGTGAAGTAACTTGCCAAGGATGTGCAGCTAGTGGTGGGGGGGGGGAGCAAGGATCAGGCTTGAGTTATACAGAAAGCAATGGAGCAGTCTGTGGAATAGCCTGCAATTTTTGCTCCTTAGAAGAGAAAAGGAGGCTGAAGACAAAAACAGCCATGAATTGGATTTCAAGCCCAACCTATGGCATTAGTGGTTTTTCCATTCAAGGCTCATAAGAGAATGGAAGCTGAAGCCCTGACCTTGTTTAACCTACCTTAAAAAGACTCAGCTGCTCAGAATCTTATACACACGGACACATGATTTCCCTGTCCCTTAATTTTAAATCAGGTTCTGCTTAGTACAGCATGTCCTCAAATAATGTCATTTCCTTATAAAGTTGATGAGGGGAAGAGCCTCCCTGGTGGTGCAGGTGGCTGAGCACAGTGTTTTGAGGCTGTCCGCAGCCTCTGCTGTGCAGGTTCAATGCCGGCTGGGGAGATACCTACATGGCGCGGCAGACCTCTCCTGTCTTGCCTGCTGCTCCCCTCAGCAGTGTATTTCAGTAGATCTGCCTGTTCTGTTCCCCACTCTGTCTCTGGTGAATCCTCTCACCCTCCCACACATCTGGCCTGTACTCCGGTTCTTGTATGCATAAATAATCTTTAAAAAAAGTTGATGAGGGAAAAAAAAACACACTGAATGAAATGTTATTGGAGGATCTGCTTTCCTTATAGGTCATTTGGCATACAGTTGCATTTTCTGAGAACCTACTGACACTAAGTGAGGGCTTAGTGTCAACAGGGTGGAGCCCCAAGCCATAGAAATGAAGACAGTGCAAATTCACCCTTCTAAGTGGATGTTCTTAACCAGGCAAGAGTGAGACAAGCGAAGTACACCTCCATCTCCTAACCTTCAGGAGATGACCAGGTGCCAGGGAATGACACAGATACCTCAAACACTTCAGTTTTGTTGCATTTTATGTGTTGAATGTGAGCATAAGCTAAGGTTCCAGAAAGTTAAACAAACTATGTAAGTCCTCAGGGTTGCTCCAACACCACTCTTTTCCTTCATACCACGTTATCTACCTTCATTTCCTTAGTGTTGTATGACCTCCCTGAGCACTCTGGTCTCCAATCTGTTTGCCTAAGCAAATTGAAAGATGAATTTGAATGGCAGAATGGAAGGTGAAATCCACCAAGACAGGTTAGGTGAAAATCTGCGTTGCATAATTTGCTGTGCAGATAAACCACCTAAATTAACTAGGGCTAATGTAAAAGCTCAAGAGTTAGGACTGATCGCACCTACTCACCATCTCATGCCCAGGTCTTCCTCACTAATAGTTGATAACTTAAACTTCCATAAAGATATCATGGATTAGAAGGTCAAATCGGTGTTATTTACTTGGCCTTCTGAGAATTTATGTTTGACCTGTTTAGCTGCGTGATCATAGGTGAGTTACTTTACTTTTCTGGGTTTGGTTTTATTTGTATAAAAGGAAAAATATAATATCTAGCTTGTAGGGTGAGAGTATGTGGAAAGCACCTAGAAGTGTCTAATATGTTATCTGCATATTTTGGTTTTATATTCATCCATTGTCCTTTGTGGAACTGACTAAAGCATGCTAGTCCAGGCCTAGCTAAATAGACAGTCGGTTCATTTTCTGTACCCCTCTATTTGAAGGGCATGGGTATACTCTTCCCAACTCCCTGGTGTTGTAGGGCCAGGGATCCTAATCTTCTCTTTGGCCTTTACCTCAACTCTTTGGCCATCCAGTCTACCATGAACACAGCTCTGCCAGCAATCGGGCTCATCACACCGTCTCACATGATCTCTGGACCACAGCCCAGAGCATAGCATTAGTTCTCGGTTCATCCCTGCTCTGAACCTTCCAAACTTCCTCACCAGTCTCTCTGTAAAAGGGCAAAGGAGAGTTTCCAGGCTCCCCACCCCACCCAAGGAAGGGTGGAACTGAGCAGGGAGGAGAAGCTAGAGAGGAGGAAGAAGGGAGATCAGGAAGGAGACTGGAGGAGGTACATGGAGCAGAGAGACATGTGAAGAAGTTGCACTTACTTCTTGGCCTTGGACTTGTACCAGGGGCTCATGGGACATGAAAGGAGACACTTGAAACAGACATGAATGAGAGAATCATGGGGCTGACAATGGCAGCCTTTATCTTGATTTTGATCTTGGTCTTTTCCTTCCAGACTCACCTGGCTCCTTCTACCCCTTTCCTGTGGGTCCCCACCAGAAAGTGTCTTAGATATGTGGCAAGCTTTATGTCCTCAGCAGTCCTGCTTTGGGCCAGCCCTGTTTGGCTGGGCATTTACCCATGAGGGGATGGGGAACTTATGGGTGTTTCATGTGGAAACTATCTTATCTATTCTTTCTCTTGTCTTCTCTTTATTGTATACTAACTGTATTAAAGTTCCTTTCCATTGAAAGTTTTATACACTAGAGTATGTTTTGTCTTGATAAGGTGGGTGGCAGAACCCATTTAGAGTGGGTAAATTTGGCCATTTGTCAGAATCACTGGGTGAGTTGGTTGAAAATATAGATTCCCAGGCCTGCTCCCAAATTTACTAAATTGGAATCTCTAGGGATGGTGCCTGGGGATCTGTATAGATAATGAGTGCCCCAAGTCCATGTAGCCCAAAGTTCACTTACTGGGGGTTAGGAACAAAAATGAACTAAACTCAGGCCTCCTCTGTCTGTGATGCTGATACAACCAATTACAGGCTTATAAATCTGTCTTTGTCCTGTCGCCTTTTCAAGTGTAGATGCTCTGGGGAGTATCTCTCATCAACACCCAGAGCATCTCTCATCAACGACACCTCTGTATCTCTGATCTGTCTTATACAGAAGAGGAAGTTTGCCCTCCCTCCCAGTTTGCCTCAAGCTGATATCCTATTCCCTCTGGGCAGAGTTTTATGGTTTTTCTTATCTGTAGACAGTCTTGGCTCCATAGCTGTATTTTGGAGAGTAGACACTCTGTGTGTGTGTGTGTGTGTGTGTGTGTTAAAAAAATCCTACTTACTGTTTTTCAATAAGATTACTGACATTCAAAAAGACAAACGCTTTTCTAGGTACACAGTTTTGTATTACAAATCATTGCCTTTCCTTTCCAAAGATGACAAAAGAAGCTACAGTGTGAATGGGTATCCCCCATTAATACCTGTATGTCAATCTGCCAGTTTGAGGCTGTGCCCCACTGTCCTGCATCCAATGATCTTGCTAAGTCAAAATCATGACTGCCGTCCTTCTAGCAACAGGCCAGCAGCTTGCTTTTCCAAGATGCTCATTCGGAGGTCACATCACTTGATGTATTGACTCTGAGAACCCTGCAAGCAGCTCAAGTTCCTCCTGACTTGAGATGAGGGTGTTTGTCACCACATTTGCGCTGGCAGCTGACACCGTCCAGCCTCTGCCAAAGTCCTGGTGGAGGTCTGCCCTGGGGTGATACTTTGGATGACTTGATTTAGACTTCTCTGTGAGGGAGTGTTTCCAGCCCATGTATGGTTAGAGGGTTGCACAGGAAGTGCTGGTGTTGATGAAACACACAGGAAGTGGATTTGTTAAAGTCTGGTGTGTCTGGATGTGAATCTCAGGTCTGCTAAGCAGATCTTTGATGTTTCTAGGACTCTGTATTCTGGCTCACTCTGGCAGCCTTCCAAAGGACTTTCTGGACCCCTTGCTCCATGGAGTCCCTGCCACCAAAGATCTTGAAGTCCTTGCTGGTGAGGGCACACCTGACATTGTCATCAAGAGTTGTTCACTGAAAAGCTGAAAGGGCTTGGCTTGTCCTATCCTGCAGTCATTTTGTATTCTATTAGATCTTTTCCACCTCTAATCATACTAACAATTGAGACAACTCTGCAAGAGATATGGGAAGAATATTTTTTAAAATAAAAACAAAAGACTTTGCCTTTGAATCATACTGCTTTGTTTCAATTACTCACTAGTTCAGTCTCTGGTTTTATCCACGGCTCACTGTGTCATTCAGCATTTCTCTTCCCTCTGTAAATCACTGGAAAGGGCAAGGAAGTGACCACAGGATACATTAAAGATGCAGACTTGTTTTTTAAAGCCCTCAAATGTCTTTGAGCTTTCCACTAGCATTTTGATGTGAAATGCTATTTTTGCAACATGTCACAGCAAGGAAGCAGGAAATTAAGGGAATCTGAACTGTTCAATGGGTGAGAAGAAACTGACCAACAGGTCCTGGGAATCCGGCAGAACCAGAGAGGCCTGGCCCTGACGCACTGCAATATGCCTGCACCTATATGATCTACCCTAGCGCTCCTGTAGATTGTGAACACACCAAAGTTTGAGAATTATTATTTAAGCAGTGTTTCCCAAACTTGAATACACACACACACACACACACACACACACACACTAACCACCCGGGGATTTAGTAAATAAGGGTGGGGCCTGAGAGTGGGCACTTTGTACAAGCTTCCTGGTGACACTGAGGAGTAGAGTTTAAAAACCAGACAACAGGGGCCTCCCCAATGGTTCAGCAGTTGAGCGCTGGGTTGCGAAGCTGCCCGCAGCCTCTGTAGTGCCGGTTGGATCCCTGGCCGCCGGTTGAGGGTCCCACATGGCACGCAGACCTCTCCTACCGCCCACTGCTCCCCTCAGCAGTGTACTTCATTCGTCTGCCTGTTCTGTTCCCCGCTCTGGCTCTGGTGAATTCTCTCACCCTCCTGTGCTTCTGACTGTACCCAGTGCTTTTATAAATAAATAAATCTTAAAAACAAAAAAACAAAAGCAAAAACAAAAACCAGACAACAGATCCAAATGGAATCATTTCTGCTAAGCCCCATGTCTCTTAATTAGTTTCAGCTGTCCCAGAAATGGAATCTTAAACTCATCAATCAGGAATTGCTTGGTCAGCACCAGTTAGGTAATTTACCTGAGAGACCCCTACCATCCCTTAAAGGAAAGTAACCTTGCAATAACAACCCACTTCTAGCCTGGTATAGCTAACTTATCCCTGCTCCCTCTTGCCTGTAAAAGTGTTTATTTTGTACAGCTTCTTGGAGTGCATTCTCCCTGCTAGATGGGATGTAGCCTAATTTGAGCAGATTTTTGCTCAAGTAAACTAAATTTTGTATATGCCTTAGTTTGTCTTTTAACAGTAACCAGGTCTAAGAGTAATGGTTTGCAAACTTTTTTCTTACGCATTGAAACTCTTTCTTAAAGAAAATGAACATTAATATACCACTCCTTTCCTCCTGGGGCCTCCCAAGATTCTCCTACCACCCCTCCATGGCTCAGGGGAACATGGATTAAAAGTCATCATGATACTGGAAATAGGTTCTAAGAATGCAGACTTAGGTCCATGCACATTTCACTGGAGACCAGAGCTTATGGTCTCTAGTACTTGGGAGTTTTTAAGTAATTTTTTTTAAATATAAGTGAGACGTTTCTTCACAGTGTTAATAAGCCAGCCCTATTTTCCCTTAGTTAATAGGAACAAAAACCATTAAAAATTCATAGGGACTGTGCTTACTTCAGCCCTGCATGTGGGGCAGAATTGGAAAGGCTGTGTCCTGCTGTGCTCAGAGAAGCAATGTGCTGGGAGAGGAACAAAACAGGCAGTCAAGAGAGACTCTGGACCCAGTCCATGCCAGCAGAAGGAAGTGTTAGATGGACCAGCTTGACCTGGGGGTTTACAGGTCAGCCATGTCTGACTGTGTGTGTGTGTGTGTGTGTGTGTGTGTAGTGTGTCCATCTAGTTTAATTTGGGGTTGATAATATCCCTTGGGGTTTTTCTCAAGGCCCTAAATCAAGCAGAACCTTAAAAGAGTGTGGCAAATTTGTGACAATATAGGCAGATCTGGAGGAGATGGTGCTAAGTGAAATAGGTCAGCAGGAGAAAGATAAATACTGGATGATTTCACTCATACATGGAATATAAAGAAACAAAACAAAGGAACAGACAAAACAAGCCCAGAATCATGACTGTAGAATTGAGGTAACAAGAAGAGGAGGAGGGTAGGGAACAAAGCAGGATGGGACCAATGGCTGAGGGTGGAGGATTTTGGGTGCTATGCTGGTGGTGGGTATGTGATAACATCCCTCTGAAGAGGTGTGAACCTGTTCCTCTAAAGCATATAACCAATGCTACCTGGATAAAAAAAATCTTTTTTTAAAAGTATGGTGAGCATACCTCCCATAGCAGCATGTGCTGCTTCTTGATCACACAGCTGTGTGGTCATCTCTTCAGCCCACCCCAACAGTAGCCCACCCACAGGGCGCCCAGAACAGCCTAGGCAAGATCAGCCTCAGGCAAGATAAGCCTGAGGAGGCAGTGAGGGTTATCTTTGCTCCAATTTCCCCTTTCAGTGTCCCTTTACTACTTCACATCTACCCATACAAACTGAAAAGGACATCCTAGCTCCCTGCAGGCAGCTAGCAGTTTCCCTCTAATGCCCGTCCACTAAAGGTGTGGTCAGATGGCAGAGTGATGTCACCAATCACCTGGACCCTGTCAGAAGTGCAAAGTCTCAGGCTCGCCCCAAATTCACCAAATTGAATCTGGTGCTAAGAGGGTCCAAGGTGAGCTGTGAGCACTTAAAGCTTGAGAAGGACTGACTACTGGAAAGCAGCTGTTCTCGGTCTTGGCTATGCTATAGAATCATCTAAAAAATGGTCAAAAAGCCTGATGCCCAGATTTTTCCTGAAACCAATTAAATCAGACTTCCTGGGAATAAAGAGTCCAGGCATCAGTTACTTTTAAGCTTTCAAGATGACCTGATGTCCAACAGGACTGGGAACCAGTCTCGGAAGTGAGGATGAAACAGCTGCCTCTCTGAATCTTCATATTTTTCCTGTGGGACCCTAGAAGGTGGAAAGACTCTAGAGTCCAAGGGAGTTCATTCCAACAACGGAGGCATCCTAACAGGAGAGAAGTTACAGGAAAGAGCAAGAACCCCTGTATCACAAAAAGAAAGAATTTGCCTTTCTTACTAATTGAAGAGTCAGCTTTGGCATGACTTTGTTAAGTTGCCCAAAATTCAACAACAGGGCTTCCCTGGTGGCCTAGGGCTTAAGTCTCAGCCTGAGTTCAAACCCAGCCAGGGAGCTGACCCACATGGCACAGCAGACCTCTCCTGTCTCCCCTAGTGCTCCCCTCAGCAGTGTGTTTCAGTAAATCTGCATGTTCTGCTTCCCCCCTCTGTCCCTGATGAATCCTGTACCTCTTGCCTATACCCCGGTTCTTCTGCACAAAAATATAATAATAAAATAAAATGCAACAAAAATTCCCTTCTATGTTACCCATGAGAAAAATGACTTACCCATTCCAAGTGTACTTCCAGAGCAGGTTACTGTAAAAAAATTAATATATGTTTAATGACATACTTAAGGTAAAGCTATAACTGAAGAAAGAAAAACAGGAAAGTAAACCCAATACGCATAATAACCAGCTTAGGTGATATCCAAAGAGAGATCTACTACCAGTATGACCTTGGGCAAGTCACTTCACTTTTCTGCACCTCAGTTCATCTGTAAAGTTGTAAGAATAAGAATGCCAACTTCATAGGATTGTTAGAAGGATCAGTTGAGTTAACACATGTAAAGCCCTTAGAATAGATATCTGGCACACAAAAAAACTATTAGTTATTATTATCATTAACAATGTGTCATCTTAACCCAGTTAGGTATCACTGATATTGGGGGAAAAAAAGCATCAAAAAAATTCCCCCAAGGGCATGGTTTTTACTGAGGACACTGAGCAAAGGTGGGTTTCTTGATCTGAGCCTACATGCCCAATCCTTACTAAGATGAACTGCTGCAGGCATGAGATAGTACCCCACCCAAGGGAGCTAGAGCGGTCACTGACAAGGACTCTGGTGGTAACAGTCCACCAGATGAATCCCTCTCCAAGGGTTGAATTGTGGGTATAGGGCAGGAGAAATAACATCTCACTTACTGACTGTGTGATCATAGGCAAACACATAAACTCGTGTATTTATTTATTTTTTTTAAATTTAAACTATGTTAGTCAATAGTCATGCCTAAGTACTGAGAACTTGAAATATTACCATTCACTAGAAGAAAAGACACACACCCGGCTTCTTATAATATGGTGTGGGAAAGACAAGGGTGATGCCGGGTCAGAAGGGAGGGAGGGACTCACTCAGCCTATGGGGGTTAGAGAAGACTTCACAGAGGGGAACTATGAGTTTGGAACTTTGGGTTTCCCTTGGAGGTGGAGTGAATTCCTGGCAAAGAGAAGAGAACCACAGTAGCTCAGAAGTGTGATGTGGCTTGGTGTGTGTAGTGGGGCCCTTCCAAACTGCAGGGCCCAGCTGTGTTCTCCTGGTGCCTGTCCACACTGCCAGGTCCAGTAAGGAAGGTGTGTGTGTGTGGTGAATGATGTCATGTGACTATACTACATAATAGAATCCTTGAAGGAGGGGTGTTGTGGGGTGCACCTAGAATTGCACTGTCCAATACAGTAACCACCCAAATGTGGCAAGCCTGAACTGAGATGTGCTATAAAGTATAAAATACACACCAGATTTCAAAGACTTAGTGTGAAAAAAAAAATGCAAGAATTTTATATTGATCCATGTTGAAATAATATTTTGAAGCTATAGACTTAACTAAATATATTGTTTAATTTCATCTTTTGCTTTTGCTTTTTAAAAAGTGGCTACCAGGAGATTAAAATTTTTTTCAGGTTGCCATAACAAGGGAATGGTAAAATTCTCATCTTTAAATTTTATAAATGTAAGACTTTGTTTCTGTAAAAAATGAAAACACATTGACTTAAGTTCAGGATAATAGTAATTAAATAAGCAATCTATGAAGAGATAGTAAAACTAAATATAATTATTTTGTAATAGTTATGGAAAGATTTTCAGAATAACAAGATCTAAGCAAGTGAAAAATATCTGTACATTGACTTGCTGAAGAATACAAAAATCCTTTATCAATATGATACCCATTGGAATAAATATTCAACAGATTCTTAATTTTTTGATAAATAATTATTTCAATCATTTAATTTTCTTCTTCTTTTTTTTTAGTTTTTTTTTTTTTTTAAAGATTTATTTATTTATTCATACAAGCACTGGGTACAGTCAGAAGTGCAGGAGGGTGAGAGAATTCACCAGAGCTGGAGTGGGAACAGAACGGCAGACTGAAGAAATACACTGCTGAGGGGAGCAGCGGGTGGCAGGAGAGGTCTGCGTGCCATGTGGGCCCCTTGCCGGTGGCCGGGGATTAAACTGGTGCTGCAGAGGCTGCTGGCAGCTTTGCAGCCCAGCGCTCAACCGCTGCGCCACCAGGGGAGGCCCACAATCATTTAATTTTCAAAGGAAAATTAAAACTTTTCACACATGGTTTGCGTTAAATTTCTATTAGACAGTGCAGGTGTGGAAAGACAGACCTTGTGAGGGACTGTTACAGGGCAACCCCAGTGTGAAATGGGTTGGCTTGACCAAGAGCCCTCACCCACATGCTTAAAAAGGACTTATAATGAGACTCAACTGCAGGCACACACAAAAAGGGTAATAAAGGGTTTATTAACCAAAAAAATGGGGAAATGAAGAAATGAGTAACTTAGGGAGAGAGAGATAAATTGGTGAATGTGTCCTACCAGTTCTGCTGAGCTGGGACCCCAATAGCATACTGAAAATTGGCAGAAAAACAGCCCCACACCTCCCCAAGGCCCACATGTCTGGTTATATACTAAGCCTGGCTGCTTAACTCCACCCTCAGTTCCCAGCAATGCTCTAATTAGTGGTGATGACATTATGGGATTTGTAGTCCTTGGTGTCTAGGATCTCTTAGGTCTGGGGTGGGGGTGGGATCCATAAAACCTATTTGTGGAGTTTGTTCAGGACATCCTTATCCCCCAACAGGACCTTGAATGCAGTGCTCAAGAGGATTGAATTTTATCCTGTGGGGCATGGAAAACTGAGGCTCATGAAGCATAAAAGTAACACCATCAGGTCAGCTTCCTGGAATGGCAAGTCTGGTAATTGGTAAGGAGGCTCTGGTGATGGCAGAAGGCAGGATGTGCAGTAACTTACAAGCGAGGTGAAGAGAGCCTGGGTAGAGGAGCAGTTGCAGGGATGAAGATGTGGAGTTGGATTTAGAAACTGTCATGTAGTGAACAGGAGAGGATTTGGGAACTATTAAGATATGGACAGGGAGGTAGAAGGAAGCTGACTCTAGGATTTTCAGCTCTTGAACAGAAAACAAAGATGGAGGAAGATCAGTAATTAGAAGAACATTAGGAGTTCCTTTTGGCCTTGAGTTGCAATGCCTGGGGCACTTGCAGGTAGAAGTGTCATTTGAACATGGATTTAGAGGTTAGAAGAAGAGACTGTTGTAAAGATTTGGAAGCTTCTGAGCCTTGGGTTTTTCATTTTTTAACTGAGTAATAAAATCCACTGAACCTACATCAAGCGTTATTTGAGCATTCAATGAGATATTGAATGTGAAAACACTTAACACATTGTAAACATTATACAACTATCATGAAGTATTGTTATCAAACTGTCTTCCTAAGAGCTCATCCCCACCCCCACCCCAGTCCTGTCCCTTCTGATAGGCCATGCTTTGGCCAGCTTGTCCTGTGGACAAGATAATGAAAAAGCAAGGAATGAGAGCATGACCATCAAGGACAGAGAGAGCACCTGCTCACAAAGACCTGGCCTGGTTCACACCAGGAGCCTTCTTGAAACTTCTCATCACCTATTTGGAAATTTTGGATTCGGGTCATCAGAAAAAGTTTCTGAGTCAATATTTATTCCTCTTCCTGTGTTCATTTGCAAAGTTCAGGGCTCTCTCTTTTTAAAAAATTTTAGAAATGTATGAAAAATATATGACGATGCCTTGGGCAAGGTAACAGAAGGCGCTGGAATATAGAGCAGGAGAATTCCTAATGTTTTTCTGTCAGTTCTGGTGAGATGGCAGTTATTGACAGTCATGTTTTGTGATCCCAGATTGTCTATCTACCCTTATTTCCAAACATAGCTTATGATTTCTAAATTCACTTTTTTTCTTATCCTCCAGCTCTTCTTCAGTCATAAGCCTGAATCAGTGCAAATAAAGGTTCAAGTCTCTTAATGGCTAACATTCCAGGGTGTCTATCATTATCTCTAAGACTATATTAAAAAATCTCAAAGCAAAAAATCATTTAAAATTTACTATTTATACAGCCAACATGTGATCCTTTTTCTGAAGAAGAATCAAAGGAAGCAGGAAGAGAGGAGTTTCTCCAAATCAATTAATAAGAAAAACCACAATCCCAAAGAAACTTGCCTCCAGAACATGGAAATGTCACACCCTCTTTGACCCACCTACATAGCAAATAAATATGATTGCCCTGAGTCTTAATTCACTGTTTGGGCTAGTGTTAAATAAAAGCTCATTAAAAAAACAATAACAAGGAATCATGTTTTCTTTTACCTGAATATATTTTTTTGGGGCAGAAAGTAAGCTTCAGTCCAGACTCAGCAACTGGTGAGACCATCACGGTATATACATCTCCACAGGGTATCCCAGTGACATCACAGAAACTGAGGCCAGCACTTGGGGAGCACGTGAAAATGCCCTTGGAGCCATAGAGGTCAGTGCTGTAATTGGCAGAGCCCCTGGAAGCTTGCCAGTAGATCCTGATGCCATTAGGGCCCAACCGATATAGTTTTACCCCCAAAGGACAGCAGGCACCTAACAGGTGAAAAACACAAACAAAATCACTTCAATACACCTGACCACCAGCCATGGCCTTTATTACGTGGGGAGACAATGTAAGGAACCTAATACAGGCTTGGAGCAAGATTCAAAGGAATACTCAAGTTTGTTTCACGTAGGAAGCCAAGACTCTCTACTATCCCTGGGATGGCAAAAATTCAAAAATTCTATCTGAACACTCCCACCCCATGACCCAAGGCTGACGTTAGCTAGCAGGCCATTGGATTCTTTCCCATGAAGCCTAGGAGGGCATCCTCAGGAATTTTGTTGTTGTTTTTTTTTCTCCTCTTAAAACAGTGCTCCAAGCAGCCACTTCAGAGGCTTAGGATCTATAAGAGTAACCTTATTTGCTAAGCCTTGTCATTTTTATCTTCCCCTGCTATTCCCTAATGGTTTGTTCTTTGTGAAAGAGACACACAATACGGTCAGAAGATAGTGCTCTTTTAGCCTGTTGAAAGAAAAATCCATAAAAAGAGCTGGAGTGGTTCAGAAGACCGAGGGAGTAGCATAAAAACAACAAAAAGATAATAATGCAATCCAGATAGAAATCTAGGGCAATCTCAGTGCTTTCTGAAAACTCTGCAAGACTATGTTACTCTGTGTTGCCGGCAGCAGGATCTTATAAAAACCTTTCCCCTTTTCAGAAAAAGTATACCAGGACCTTGCTACTAGGGGAGTTAATTCACCAACCACCAACAGAGACCTCTGAAGCTTTGAGGTTTTAAGAGGAAACAGTAAACATTTTAGAAAGCAATCTGAATATATATATAACACCAGTCAGGTGGAAATGCAGCATCTTTTTTAAGTGAGAAGGAAGGACTCATGTCTGGATTTGTAAGAGTCAAAGTTATGATACTTTAGAGCATGAGTTTAGAATTCACCTACTGGAGGAGTAACTCTGGTAGGCGCAGCCCACAGTCAAGCCAGTGGCACTAATTGCTTTTAATGCCACTGTGTAATTGATGCCACACGTGATGCATCCCAGGAGGCAGTGGTTTTGACGGGTGTGACACTTGGACTGTCCAGTGCGTGACTCCAGGTCTGTCACATAGGTTTGAGACCCTGTACCAATGGTCCAGCTCACGTTGATTACTGATTGGGTGACCTGTGTTACTGTCAGACCAGCTGGACAGCACGGCACTTCAATGGGGAGAGAGAGAAAGAATTAGTGATTTATTTCACTGAGGGTTATTTGTGAAAAAAGATCAACAATGGTATGTTGCTGTATCATTCAAGACCCTAAGTTTCTTAAATCCTCAAGTGTTAATCAAAATTTCCTCTTGTTAAGCAAGATCTCATTCCCTCTGACACATCATTTTAACCTCAACTGTGTATAGTGGTGCTTTCCCCAAGAATTTGGGGCATTAACTATCTGTCGGTAATGTGAGTCTCTGCTCACCATTATTTTTTTTTTTTTTTCCAGAATAAGAAAGAAATCCTTTGGAGCCTCTCTGGTGGCCTAGGGGTTAAGTCTCATCACTATCACACCACTACTATCTGAGTTCGATCCCCAATCTGGGAGCTAACCCACATATGGTGCAGCAGACCTCTCCCGTCTTGCCCGCTGCTACCCTTTAGCAGTGAATTTTAGTCAATCTGTCTGTTCTGTTCCCCACTCTTGTCTCTGGTGAATCCTCTTACCCGGCCCCCTCACCTCTGGCCTACCCCCAAGTTCTTCAAGGCCAAAAAAAATAAACAACTCCTTTGTTGCCCTCCAACTTAAAAAATTCCAAAATTTGCAAAAAATTGCAAATTTCAAAGCAATATTTGCATTCACTGCTTCTACCAACATAATGTTTCATAGTAATGGCAACTAAATATATTTTGCCTTTTTCACACATCTCATAGTACATATTTAATATAAAAACTTGAAATATTTTTATCCACCTAAGAATATCACAACAAAGTCTCAATTTTTCAGGGGTTCATTATACAGAATATATTTAGAATCTTCTAGTACGTTTAGTATTATCTCTATATTACTGCTTTTTGTTTCAACTTTTATAGTCTAGGCCACGATCATTGTGTATAGAAGAAAAAATAATGCCCAAAGACTTTCAATAATTTCCTTCACATGTGCTTACAAAGCAACAACAGCTTTCTTTTATAAACCTCTTACTGTGCATCAGGCACTATGTTAAGTGCCTTGCAGCATTAATTAACTTAATATTCAAACCACCCGATGAGAACATTATTCCCCTTTTACCAATTAGGAAACTGAAATTCAGGAAACATGTTTTAGAGAAAAATTTCAAAGAGTTGAGCCAAAGGAATAAACAATAAGAAGCCCATTTGGCCACTTGTTAGTTGTTTTCATAGAGTGTGTCTCATGGGGGGAACATGAATTCACATAAATGTTTTTGCTGCATCAGTGTATTCCTCCTTTGAGACCAGTTTATGAGGCTTTGGGGGCCTCTGATGTTTTTACAGAATACGTGTCCAAATGTTGAACATTTTTAAGACTAGGGCTCTTCGACAAGTCTCTGAGTTGAAAGTATTTTATATCACACTCAGGGTAGATCCCACTGAGGTCAGTATTGAGGCTGGTGGCTGCTACATACCTGTTTCGAGGGGGACACTGTAGCTGGGCGGACTCCGACCTGCTGGAGTTTCAGCCACCGCGGTGACAGAGAACATGGAGCCACAGGGCAAGTCCCCCATGGTGCAGGACTCCCCTGAGCTGCTGCATTGGAAGAGCCCCTTCTCCCCCTCAGCAGTCACGGTATAAGTGGCCTCCTCATTAGTGGATCGCCAGTGCACGTTAATTATGGAGAAGGCATCCTTGGAAACATTTTTTATTTCAGGACTGCAAGGAGCTAACAGAGTTTTTGCATGATTATTTGAAACAGCCACAAATATCACAAGTGCCTTTTGTGCTGAAACTGACCCCCTCCCCCAACCTCACTCCGAGCGAGACTATTACTTTCAACTGATCCAGGCATGGAGGCCAAGTTCATAGAAGTTTTGTGAAAACCTGTTGCCAGTGACCAGTGATATTTTGTTCCTGAAGCATCAGACTCTTGGAAAATGTTAAGGAGTGTATTGAATTCCAAAAGCAAAAATACTTAAGACACACAATTGTGACCTTAATCTTCACGGCCTTCATGGTAGGCCCCAGAAGGTAGGAAGGAATGAATGGCTGAGATAACCAGTGGGAAAACCTTCTACTCTTCTCCAATCATCTCCTCATTTATTTTTTTCTCCTTTTCTTTTCACCTCCTCTTCTGCCTCTCCTTACTAATGCAGGGGCTCTAATGATTCCCTGCAAAGAGTGGCTAAGGGAAATTAACCTTTTTGTAGGTCTTGTTGAATGTCCATCATGAGGGACAGAACTGGGGTGAACCATCAGGCATCACTCAGAGAAATCATGGTTGCCATGTACCTGTGGTTATGGCCTGGGAAGCACAGGACGTGTTGCTGCCCCGGATCTCGCTGAAGGAATACACCGTGATGTTGTACTTGGTGTCACACTCCAGAGCAGAAAGGGTGCAGGCAGGAGCTGTGTCCTTGCACTCAAACATGCTGAACCCATCTACAGCCCTCGTTTGGTACAGTTCAGCACCACGCACAGGAGACCAGACCATCTCTACTCTGTCACTGGATACCAAGATGGGGTTAATGTCGCTTGGACAACAGGGAGCTGAAAGCAGAGCAGAGAGAAAATAGAGGTCATCCAGAATGGGTACCAAGTCCTGCCTGACCTCCCAGTGTCCAGAGCCTGTCATTGGCCCCCTAAATTATTACAAGAAACTCCTATAGGCCTGCTCAGCTCTGATCTTGGCCTAACACTACGTGAGGATAGAGCCTTTATGCATGATATTCAAGGTCATTGCAAAGTATATCCAGTTTACATGTTCAGCTACACCCATCCCCATCACACCAGACTCCATGATTCCCCACCCTACAAATGTTCTCACTTCTTTACACCTTGAAGACAGCTGACTCCCTACTGGAATGACTTTCCCTTCTTCTGTCTGACTCCCTACTGGAATGCCTTTCCCTTCTTCTATCTGACAAAAGCATACTTAGTCTAACTTCCAGAGCCTACCAGTAGATAAAAAATGGGGCAAAATCACTGTAGTAGAAATTCTTAGAAAAGACTCTACATAGAAGACCCTAAAAGAGGGTCTACATAAAAGACCCTCATCGACAAATTCTGACAGATGTCTAACTCAGCTTCTTGTTTCTCTGGGATGCTCTTGCACCCATCCTTGAAGACAATGTTCAAAGCCATTCCCTCTGGAAAGTTCCCTGTGCTCTGGACACTTTATTGATAGTTTCTTACTCCAAATTCCAAAGGCACAAATTATGATTTCCTTAATCCGGCCAAATTTATTGTAATCTGAGTAGTACTGTTAATCACATGCTATGTGATAGTATGCTTACAAATATAATTAATTAATTTCAAATGACTCACTTAATTCATTCTCCAAAACTTGAGCTTCTCCTATATGTTCATTACTCTATGATAGGCACTGAGGATGAAGAGATAAAGAAAACATCATCCCTGCCCTAGAAAATCCAGGTTAGTGGAGGAGAACAATAGTCACAATCATGATAATACAAATATTTTGCATTTGGCTTCAGTGCACACAAAGAGCTTGTCATACTCATGTTCTTATTATTATTTGTCCCATTTTGCATTGGAGGCTACTGAGGAAGCTCCAAGTTAAACATCATTATCTCTATTTTACAAATGAATTCATGGTCAAGTTTGTACTTAAGCCCAGAAGTCCTACTCCAAGGTCATCCATACCACATAGCATCTTTGCCTTTGCATCTTTGTCTCCTGGTCTAGGGGAGAGAATGAATGCTGAGAAATAGAACTGTGTTCCCTTTGGCATTTAGCACAGGGCCAAACGCTGAGTAGATCCTGGTAGAGGGTTTGATTTTTCAGAGCAGGATTGAAGAACTTTAACTTCTTTTCACTCCAAAACCTTGCATACTTATAGTGGTTGGGTCCATGAAGCCAAAATTTCCTAGTCTAGAAAGGTGAGAGATAAAAGTGACTTTTCATGTCTGACATGAAAATGACTCCCAAGTGGCCTTGGAAGTCCCTGAATGCCATCTGGAGTTCATTCTGTTGCTGATATTAGTGAATTTGGAACACTTTACAAAAGTCAAGGTTGACTTGCCTGTGGTGTAATTGAACACATCACCCAAAGGACTCTGGCCGGCCTTGTTATAGGCAAAGACACTAATAAAGTACGTGAAGCCGCACTCAGATAAGAAATTGCACTGGGTAAGGGATGTATTGCAATGTACTTCCAAGCCGTCATCACTCTTCACAAAGGCCACGTAGTAATCAGCCAGATCTACAGTGGACCAAGCCACAGACAGGTGACCGGGGGGATCTTCTTGAATTGTCACTCTTCCAGGTGCACAAGCAACTAGAAAATGATAAACAATAAACAATTGTGAGAGTCTTTCCAGAGGTTTCCTTTGCAACTTTGCAGTTGTCCAGGATCTCAAGACAACCCAAACAGCCTCTGAGCTTTGTAATGGATTGAATTTGGTGCCTAACACACAAAACTACACACTAGAAGCATTAGAAGATTTTCCTTATGGAATCAAAAAGTCCAGACCATGACAGCAAACTGATAGCCTATCCAAGTTCTCCTGTTATATGAAATATACTTAAAGTAGTGGGCCATCAGAGTTTGGTTGTCTTTTTAAGATATGGGAATTTCCACTGTTAGAGCATTTGTTGACTTGGCCTTGACCAGAGATGAAATCAGACTAGCCTGAGTGGAATAATGAAGATCCCAGAAGTTATCTGTTTTAGAGATTAAAAAAGTCACCATTCTTTGTGCTTTCTATTTACATTTTCTCAAATTCTTCTAACAATTATCATCATTTTACGATTGAAGAAACTGAAGTTCATAGAGGATAGGTGATTTCCCAAGTTCGCACAGCTAGCAAGGGATGGGGCTGGATCTTTCTGAAGGCTTATATACAAACCTACATAGATGGAAAGTTCTAACTGCAGCCCCCACTGTGCTGCACAACAGAACACATTCTCAGACTTTCTATTTTTGTATATTGGGGGGCCAGAGAGGGTGGGACTTTTAGTGCTTTCTAAAGACAGTTCTTTTGTTAACAAGTCAAGGTCATTAACATGATCACCACCGTGTTATACACAAACTATAGTTGCGCCCCCCTGGACTGAAAAGTGTGTAAGACTGAGTCAACTGAGGAACATCTACAAACGATTTAATTCAGACTCCATTACCAGAGACTCCAATTTAATTGAACTTAGGTGGGGCCTGGACATCAGGATTTTATAAAAGCTCTTAACGTGCATCTAAGATCAAAAAGCACTGGCTAGTACTTGCCTGCATTAAATGACTGCTGTGCTTTTGAAGGTATATTTCTCTTCTTTCTCCTTTTTTTAGATAAATTTTTACTGAAATAACATTGTTTTTATAACCTTATGTAGGTTTTCAGAGTACAGCATTATGTTTTAACATATTTATTTCATTATAGTTCAACATCACCACCAATAGTCTACATTCTTTTTTTTTTTTAAAGATTTGTTTATTTATGCATACACGAAATAGGGTACAGCCCAGAGGCATGAGGTAGTGTAGGTTCCTTCTACCACCATTTTATCCATGTCATTCACTCCCCTAAACTCCTTCCCCTCGAAGTTTCTTAGCTCTTCCTCACTCTGAGCTATCCCACCCTCCTATTTCTGGTGTACTGTCCACATTACAGTTGCCAAAAGGGAAGCCAAATCACCAAGTTCATTATTTAACGTAACATAACTGTAAGACAGATACTGGAAGGTGCCATTTAAATGCAGAATATAAAGAAACTGAACCACGAGTCAGATAAAGTCAAACTCAAAACTAGCCCTTCAAAACTGACTGTGGACCTGAGGCACCCAGAGGAGGAGAGAGGTGAGAACAAAGTGGGGGAGGGAGCACAATGGATATGGGGGTACACTGTGGGTGTTTGGATGGTGGGTGTGCTATGTTAGCACCTGAAGGGGCTTTTGTTGTTTAAGCCTAGACCTCCCAAATCCAAGCAATGATGCAAACCAACATTATCTAGCAAAAAATTTTATTTATTTATTTATTTTAAAAGATTTATTTATTTACACAAGAACTGGGGTATAGGCCAGATGTGCTAGAGGGTGAGAGGATTCACCAGAGACAAAGCAGGGAACAGAAAAGGCAGACTGATGAAATACACTGCTGAGGGGAGCAGCAGGTGAGACAGGAGACGTCTGCTCGCCATGTGGGTTGCTCCAAGGCTGGTGGGGATCGAACTGGCACTGCAGAGGCTGAGGACAGCTTCATAGTGCTGCGCTCAACCACCTGTGCCACCAGGGGAGGCCCTAGTGAAAAAATTTTAAAAACAAAGAAATTGGGGCCTCCTCAGTGGTGCAGAGGGTTGAGCGCAGCCCTGTGAAGCTGTCTGCAGACTCTGCAGTGTGGGTTTGATTCCTGGCCGGCCAGGGAGATACCCACATGGCGTGGCAGACCTCTCCTATTGCGCCTACTGCTCCCCTCAGCAGTGCTTTTGGTCTGTCTGCCTGTTCTACTCCCCACTCTGTCTCTGGTGAATTCTCTCACCCTCCTGCACCTCTGACTGTACCCCAGTTCTTGTATAAATAAATAAATCTTTTAAAAATATAAAAATAAAAAAGAAATTGTGGATCTGAAGGGCTGGCTATACTTTTCCCTTTGAAATGGAATAGCAGCATATCAGCTTGTGATGACTCTTTTCCTGTGTGTTTAGAAGTCTTTTAAGCTTAGAATACCAAATTCTGACTGTTGGATAAAGTAGACATTATTGTATTTATCTACACTTTCTTTGGTTTAGGGAGTGAATCAGGCAAAACTTGGGCTGGAATTCCAGCTCTACCGCCTAAATTGGTATGCCCTCAGAAAAATGATTTTACTTCCCTGGGCGTCAATGTTCTCATCTGAGAAAAGGAAAGCATTGAGCCTACCTTGCTGAGTTGCCTTGAGGATTAAGTAAAATCATATATTTAAGCATCTGGGACATCATTAAGTCTTCACTAAATGTTAGTTCCCATCCTCAAAACACATAGATGTTTTTAGATGAAGGAGCAAACCCTCTACATATGTAGATTTTTATCTCTCTGATAATGAAAACGGGAGAATATCTAAACATATGCTCAGAATTATAGACATCCCCCTTTTTATCTTAAAAAATAGCTCCCACCAAGACTGGAGCTATAAAACATGATGTAAAGTACTGGGGGCTATCTATACTGCACAGTTAAAACTGTGTCTGACTTCAATTGCTTCTTAGAATTTTTCCAACTGTACAAAGGAAAAAGAAAAAAAAAAACTAATTAGTAAAAGATCTGGAACAGAAACCAGCCTCCTTGTTTTCAAAGAAGTGCTTTTGCCAGTGCACAATATTTGGTTTCAGTGTCAACATTATTCAGACTCATCAGCATGCCCGACTCAATGCCTCCATTTAGAGCAGGCTTCTGTTTTTCCTTCTCAGAAGTATTTGGAACACAGTCGGGTGACCATTTGTTTCTCAGAGGCAGTCATTTTGCCTCATCAGCCCCACAGGAGAGTCCCTCTTGTTTCCGTACCAGTTTTCAGAGTCGCTGCTGATGTTGACTTGCTAGATCCAGCATCATTACTTGCTAAAACTGAAATCCGGTACTCGGTTCCACACTGCAGAGAGGAGATGGTACAGGAACTGGAAGTTGTAGTGCAGCTCAATTCTGAGGAGTCACTCTCGGCCATCACGGTATAGTTGAAAGCTCCTTCTGTCGGTGCCCACGAAACAGATGCCTTCAGAGCCCCACTATCAAAAGAGACTTGAATGTTGGCAGGAGCAATAGGACCTATATTTTTGAGAAACAATTCAGTTTTATGGTAGTCTCAGCCCCAAGCTAAGATTGAGCTGACAAAATTGCAGAGTTTGGAGGCTGAGTCACATCAGTGATAGGATAATTCCAAGTGTTCAGATCAGAAAACTGGGATTTAGGGAACCTGGGAACTGGTAACACATCTGCCATGAACTATGCAAATTCACAGTTAGCTATAAGACTTTGGTCATGTTATTTAATCTTTCTGTCGTTTAATTTTTTTCTCATCTGTACAATGGGATCTAATAAGTCCACAATCAGTCTCTAGCACAGAGTAATCATTCAGCGTATTTTGAATGAATGTAATGAATGCATACACAATTTGACAAGTGGTTGAAATAATTAAATTAAACTGTAACTATGAAGAACTAAAAGGGATGTGTGGGTATGTTATTATTGTGTGGTAGGTCAAATATTTCTATTATTGATAGATGAAGTTAAAGAGTTTAGCTTTCACAATAGCCCTTTATTACTTTTGACACTTGCTAAGACTTCTTCTGTAAAAGCTTTCAGGTTCTAATTGTTTCCAGAAAAGCACACTTTCTTTCCATTCTAAATCAAAGGGAAGGAAGAGACATATTGAATGTGATGATTCCATGTTAAGTGTCTCTAAAACACTTCCCCCTATATTCTTAGAAATAGGCCTGCCTTTGGCCTCCCTGGTGGTGCAGCAGGTTGAGCACAGCACTGCGAAGCTGTCCACAGCCTCCGCAGTGCAGGTTTGATTCCTGGCTAGCTGGGGAGATTCCCACATGGTGCGGCAGACCTCTCTTGTCACTCCTGCTGCTCCCCTCAGCAGTGTATTTCAGTCATCTGCCTGTTCTGCTCCCCGTTCTGTCTCTGGTGAATCCTCTCACTGTCTCACGACTCTGGCCTGTACCCCAGCTATTGTATAAATAAATCAATAAAATAAAACTTATTAAAAAAAAAAAGAGACCTGCCTTTCTTCAGGGCTATCTTCTTGAAAAGGCTGGAATGGGTGTTCTCCTGAGTGGTAGAGAAATTGCCCCAAGTGTCTGTGACATCATAAGGCCCACCTGGCAGACCCTAGAGACCTGCTTGGTCAGCCTTTGAGCAGAGTCCAGCACCCTGTGGATGCTAGTGGTAGTAAACAGGAAAGGCCCAACTCACTCTCTGCAGGGCAGGTACCTGACATGTTCTGAAACAGGGGTGGACAAGGCTACAAAAGGGCAACAAGGCAGAAGCTTGGCTGGAAGGATGGAACAGCCACCTATCTGCCTGGGCTCTGAGAGCAGAGAGCCACCAAAAAAGTCCCAAAAGGCCAAAAACCAGAACCAGGGTCTATAGCAATACAACATCCACACAATAGGGGCCTATGGGCTATCACCTAACAAAGGACAGTGCCTGATAAGAGGCCCGGTCACTGTCTGTGGGTTCCCACCTGCATGCACAATTGCAAGGAACCGCACAATTGCACACATCTCAGACTCCAAGAACAACCACCATGGGGTTTATTTTACAAACAGGGGAAACAACGAGCTTACTGTCTCCACAAGTGGCTGCTACCTCACCCAGATAGCATCAGTGATGGTCACCACTGGTCACCAGGAGTGCTGGACAGCACTGGCCAGTGGTGTTGGTCACTACTGGTCCCTCAGAGGCAGTGTCAGAGACACCCAGTGCTAATAGCTCTTTGTGAGTTGTTGGGTTATACCAACAACAAACAGCTCTTTGAGACACCAGGCCCAGGGCCTTGGGTGCTCCTTTCAGGCCACGGCAGAGACAGGTCCCGTCTGACAGCCTCCTCTGGCCTCTCTTCCTTCCTCAGAAGTCAGCTACTGAATGCTGCTTTTTCTCTTTCTTTGGAGGCCAGGATGGAGTCTTTCCCTTATTTCTTCTTCCCTTGGAGGCTGGAACTGTCTTCTCATCTTAGGGGACTGGCATTTTCTCTCCCCAGAGCCCTCCGTAAGTGGCTTATATCCTCTTTCAGGGTGCCCCACCCACAAGTCTGATTGGACCATTTAGCACCAATCAGCTCATAGCTCGCACCTGATTGCTCCATTACAAGGCAGTTGCTGAGCTCTGAATAGTAACTGCCACAACTGACTTGTGGTGGAGCAGCAGGTTGAAAGAATGACTGGCGCCCACCGCTGAGGTGGCTGGGTTCTGGAAACAGTTCATCCCCTGGGTCATTTCCACAGGCCCCTGTCCCTGCATGGTTGGCTTGTCTGTAGAGACAGGTCTGCTCTGGGTAGCACTGGGCCTGGGGCTGGTAGGGGTGACCTGCTGTGCTTTAGGACAGCCTGCTTTTCCCACAAGGAACACCAGAAAAATGAGTAGAATAATGGGAGGCAGTTATGGATTGAATTGAGTCCCTTCAAACTTTGTGTGTTGAATTCAGAATCTGTAACCCCAAATACCTCAGGATGTGGTCTTATTTGGAAATAAGTTCATAACAGACGTAGTTAATTAATGTGAGGTCATTAGAGGGTGAACTCTAATTCAATATGGTTATTATCCTTATAAAAGGAGAATATTTGGACATAGACATACACATACAGCGAGAGGCTATGGGAAGATGAAGCCAAGGAGAAAGTCCTGGAACATATAGATCCTTTCTCATGGGCATCAGAGGTCTATGTCCATACCTTGATCTCAGACTTCCGTCCTCCAGAACTGTGAGACAATTAATTCCTGTTGTTTAAGCCATGCAGTTTGTCGTACTTCGTTACAGCAGTTCTGGCATATTAACAGAGCAGCTAAATCTAAATTCTCTAAAACTTTTCAAAACACAGGGAAACAAATGAGGAGGGAGGCTTTCAGAAACTAGTCACCTCTAGGCGGTGACTTCCAAGAGGTGACTCTCCCAGTTCCCTAGACTGTTGTAGAACTGGGCATCTCCTGCTGGGCATCCTCCTATCAAAATATTTGTCACAAAGCACTGCAGCCATTGACTTACACACCCATCTCTTCTAAGATACAGCCCATTCTTTGAGTGGAAGCATCATGCTTTGATTTTGCAACCCTATTAGCTAAAATATGTAAACCATGTGGGCTCTCCATAAATATTTGCCCAAAGAAGAATGAACGAATGAATAAATGAATGAATGAATGAAGAGGTCCAGGGGGATTGGTTTATAAAGGACATCCTGCCTCACCAGGCACTTCATGAATCACCTTGATATGATTTTTCCCTAGAGAAGTATTATAAAAGGGACACCTCTCTCTTCTACATTTCTGCCTGGATCCATAGGCAATGGGGCTTTAACTCCCTTCCAAACTTAGAAGGTGCTGGAGAGGACATTTATGGTTTCTTTCCATGCTTTCCTTGGTCTTCCCCCAGGGATAAACAGCTAATCTGGCTGATGAGAGCCTGCCATCTGATATTGATCGTGGCTGGCTGGCTGCTTCAATAGAAGCAAAACATCTCTCTCCCCCTCTCATTCTTTTGGCTCATTCCAGCAGCTCAGTTGGGGCTTCTGGCTAAGATGCAGTAGGATTGAGATGGCATGGTGAGAGGAAACCTATCATGCTCCAGTTTTTCAGCCTAATTCTGGAGGAGAGGTGATGAGAAGCCCAACGACAGCCTCAGGCCTAAGTGAAGTCCTTATATCTGAAGGACCAATTTGCATCCAGCATAAAGTTCCATAAGAACAGGGACTTTGTTTTGTTTTCTGCTTTATCTCTAGAAAACAACAGTCCAGAGATGGCATGCACTCATTAAATGTCTACCGAATAAATGAATTCCTGTTTGGCCCAATTCTTTTTGTCTAAACTATTGGCCTGAAAGGAATAGGGGTGAGCAGTAGGCCTAACAAGAACCTCTCCTGCTGTGTGATATTCAATGAATATGGTGAAATTAAGTTGGCTTTAAAAGGGGAGGTACCATGCCTGTGTATTCTCAGCAGAATTTTCTTTACCCATGCAATAAGCATTTAAACCACTGAGGAGGAATAGTCAGGCACTATAAATAAACTCGTAATAAGTGTAAATAGCTGCTGTCAGCTGCTCTGCACTAATCACTTAACACCGCTCTTGACAGCTCCAACACACAGCCCCTCTCATTAAGCAAAAAGGGGATTGTTTGGGGCTGAGCTGAGAAGTCCTTACTTGTTCTCTGATTGCAGGTGGAGTCATCCCCAGGAGTTCCATTGGCATTCCACGCATAGGCCTTTATAGTATAGAGAGTCCCAGCATCTAAACTGGTGAATGTCAAGGAGGTGTTGGTGGTATTCTCTTTCCATATTTTACCCAAACCATTAGCTTGCATAATGGACACGGAGAATCCAGTTGCCATATATACAGCTTCCCACTGCACAAAAATAGAGTCTGGGCTTGGAGAACTAACTTCTAGAATTGGTGCAGCCAACACTGTAAAGACAAAAACACGTGCATCTGCCTTATGAAAGTCCAATTGAGGATAATTCAAACTTAGGAATAAGTAATTTGAGGTTGATTATCTATATTAGGAAATAATTATTTGCTTTGCAAAAGAGACACAGTAGAGTTCCATCACACAATTGCTTTCTAAATGTGTATTAATCATAAATGACTCAATAGAGCAATGGGGAACAGGGAAATTCTAATTTTAGATATTACTTTCAAATGGAGGTTGGTAAGAGATTAGATAAAACATCCCTGTAGTCATAATATATATATAAACATAAATCAATGGGGGAAATGATGGTTTTTACTATTTTAATATACATACAACCGTTCAGAAATATGCCTTAAGTACAACTTAATCAATTCATTTAAGTAATACCGATGACAAATTCCAGTCCAACTGCAGCAAAATCCCTTCTATGTGTTCTTCATTTAGCATGTTCTTTATGGATAACTGAAGACAAAAATGGAAAACTCTTTTTCACAGACTTTAAAGTACAGATGCTTTGAAAGATGCCCAGAAATAAACAAAGATGCTTTGTTTATTGTCTCAAACAAAGCATCTGGAATTTAAATATCACCTTTCCCCACAGAAGTCTGAATTCCCAGAAAACATCACTTGGTGGCTTTCGTTTCTGGGCCCTGAATCACAAACCCTCATGTAACACCAAATTAGGTCATGCATTCGCAGCATGGCTGATCCACAAGCAATTACTCAAGAGAGCATGAGAACCCAGCTACCTGTCTTTGCCTGCTTTGGAGCTGATGCCTGGCTTCTCCCAGAGGCACTTATGGAACTGACAGTGATTTGGTACAAGGTTGCAGCCTTCAGTCCCATCAGAGTCCCTGGAGAACTGGCCACAATGGTTTCAATGACAGTGTCCCCGTCTTCGGCTGTGAGGAGGTAACTGGTGGCTCCTGGCACTGTAGCCCATTCCACTGTGATGCTGTTGCTGATTTTTGAATATGCCTGATCAATAGTGGGTATTTCAGGAGCTGAAAAGATTTTGAAGTTGTGTATTAACTGGGATTCCTACAAGGATGACTTCTTTCATCATTTTACTTTTCACACTAAGTCACCTCACGCTGTCCTTCAGACATAATCCTTGCCTTATTGTCCAGATCATGGAAAACAAAAACAAAAAACAAAACAGACCTCTGAGAAGAGGAAGAGAATTGAGGGGCTGCATTCCAGGGGATTCTAATTTGACTTTTGTAATTTCCCCACCCTGCTTTATCCCTAATCTCCCCTCCCCGCCCACGACTGCCCCACCACCTCCAGGTCAGTCCACCTCCATGTGGCTGAGGCCTCCATGCCTGCGCTTTGCACTTTTTCCAAGTGGCATGTAATCTAATAGAGGAAGAGGAAGAATGAGAATTGAGTTTTTTATTTTATAATTAAATCATTATACTTCCTTTCATATTATCAGGGCAAAACCTTTTTCAGATTCTCCTAGATAAAATAAAAAAGGTTTATCCTCCCTTTCTCTATCAAAACATCAGCCCCAGAGTAAAAATGAGGTGCTCTAGTCCTTCCTCTCATGGGCCTGGTCATGGTCTGCCAGAGGGAGATGAATGCTTATACCATGAGTTTACACAAGGCATTCCTATCCTCTGGATATGAAGTAGGAGATACAGCATGGTAATCAGATTCACTGCTTTGCAAAAAATCCAGACACAAAA